TGGCCATAGGTGTTGTGGTACCAGCACCAGTCAGGGTTTTTCAGTGAACGTGGTTTGGACTTAGATCGACCACGTGAGTTCCTGCGTTGAGGAGATTTAGGACGACGGTCGGAGGAGTTAGAATGCATGTTCGACCTAAACATCTGCTGGATGGAGTTGCATAACTCTATCATTGCAGGATCCTTACTCGAAGTCTGCTTAGTCATCGAGCATATTTCGGGAACAGACCGTTTGGTAATCTCTAGAATCCTATCTGCAGTAATAGCTAAGTCCTCTATTACAGTACCCTGAAGTGTCACAAGTACGGTCTGTACAGACTGTGGCAGCTTGGTTAAGAAGAGTTCTCTAAACAGTCCTTCGTCGAACTGACTTTGGCCGACGACTTCTTTCATTCTTGTCAGCATGCTCACGGCTGACTGATCTCCTAACTCGATGTTACGAAATAATTCATCTAGACGTTGTCGGTCCGTGAGAACGTTTCTCCTGAGGAGGGATGCTTTGAGCAACTCGTACGAGTTACTTACCTCGGGACTGAACATCTGTGATGTTACGTACTTGCTGAATTCCCGCGGTAGGGCGTGAATAACTGCAAGTAACTGTGAACGTTGATCGGTTATCCCATGCTCACAAAAATCTGCTTCAGCTAGCAGAAACCACGTTTCAGCATTATCTGGCCAGTATGGTACGAGCTGAATGGTTTTAGGAGTTGAGCGGATACGGATGACCTTGGGACTAAGATCACTCATGACGAAAATTATGTCGAATAATATATGGTACAAGAACAAATACAAAATGGAACGAACTCACCGGGGTTATCTGCGGATTTATCGTGGATGAAGTTCGCGGTTGGGCTCACCAGTTTAGGAGGTTGACGGATATCTCGTTCAACAACTTCTAATTAATTTATTCTCGCGTACCAAAGACAAAGCAAAAGCCAATATTTATCGTCCAAACCAAGAGATATATTTAGGGACCAAAACAAGCCTTCAGACGAACGCTTAGCTAGCTAGTGATCGTGCACGTGACACGACGAGGTACCAAATGGCGGGGATGCTTGACCGGAAGCCTTCAGCTAAACAAGTCGACTTAAACAGTGGTGGTCAGCATCCAATGAGTGATTGCTGTGGTCAATAATTTTGGGGAATTATTTACCGCTACACTACAAATGACAGTTTGGAGTTTGAGGGTACAGACGTTCGCGATCAGTACTGGGTATATTAACGCAAGGTCTTATACCATCAAATTCTAATTTACTTGGTTCTCGTGTACCAAAGACAAGGCAAAAGACAGTATTTTATCGTCCAAATTACGCGATATATTTCGGGACCAAAACGAGTTGTTAGACGAACGCTTGCTGGCTAGTAATCGTGCACGAACGTGACACGACGGAGTACCAAATGGCGGGGATGCTTGACCGAAAGCCTTCAGATAAACAAGTCGACTTAAACAGCATTCAGTGTTCAGTGATGATTGCTGTGGTCAATAATTTTGGGGAATTATTTACCGCTACATCAGATTTCCTCCAATATAATGCCGTTTCTTCAAGGTCTTCATATCTGTCCAGTTCATTTGTATCATGTACGCACTAGATGATTGACGAGAAGAGGAAATCATACCGGATAGTTGAACCAATAGAATCACACCAAGTTGGCAATTGAGATTGGATTCTTCATTACGTTGAGGTGAAAACTAGCGCAAATACAACACGTGCGTTACACTGTCTCGAGGATGAAGTTAACTTTCACAACTTTCGATGTAATGGTATCTGTTTCGGAAATAAGGAATCGGTATGCAAGTCATTACTCTTATGTATACTCTGCTCAGAATCCTCGGTCATAGAATAATCAATGTATATGACGTGGATAATAAAACGTATCTTTTAAAACTTAATGGGTAAGTCACTTATTCTGACTAAACATAAACCCAAAGCACCCAGTCTGAGGATAAGGCTATATTACTATTGGAATCTGGCTCTCGTATCCACATAACGGATTTTGAATGGCCAAAAAACATGATGCCTTCCGGGTTTTCTATGAAAGTGAGTTTATTTTCACCTTTTTCTCTTAGTATATGGATGTGGTTAATAACTTTTTTTCATAAATTTTAGCTCCGGAAGCACATAAGGAACAAGAAAATTGTTGACATAACTCAGGTTGGAGCGGATCGCATTGTCGATATTCAGATTGGTTTTGAGTCATCTGCCTATCATTTAATTGTGGAGCTGTATGATAAAGTAAGTCTTACTACTGTTAGTGAACTGGATTTAACAACCATAATTTAATTCTAGACTCTTGTTTTGTGCATGTCGTCTTCATATTTCAGAGGTGCTATATAGCTGAAACAGCATAAGAAATAGTCTTCAAATTCCGTATACTCCCCCTCCCCTAATTTGGGGTAAAACAGGACATGCTGTTTTTCTTTTTGATTATAGCTTGAAACCACGCAGTATTTTTAGTACAAGTATGGAATTTTCAGCATATGATATCGGCCGACCATAGATATCAGGTGTGCCTCGGCAGGGGATGGAACCCCGGTCCATGTGTATGGTCGGCGATAGTCCTAATCACTGTGCTACCGACGTACATTCGGTGTTGTCGTCAGTTTTGAAGCAACCTAAGTTGTTCAAAGCCAAGTAATCATCTCGTTTTGTTGCGCTGATTCAACTTCCAACAAAACTCGGTAGTCGATATGCTTAATTCCTAAAGATGTTAATGCATTGAGTCGATTTTTTAGTCACTGGTGTAAGTCTTGTTGATGATATCTAATAGGAAAAAACAAATTCAGCTTCTATTGTTTTGGTAAAATATGGGATTTGACGCTTGACATTTTCTTATCTTTTAAGATAATCATTCTTACATGTATTTATTGGTTTATATATTTTGATTACCGGTGTAGAGTCTTTTCCTACCCAATATTTCTTTAACTTATACTGTTTTTAACTGATCCAATTAAATGCCTAACTTTCAAGTGAACAGTAATTTCGTCAAGTTGGTGAACCAAATGCTTTGTTTTGTCAGTTGTGTAAGACTTCAGGTACTCAAATAATCGAGTAACGTCAGGCGAAATTTGTCCTTCTTCATATATCAAGGTTTGTTTCTTGATAAACATCATTATCTGTCTGATTTCGGGCTGATATGAAATAGGTCACTAATACTTCGGACGGATATTTCTTACTTATCTGTTCACATAAAATAGGAACTGTAATCATGAGAAGTATCTAGAAAGCATCCATTTCTTTTGTTCTTAGCTTAAATTCCGATTTTCCTTTCTCAGAAGTTAGTCAGTGATCAGCATTTACCTGTTTAGTGCCAGCTATAAGTTAGAGTTACTTAGGACTTCATACACTTTTTAAAACCAATACTTTAGGTACTCACACTCATGTCCTCCAATAATCTTGTGTCGTGCTCTTGGTTAAGTATAAAATACTGTAGCTTATAACAACTTACAGCTATCGTCAATTGTTTGTTTGATGTACAACACTGAGTTTTACTGAAGACGTATTACTGCAGTCAGTTGGTCATATTAGTAATGAGGGATACAATTACGTATTTTGATTCACATGATAATGGTAGCGGTCCTAAATACAAAACTTTCCACTTTGTATTAAAACTTCAATATGTTATTGTTTGTCTGGTGTTAGAGTTATCAGCTATAGTTATTTTTAAGAGCTAAAACGTAGTCAAAGAAATTCCTTTTGTTTATTGACCTTTCATTTATCTATTTTTCTGCTTGCTCTACTCTTCAAAGTCATAGTGGATATTTCTTATTTTTTTGTAGGGAAATATGCTTCTTGCAGATGATTCCTATACAATCCTCCACTTACTTCGTCCACGAACTGATAAAAGTCAAAATATTAGATTCGCAGCTCATGAAAAATATCTCATGGATTCTTGTCGAAAAGTGTTAGACTGTTTTAAGGATTTAAATGAAGAGGAATCTTTAAGTGATATCGAAAGCTTCCTCACTCCATTATTTCAATCATCTAAAGGACCATGGACATCTGATGCACAAACGTGTGAAAATCCTCCGATTAACAAAACACTCTCTTTGGAGCTGCGTAAGCACATGCATGTCTTCTGAAGTATTCAGTAACGTACTTGTTCCTCTGGTTGTAGATTTATACTTTTATTTTACTGATAGCTTTTTTATCGTTGTATCCATATTCGGTTGCTTAAATAGGATGTTTTTGCACTGCCAAATATCAAAATTCTGTGGTAAGGGACTTTAGTTGATGACTAGTTGAGATAGTTTTAATCACTGTATTTTATATTTCTCACAAAAATACGCCACTAGTACAACTTAAGTATTATCTGGGTCACATCCACGTGTTTATGGTGTCTGTTACTTTGAAATTGATTTTCCCTAGCGTTAATGTTGTAGCCAGTTATATTTTCTAGTCTCACAATACTCCATGAGTGATTCAGGTCATAACCCGTGAAATATTCTTAAGAAGTCAAGTGCATGAACCTGTTAGTCACGGTTCTACAAATCATGAGGCACTTATCATTCAAAAACCAATCGTCTCCACACTCGGTTCAAGGAGCGTTACATCTTGAGGCGATGTCTTCACCACTAACTTATTCAGTCGGACAAAGCAGGCTTAGTGTTTTATCATTTTATACTGCACCTTTTCGAAAGAATTTCGCCAATGTAACTCATCTAGAAATACACCAATTCACCTACAAATTCGTTGTAAAACATGTCACCATTGTCGTCATGTGTTTGGTACTATCACTGTTCTTCAAAGTGATTATATGTACATTTTTTTCTTGAGATGACCTCTTCTGATGTTGTCTACTTTTCATTCTAGCTTATGGGAATATTGTTATAGAACATTGTATGCGTGTAGCACAAAAAGAAGTTAAACGCATGAAATGCAATGAAGATAATTCCCAATCAAAATTTATTGGAGTGGATTTGATGGGGCAGTACGTTAAGTTTTTTGCTACGGCCTTGAGAGCTATTTTACTGAAAGCCTATTCAGTCAATCAAGCCACTCCATGCGGTTATATATTTGGGAAACCGGATCCATTGCAGAAGGCTTACGAAGGTAACCGGTTTTATTTTCATCTAGTATTTTTAAGTACATGTCTCTTTTTCATCTGATTTATGTACATTCACAAAGTTTAAACCTAATTATTTTCTTAGATATCTCTGAATTCGTTTGCATATTCACCTAAAAGTATTTCATCATCTGACCTCTTTAGAGTAATTAGACTATCCTTTAGTAACGACTTCCGAAACGTAGACCCGTGTCAGTCTACTCTTGTACGCCTCCGCTGTATGTGGTAATCTGAAATCAAGCACTCTTTTACACAGCTATAAATTCATGTCACTCCTTACCGTTTACATATTGGTTTGTCTCATTGAATGTTTTAGCTCTATTATTCCCGAAGAAACGTATAGACGAATTTATTGAATGGTTTCATGTTACTTTTAAGAATTTAGTGCTGAAGGATACGTATCTGAATTATTAAGTAACACGAAACCTACGTTGACAGATTCACAAAAGTTTCGATTACATATTTCATATTGATCAAAATCCAGACTAATTTCATTTTATTAACTTTCATGATTATGTGGAATTGCATAATTCATCTATATTTCTTCCACCCTATAGATCGTCATATTTTTCCCTTGCCGTTTAATGGCATGTCTAAACATCTATCAAATGCAGGATTGGCTTGTATCGACTCCTAGTATAAAGATAGGGAGTTAAGTGGTTGAGTGTGTTGACCACTTCACTTGGTTGGGAAGTTGCCTCAGTCCTAATGGACTTATTACGGACAAAATTTGAGTACGGGTAGAAAAAGGCTCATGTGGTATCCGCTAAGGTGTACATCCTCTTTGGTGTAGAGGTAATATTCGGCTATCGACCAAAAGACATGTAGTGCAATATGATAGGTAGTATAGAGGTTAGGCGTAGAGTGTTAGGTGAGGAGAGCAAGTCAATCGATGAGAATGTCAAGTCGTACCAACTGAGGTGGCCAGCATACGTGTGACACATGCCAAGCTATCGCCTTCCTCGTTAAGTAATATTCACTGATATAGGATTAAGTTGGATAACAGTTGGGTGTAGTATAATCAAAGCCTGGAATCATTCTACCAATCTTTCGACTGATATTTCCAGCCGCAGAGTGCTGTAAACTGTGATCCCGTGACTGGATAGTATAAGTGACATCGAAATTCCTGTTTATGCACTTCGAAAAAATACAGATACAACGAAGATATATATATATATATATATGCATATTCCTTTTCAATTAGTTCCTCATCATCGGCTCTACACTAATATATAGTTTTTACATCAAAATGGTTTTTACCAATCGAGTGGTTGTTTTGGTTAATCAGTTTTATGTGTTCAAGGGTGAAATTAAGAGGTTAAAAGTAATCAAAACAATTCACTAATAGATGTTAGTAACAAAAAATCTAAGTTTTGAACGAGGACCGAAAATTACTTACGGAATTCAAGATAAGTTGATTCTTAGGCGTTAGCAACAAGTTATTACATAATCAAAAAATTTGTAAAATAATGATGACTCAGGATAATTACATAAAATACAAACAAGTTAGTAGAATTAGCTAGAATGGTAAAAATCAACAAAGTTAAAAGATAGTTACAGTGGGAGGGGAAAAATCGTTTTTTTTGAAAACTTAATACGTATTATGTAGTTGTCCATGGAAAAGAAAGGGGCTATACAAATTTCTTTTGAATACACAGATTTGGCTTGTTCAGATGAATTCCGATTGCTTCTGCTGTATGTAAAAATCGTACTTGTAGATCATTCGAGAGATTAGGTGACATTCGACAAATAACTTTAAAATAATTTTGGAATCAACATAATGTCCAATATCGGCGAGATGAGCTAGTATTGTGGTGCGTATGGCTTTATTCGGATTTTTGCCAAACCAAGATGCGAGGTGTTCAGAAATTCGATGATGAACTTGCCTGATCGTACACCCTATGTAACTAGCTCCCCACGGGCAGTTAAACTGGTAAATACACATGGAAGAGGCGAAACAAGGCAGTGTGTCTTTATTTCTTGAACTAAATATTGGTTGGCTTGTGAATATACAGCATAGCTTAGCTGCGTTGAAAGTCCTTTTGATGGCCCTTCTCAGATGTTGTGATAAGACCTCTCTAATCATATCACCCGTGAATTGTAATCTTAGGAAGAGTTATTTTTTGGGAACAGTTGGCACCTTCGACTTTTTACTTTCTGAGTTCATGTGTTTGTTCACGAATTTAGTCGGGTATGCGTTTCTACTTGGTAGATCACGAATATTACTGAGTTCGTTCAGTGTCTCATTTGAATAAATGACTCTAGCCTGGTGAACTAGACACCTAACCAGATCACGTTTGTATTGTAGATGTACGAATTTCAGGAAGTGAGTATACTATCCAGTGAAGTAGGTTTCTTATGCGAACGTCTACATATTGTTCCGTTTGTTCGTTTAGTCATTAGGACGTCCAAAAAGGCGATAGAGTCATTTTCTTCCTCTTCTTTAGTGAAGCTAGGGCCAGGATGTGCTTTATTGAATTTATCCAACATGTCCTTAGTCTCACTGTCTTTCCTAACAACTATAAATGTATCATCGACTTGTAGGCAATATAAATCAAGATTATATATCACATCTTTAAGAAGACCATTCTCTAGTTTCTCCAGGAAAAATCTGCTATGATTGAGCCTAGTGGTGACCCCATGGAAAAACCATCTGATTGTCTATACATGTCTTTTTTGAACAGAAAGTTTACGTTCATGTACGCCTTAGAAGAAGTTCATTTAGGGAGGAAACAAGAATTCCACTGTCTATACGTTGCTTTATCAATTCATTACCTATGTAATCAGTTGTTTCCAACAAAGGCACATTGGTGAATTGAATAAGGAAAATACATCCAGTGATAGCATGCATTTATCCTTCACATTTAATTCCTCCATTCTTTCTACAAGCTCAAAACTATATTTTACGCTATTTTTCACAAGTTTCTTATTCAAAGGCTGTAAAAGTTCCACCAGCTATTTGACAGTTGAATGATAAGGTGAGTTGGACATATCGAGAACCAGTCTAAGTGGCAAGTCGTTTTCGGGAATCTTTGGTAAGCCGTATAACCTGGGTGTCAACGTGCCGACAGGTTTTAGTGTTTCACACAAGGCAGATGAAATATAGCCTTGTTGTTTCAAATTTATTATAGACTCTGTCAACTGTCGCTCAGTCCTCTCCGTTGTATCTTTGAAAGTTGATAGTCTATGAAATTTGTGTGCATCACTTCATAAATTCCCCATTCTGCTTAGGTAATCAGACTTGTCCATGGTTACCTAAGTGACTTTTGCATACAGCAGAAGCAATCGGAATTCATCTGAACAAGCCAAATCTGTGTATTCAAAAGAAATTTGCATAACCCTTTCTTTTCCATGGACAACTACATAATATGTATTAAGTTTTCAAAAAAAAACGATTTTTCCCCTCCCACTGTAACAATCTTTTAACTTTGTTGATTTATACAATTCTAGCTAATTCTACTAACTTGTTTGTATTCCCATCATAATCATTAGAGTTACCAGACTGTCAGAGAAATTTTCATTTGTATACTCGATGTGGTACCAATAACTCAGACATAAGGTATTTAACAGACAACAAATCATCAACCATTGGTAATTCGGAAGGTTACTAGGCAACTTTCGAATTCTTATCGGTAGATGTAAGACTGCGTGTATACATCCTATGATGAAGACGTCTCGTGTTTTGAAAGAAAATACCGTTTAATTATCTTTCGAATGACATAAGTTTATGCGGATCTGTTGCTTTAGCACTTCATTTCTTGGAAAATACACCATACATCTAGTGTGACTCATTCTAAGGTGATTCGTAACTATTGGTGGGGGGGGGGTGAAAATGCGCATTAACTATGTGTCATTTCATTTTACCCCATGTCCTACGGAACAAATCGATATTGTCATAGTTTATGTCTACCGTGATTATATAATACATTTATGTCTAGATACAATTCTGTTGTTTTTATAGCTATGAAGAATTCCAACCATTCATTTTTGAACAGTATGCTGGTAAGCCTCACATAATGTTTGATAGTTTCAATAAGGCAAGTAAAATGTTTTTTTTTGTATGATTTTATATGATTGATTAAGTTTGGTTTAACACGGTGCCCTAAATCCTTTAAAAGCGGTTTATTAAAAATTGTTTGTCACGCTAAATGTCATTACAAGGGTATTTTTCAAAAATTATCTTTAATCGTCATTGCAGATCCTTAATGTATATATTGTTTTTTGCTTCTTGACATATTCTGGGCTACCGAGTCATGAAAATACTTTTTCGTGCAACAGAAATCAGTTGTAATTTAATTAAACTTACGATTTCTGATTGCTTGTTTTACTGGGTCAGACTGATAGGTCTGCAAAATTATATATATATATATATATATATATATATATAAGTGCGTCGGTGGTATAGCGGTTAGGACGCTCGCCGACCATGCATATGGTCTGGGGTTCGATCCCCGGCCGGCGCACTCCTTTACCTCACTGAGCCAGAAATAATGCTGGTAAAGAGGAACGGTTGGGCATGAGGCTAGCAACCCCATCCTGTAAAAATTAAACACTGCTACAGAAACTTCAAGCCACTAGCTTGGAGCCCTATGTTCCACTGGGAACGTGAAGGAAAAATTATTATTATTATTATTATATATATGTGAATTGCGTCTAATTACTCACACGGTCACAAAGCAAGCGTGGCTTACTATACTCCAGTGCTACTAGTATTAAGCTTCAGGTTTTTGTTGTTAGGGTGATAGACCGATTGTCTGGTTGAAAAAGTGTTTAGCTGAATAAAACACCGATACAGTTATGCTAGGCGCCTAAGTTATCTCAGTTTACACACTGAAGAATAGCGATACGTACAAGTGTTATAATTGAAATGTGAAAAAATCTCTAAAAGATTAGTCATATTCATTGTTTTATTAGCGTTTAGCTACATATTCCTAATAACTCTCACCGTAACTGAAAAACACCCATAAAATCAATGTATTTGTTTGTTAAAAAATTCAAAAGTTCTGAGTAAGGCACAGGTTTCAGGTAGAGTTGAACTGACCTCAGTATTCTATGTAGTTATGAGCAAAAGAACATACGGCCAGATTATGGTGTGTGTGTGTGTGTCTGTATCCATTAATAAACATATACAAAAATAACCGAAATAGGAATCGGTAAGAATAAAACACCACCGTTGAGAATAATCACTATAATAGTAAAGACTAACTATTAATCAGTTTTAAAGTTACTGACTTATTGCATTTTGTAAGTGAAAATAGTTTTCCGTATATCAAGCGTTCAAAATACACTGTATAGAAATAGTAAATAGTCTATGGTCAAAATATGATAACTATAATTAACACAATTCGATTATTGTGTATATACAGTAAATAATTCTTTGGAATATCTATATATGTGGGCCGGTGGTGCAGCAGTAGAATGCTTTCCAACCACGCGTGTGGTGCGGGGTTCGATCCCCGTCGATGCACTCCTTTACCTCTCTAAGTCAGTAATAAGACTGGTAAATAGGAAAGGTTGGGTGGGCATGAAGCTAGCAACCCACCCCCTAAAAATAAACTTCACTACTACGGAAACTTCAGCGCTCTAGCTTGAAGCCCAATGTTCCACTGGGAATGTAAAGGGACAAAAAATGTATATATATATATATATCAGCTAAGTTTCTAAGGTTCTGTCAGCCTGTTTTGTTGATTTAATGACAGACACTGAAAAATCACCACTTTAATATTTAAAGTAATAGTGATTAGCTCACTGTGGCTGTTAATGATACGCGTTACAATGCATTTATTCATATTTCAATTCTGTTGCTGTTTGTCGTGGCGCCATCTCATGTTTTTCCTTACGTACCAATCTGTTAAACATTAGTGTTGATACAGCCTACTCCTTTATTCACTTTAGAAGGTGTATAATCACAATACACAGAAAAATATTTCAACGTATTTCAGTCTCCTCAATATTTAGTATAGTTATTCAATCAAACAGAAAAGTAGACAACTCCGAACTTATATATATATATATATATATATATATATATATATATCTGTGAAATAGTCTTTTGTTGTAGAAAGTATGTAGTATTGACATTCCTGAGCTTGATGTTTTATTACATCTTACGGATACTTAAACCTCAGAGGTAGTTTCCCGCACCCAGTGTTTTGTTAAATCTAATAGAACTTTGCAGTACCTATTGAATTAAATAGCACATCTTTCATGGGACACTAAGTAGTAACTAGTGTCATGCGTCTAGTCTCTTTCGCTTGTTTCAAATTGATTTCTATTAGTCAAGTTTTCAATATGGGGCCACCAAAAAAATTTCATATTTCTGTTTATAATCTCTTTTGAATCTCTCTCTCTCTCTACTTTCTTCTCTTGCTTTGTTTGCTAAATCGAGTGTGGCAACTCGAACTGCTGCACATCTGTGCAAATTTCTACGTTGAAACTAGTCAGTCACCAAAAAGAAAAAAGAATTAGGCGCATGACGCTAGTTACTACCCTAGTGTCCAATCAAAGTATTCCAATACAGACGTGCAGGAGGTCAATCGCGAGTCCGAATAGCTGAGTGGTAACGTCTCTGACTGCATCAGTGGATGACACAGGTTTGAATCTTGGAAGGGATATGAGTTCCTTTAAGGTTCTAAATACATCTTATTAACGAGTGCCAGCCAACAAACATGAAAAATATGTCCAAGGCTTACTACCGATTACTCTCAACTATCTAATAAGCAGTACTTCAATGCCCTAGGCAAGACTAATCGTTATGAAGAGTGATTTTAGTTTTTAAGTAAACTAAGAATTTTTACTGTAATTTCGAAAAGGTAAAGAAATGCCGACGGTCTACAGGTATTAGATATAGACATACTTAAGGTAGCTTATACTTTGCCTCAACTGCCATTTTATTATCAGTACAGTTTTTACAAGCTTGATCACAAAATGACATCAGTTAGAGAACCATTAAAAACTAGGGAGTACTGGACAGCTTCTGTTTCATCCGAGTTTGGGACTCTTCAATAGTGCGCACCCACCGGGGTTCAAACCCAGGACCTTCTGGTTACAAGGCTAGCGAGCTCGTAGATCATTAAGCCACTGAGACCCGATCCATTGGCCAGTCCATGAATTCGAACTTCTGCCAATTCATGGCATAGCACGATCACTTCTCAATGTCTTCTCCGATGAGTCACTACTTCACCTTCAACCTGCTTTCGAACACTGGTGTGTGCATACTGCTGAAGAGTCCCAAAATACGACGAAACAGCTGTCGAATACACCCTAGTTTTCCAATTGTTCTCTAACTGATGTCAGCCCATGATGAAAACCCCCCAACCAATCAACGAAAAAAATCCCTACAAAACCAATACTTGAATATTTCGTCCTAGTTAAAGACGCTTTCACTGGTTCTCTAATTGATTTCTGTCTGTGATCTAACCTGAAATCAATCAAATCCTTACAAACTAACACTCGAAAAGTGTCTTTTTTTAAATGGATGTTCACACACTCAATGATAACTTTGGTAATTTTGCTCCAAATATTACCATAATTAAAACATTTCATCATTGGTGAACACCCCTTTATAAATATATTTCTAATAAATTGATTTATTTCACAATGCACAAACTTTCCATAGGAATGATTCATATTTCATGTTGCTTAAAATATTTTAAGACATTGAGTTGAGTTTCATTCGCTTCATATGAAAACTGCTGGTGTAGAACAAATCGGTACAGCTTCTTCATATATATATATATATATATATATATATATATATATATATATATATATATATATATATATATATAAATGCCTCCGTTCATTAGATTTCAACTCAAAACTTCTTATACCACTCAGACATTCTAATCAAGTTATGTTAAAATATTCTCGACACGGGTTATGAGGTGGAAATCGAGAGATCCTTTAAAATTATCAATAGACAAAGGAGCTCCATTCTCTTCAAGTTTGCCGAAGCAATTTCTATCAAACGCTTGAAACCAGATTTATGTGTTCAGAAAGAGGCAGTTATTAGTCTTTCCTTGTCTTGGTAACTAGATGTCTCTTTTTTTCTCTCATCTGATTACATAATCTTTGTCTTTAACCTCACCCTCCTTTTATAATCTGTAATTTTGTTTGTCTCTTGTTTCTATGAATTGAGTTCAACTCAGTACATTGTTACCTAACTTATTAGTCACTATGCATCTAACACACATCTCATCTTTATTATGTAACTCCTTTACCATTATATGCATACATTTATTTTGTTTTAACTTGAACTGCCTGTGTAAAAACTATATAAGCGCAATTTTCTGAGCACTGTTTACTAATTGTGGAACTTTCTGTCAACTGACAACATGTAAAATTTGCAAGTGTGTTAAAACGTTTCTGTACTTACACCTAATAATTTATTTAGACTGTAAGCAGCTGAGCTGATGAGAAGCCAACGAAATAAATGATGGTACCATATTATTCTGCACAAACCACTCTCTTGTTCTTGGTTTATTCAAAATATTTAAATTTTGAAACTCAATCTACTAAAGAAATTAACTCAAGATTTTTAAATAGGAGAGTGAATAGTATCAAATAGCCTTGTCTGATTTTCGTTAAACTATTGAATAAGTTTCTGTTATTGATGCATAAAGTGTACATTTGATGTTGATAATAAAGCCTCGAATCTACCTTTTCTCAGCTGTCTTCAGTAGTTTGCATAAACTACACATTTCATTGAGATTTATTATTATTGTTTGTAACACATGTAACGAATAGTAATTCGCGCAATTAATTAAATCACTATTTATGTGTGTTAATTTACTTTTTAACTTTTTTTGTTTGTTTTTTTTGTTTAGGCAGTGGATACTTACTATTCAAAACTGGAAAGTCAGCGAACATCAGAACAAATCTTACGAAATGTAAGTTCATTACTGGCTTCATTATTATATCGTGATTATGTGCGTTGCATTTTCCAAGAATCATGCATTTTACTAGTCTTTCATGTGACAGAATGTGAGGAGCGCGTGTAGGCAGGAATTACACTGGACAGACAAGAAGACCTGAACTTCGCGAACAATTTATGTCTAAATGTCTTCCTTCACGTTCCCCAGTGGAACATAGGGCTTCAAGCTAGTGGCTTGAAATTTCTGTAGCAGTGTTTATTTTACAGGATGGGGTTGCTAGCCTCATGCCCAACTTTTCCTCTTTACCAGGATTATTTCTGGCTTAGCGAGGTAAAGGAGTGGGTCGGCCGGGGATCGAACCCCGAACCATGTGCATGGTGGGCGAGCGTCCTAACTACTATGCCACCGACGCACACACAATTTATGTATAACGTTACACAAACTCAAAGATCTACAAGCAGAAACGAACAATTTGAATGAAGAAGCAGAAAAGGATAGGACTTCAAGTGAACATAGAAAAGACAGAAGTGATGAGGGGATACCGAATCAACAATAACAACAAGCACTAATCACTATCAACGGATAAAATTTGGAGGAAACTAATTCTTTGACTTATCTGAGCAACATCGTCTCAACTACCGACAGGAGGTACGGATAAGGATATCAAACCCAACTGGAATTGGAAAACCAAAGCCGTTATTAATTAATCTGAGAGCAGCGTGGAAATCTACTGCACTTAGCGTAAAGAACAATACTCGGGTTTTCAACATAAATGTCAATTCAGTGATTCTATACAATTCAGAGACTCAAAGAGCATGTTACGAAAGCATTTCCAACAGCTGGTTGCAAGGCTATGGTGTGCCTCAAGTCTTTCTCAAACTCATTCAACAGCTGGTTCTATGAGAATGCCACGTGTCAGGTGATCCACGACGGGAAACTCGTCGAGGCGTTTGAAGTAAATACAGGAGTAAGACAAGGCTGACTACTATCACCAATGATGCTATTCTTAATTGTGGTAGACTGGGATTATCCGTCAGACAGCGTGTGGGGAGTAAGAAGACAAGAATACTCTGGACGACCGATAAGAAGACTCTAGAAGATCTGGATTTCGCGCGCAGATGATTTATGTTTAATGTCACAAATTCGAAAACACTTTCAGGCGAAAACCAACAAACTGGCAGAAGAGGCACATACCAAAGACAGGACTTCAGGGGAACATAGAGGAGACACGGGTGATGAAGATAACCAACGAACAACAACCAGCACCAATCACCATCAATGGGAGAGATTTAACAGAGGTTACTTTCTTTACTAATCTAGGTAGCCAGCATTGTTTCAACCACAGGCAATCAAAACGGATGAAGATGTCAAAGCAGGCCATAATCGGAAAGGCAAAATACACTTTTATCAATCTGAAGTCAGTCTGGAAATCTTCTACGCTCAGTCAGCATAAACAATAAAATTCGGATTTTCAACACAAATGTGAAGCCAGCCAGTGTTTTTATATACAGGTCAGGATTTTCAACAGGTTGCAGACTTTTATCAATAGCTTCATTCGCTCCATACTAAATATCAAATGGCTGGCTGGCCAGAAAGAATTAGCAACAATAAACTCTGGCTGGGAACAAACTAACCAAGGACCTATCGTTCAACAAATATATAGAATGAAATGGAGATGAATCGGGCATACATTGAGGAGGTCGTCGAGTGACATCGTGCGCAATACAGGCCATTGCCCGAGTGGAATCCCAATGGGAAGAGAAGAGTAAGTGAGTCGTCAGTGCGAGGGTGACATGGGGGAGATCGTACGAAGAGGATATGAGAGATCATTAGGAGAACAGAAAATGGAACAAAGTGGAGATGTGTTCTACTCGGAACCCAAGGGGATTATATATATATATATATATATATATATATATATATGCGTTAAATTGTGCTCGAAATATCATCCAGTTAACAATACTGTATGACTGTGTGTTATATCAAAATAAACTTATCTAATATGGAATGATATCTCTCCAGTGGCCTTTCTTGTGTAAACTGTGGTATATTTTTCATTGTAATTCAAAGATTATATCATGTTGTAACAACAGAAGACAAGGGCCGTCAACAGATCCTTTTATTATAGAAATCAACACGTATTTATATATATTTCCTGTACATTATTATAGCTTATTCAGGTAGACAAACACAGTCTTCTGATTGGTTGTTTCGGGTAACCTCGGAGAGTGGAGCCATCTATCTGCGAATCATATTTGCCCACGTTAAGTCTGCTGTGATTGGTTTTTGAATCAGCCTTGTTCATATTTTCTCACGGCCAATATTAGTGACCTGGACATTGACGTAAATTAATGTCTACCAATTGGCTAGCAGCCTGCTCTCACCACAATGTGATCTTTTAAAAATTGCATGATTCCCATGACTTATTTGCATGTAATCAACTCCTCTTTTTTTCTTTTTGACTTTGATACATATTTATTTCTTTTCTTTTAGGAGCAGAAAGCCAACAAAAAAGTAGAAAATATTAAAAAGGACCAAGAACGTCGTTTGATGGCATTAAAAACTGAACAAGTAAGTAAGTAAGTAAGTAATTCATCAAAAAAAGCGATTATCAACAAAGGTGTGGTACTGACGGTAAGCACTAATCGATATCTGTTGTTGTTGTTAGTGTTAATTATCATGTAACAAATTTCACTCAAGTAATTAATTAATATCTGTAGAGGATGTTGATTGGCTGTATTTAAAAAAAAAGAATGACAGCTTCTGTTTTATTGGATTATCAAAATAGAACATGTTTAGTAGACAAACTGCGTGTCGCACACATGTATCTTAAATTTAAATAAAAATGACTCATCAAGAAACTATTACTTCTACACTTTACTCATCAAAAAAAGACAATAAGACTAGTGAAGATATATATTTCAGCAATTTCTGATGTGAAACGTGAAATCATCAAAGAGGTATCCTCACTGGAAAAATTGTAGATAAATAAGAGAAGTAATTCCATATTAGTTTGTTTATTAGATGTATCACACAGTGAAACAGTATTATTTACTGGATGACAAAGTTTCGAACAAAATTTATTGTTCATAATCATATCAATTGTGATCACACGACTTTGAAATTTGCGTTTTATAGTTTTCTTTGTCTTCTCCTATTTGTCGTCGTTGGGGTAGTAGAATTTTCCGTATATCTGGGACAGGTGTTGAATCGTCCCTATTACATGTATTTCCAGTTGATTCGATAAACAAAGCTTCTGTTATCAATCTCTCCCTATACCCTGTGACATTAGATTTGAAGACTGTCATCCTATCCCATCCTATTGTATGGTTGTGTGTAACTGCATGTAGTGAGTGGTATAGCTGAACTATTCTCTAGATTTCTTATCTTATTTGGGTCAACCAATCTAGATTTAGCTAGGTTTTTATGTTCGGCCAGTCTGACTCCCCTTGTTCTACTAGTTTGACCTATGAATTTGACCTGACAATGGTTGCAGGCAGGGTATTAGATAAACTAAATTGTTTTGTTTTAATTGCTCCACAGGATCCTTTAACCGACAAAGCTTGTTTCTAATTGAGTTTGTGGGTGCGAATGCCACTTTTATCCCTGCCTTATTAAGAATTCTGCGTGAGGCTTCCGAGGTTCCTTCCTTGTATGGAATTACTGTTGATGATTTAGATTCCTTATTATCACTATTATCATTACTATTATTATTATTATTACCACTATCGCTATTATCATTCCATTATAGATAAGATTTTTATTTTGATAAATCGCACAGTGTTTACAGTTATATGAACTGATGACGTTTCGAGCACAATTTATTGCTCATAATCATATCAAGGTAATCACACGACTTCCTAAATTCATTTATATAGTTTCATTGTTTTTCTCTTGATTTTCACTTGATTTGATTGGTAATAGTATTTTCCATATTTCAGGTATGAGTGACGAGTCATTCCTATTGCATGTGTTGGGTGTAGACTCGATGAACAAGGACTCAGTAATCAACCTCTCTCTCCACCTACCTAGATTACTTTTTAGAATTTTAACCCTCTCCCACCCTATTGTGTGGTTGTGTGTTAGCGCATGCATTGCAATTGCTGAGCTTTTTTCTAAATTATTTATCTTCTCGGGGTCAACCATTCTTACCTTAGCTAAATTTTTATGCTCTGACAATCTGACTACCCCTGACCTACTAGTTTGACCTATGTAGTTGACCTCACAGTCATTGCATGGTATTTTGTAAATAATATTATTTTGTCTAATTGGGTCAACTGGGTCCTTTAACCTACAGAGCTTGTCCCTGAGTGAGTTTGTAGGTTTAAATGCCACCCTAATTCCTATTTTATTCAGAATCCTACGTAGTGTCTCAGATGTCCCCTCTTTATATGGTATAACTGTGGATGACTTATATTCTTTCTTATTTATGTTATTATTACTAGTTTCACAATTATTTTTATTTTGTTTTTGGCCTTTAATGATCTTCCTAATGAATTTTATAGGATAGTTATTCAACACCAACGCTTCTTCTATCTGTTTTAATTCATCATTTAGATCTTTTTTTGTGCTACTTAGTGCCACTGCTCGGTTTGTTAAACATTTAACTAAGCCTGCCTTAACAGTTAAAGGATGAGACGAATTAAAGTCTAAATATCTATTAGAATGCGTTGGTTTTCTATAAACACTAGTGTGTAGTTTGCCTTCTTCTATTCTTTTTATCTTACAATCTAACATAGCTAATTCTCCTTGTTCATTTTCTGATTCAAATGTGAATTTTATTCCCTCAACTTGTGAGTTTATATGTGTCAAGAAGCTAGAGATGTGTTCTGTTTTTAACACTGTGAAAGTGTCATCCACATATCTCCACCATATTTTCGGAGTAGGGTTAAATGTATTGAGGGCACTATTTTCCCAGCTGTCCATAAATATGTCTGCTACGATAGGGGATATTGGTGATCCCATTGCTACACCTTCTGTTTGTCTATATATTTTGTCTTGGAACTTAAAGATAGTAGATGTGAGGCATAACTGAATCCCTAAAATAATTTCTTCAATGGACAGCTTTGTCCTATGACTGAGTTCCGGATCCGCAGTTAATTCTTTTTTAACTGCTTCTAAGGCCATATTAACTGGTATATTAGTATAAAGACTAGTTATATCAAAACTAACCATTTTTTCATCATTTTCTAGTTGAATGTCATTTAGCTTACTTTTCATCTCATATGAATTAGTTAGTCTAGAGTTTGAGTGATTTCTAATGGGACAAAGTATTAGAGATAAGTGTCCCATTAGAAATCGCTCAAACTCTAGACTAACTAATTCATATGAGATGAAAAGTAAGCTAAATGACATTCAACTAGAAAATGATGAAAAAATGGTTAGTTTTGATATAACTAGTCTTTATACTAATATACCAGTTAATATGGCCTTAGAAGCAGTTAAAAAAGAATTAACTGCGGATCCGGAACTCAGTCATAGGACAAAGCTGTCCATTGAAGAAATTATTTTAGGGATTCAGTTATGCCTCACATCTACTATCTTTAAGTTCCAAGGCAAAATATATAGACAAACAGAAGGTGTAGCAATGGGATCACCAATATCCCCTATCGTAGCAGACATATTTATGGACAGCTGGGAAAATAGTGCCCTCAATACATTTAACCCTACTCCGAAAATATGGTGGAGATATGTGGATGACACTTTCACAGTGTTAAAAACAGAACACATCTCTAGCTTCTTGACACATATAAACTCACAAGTTGAGGGAATAAAATTCACATTTGAATCAGAAAATGAACAAGGAGAATTAGCTATGTTAGATTGTAAGATAAAAAGAATAGAAGAAGGCAAACTACACACTAGTGTTTATAGAAAACCAACGCATTCTAATAGATATTTAGACTTTAATTCGTCTCATCCTTTAACTGTTAAGGCAGGCTTAGTTAAATGTTTAACAAACCGAGCAGTGGCACTAAGTAGCACAAAAAAAGATCTAAATGATGAATTAAAACAGATAGAAGAAGCGTTGGTGTTGAATAACTATCCTATAAAATTCATTAGGAAGATCATTAAAGGCCAAAAACAAAATAAAAATAATTGTGAAACTAGTAATAATAACATAAATAAGAAAGAATATAAGTCATCCACAGTTATACCATATAAAGAGGGGACATCTGAGACACTACGTAGGATTCTGAATAAAATAGGAATTAGGGTGGCATTTAAACCTACAAACTCACTCAGGGACAAGCTCTGTAGGTTAAAGGACCCAGTTGACCCAATTAGACAAAATAATATTATTTACAAAATACCATGCAATGACTGTGAGGTCAACTACATAGGTCAAACTAGTAGGTCAGGGGTAGTCAGATTGTCAGAGCATAAAAATTTAGCTAAGGTAAGAATGGTTGACCCCGAGAAGATAAATAATTTAGAAAAAAGCTCAGCAATTGCAATGCATGCGCTAACACACAACCACACAATAGGGTGGGAGAGGGTTAAAATTCTAAAAAGTAATCTAGGTAGGTGGAGAGAGAGGTTGATTACTGAATCCTTGTTCATCGAGTCTACACCCAACACATGCAATAGGAATGACTCGTCACTCATACCTGAAATATGGAAAATACTATTACCAATCAAATCAAGTGAAAATCAAGAGAAAAACAATGGAACTATATAAATGAATTTAGGAAGTCGTGTGATTACCTTGATATGATTATGAGCAATAAATTGTGCTCGAAACGTCATCAGTTCATATAACTGTAAACACTGTGCGATTTATCAAAATAAAAATCTTATCTATAATGGAATTATACTCTACCACAGTGCCCAAGTTTTATACTTATATCAATAATTATTTATTAATTTTTACATTCGCTTACATATTTCTTGATTAATTTATCCGGGTAATTATAAGTTTCAAGGCTTCTTTTATGTGTATCACTTCCTGTCTTAGATTTTCCTTGGTACTACTTAGTTTTTGTGCTCTGTCACTTCAACACTTCACCAATCCTATTTTTACTGACATAGTATGGAATGATCGGAAGTTCAAATATCTGTTTGAATGTATGGGTTTCCCGTAAACACTAGTGTTTAACTTCCGATCTTCTTTCTTTTTTACGTTGCAATCTAACATTGGAAGTTCCCCTTCCTGACTTTCCAATTCATAAGTGAATTGAATTGCCTCTACCTTCGAGTTGATGTGTTCGAAAAATCTATCTATATCTTGTGTTCTAAGTACAGTTAATGTGTCATCTACATACCTTCACCATACTTTTGGGGTGGGGGCGAACGTTTCTATCGCTATCTTTTCCCACCTATCCATGAATATATCTGCTACAACTGGGATATTGGTGATCCCATGGCAACTCCCTCAGTTTGTTTGTACATATTCCCTTGGAATTTAAATACTGTAGAAGTTAGGCAAAGCTGTACTCCCAGCATTATGCCCTCAAGTGGCATTTTTGTCCTAAGTTCGAGTTTTTGGTCAGAAATGAGTTCGTTTCTGACCGCCTCTATAGCCATATTTATTGGTATACGTGTATATAAACTGACAATGTCAAAACTAACCATTTTTTCTTCATTATCTAATTTTAAATTATCTAATCTGTGTTTTGGTTCATAAGAATTAGTTAGTCTAGATTTCGAGTGGATTTTTAGGGGATTTAATACCATGGCTAAATATTTAGATAATTCATAGGTAGGTGAATTTCTAAAGTCAACTATAAAACTCAAATTTCAAAGTCGTGTGATCACAATTGATATGATTATGAACAATAAATTTTGTTCGAAACTTTGTCATCCATTAAATAATACTTTTTCACTGTGTGATACATCTAATAAACAAACTAATCTGGAATTACTTACTACCATAGTGCCCAAGTTTTACACATATATTAAATAAGAGAAGTCATAAGACAATCCAAATGAATGCATCTACTCATATCGCCTATAATAAAAATAACAATCTGTGTTACACACCATTTATTCTATTCATATTAATTATTACTTAATATTGTAAGAAATACAACCTAAATATGTATATTTATTTTTTTGCTTTTTTCTCAATCTCATGTACAGGAAGCAAACATGCATTACGCCTATTTACTAGAAGCTAATCACCAGCTGGTAGGTCTGAATATCTGAAGTTGATTTTTATTATGGCTTAATATTATTATTTTCATTCCCATAATTTCATAATAGAAAGTAGGGCTTCAACAGCGCATCTCCATTCCTTCCTTTTCAGCTGGCCCCCCGGCAACAGACCGTTTTATTATGGAAATCAGCACGTATTTATATATATTTCCTGTACATTATTATAGCTTATTCAAGTAGACAAACACAGCCTTCTGATTGGTTGTTTTTGGTAACTCGGAAAGTGAGCCATCTATCTGCGAATCATATTTGCCCACGTTAAGTCTGCTGTGATCGGTTGTTGAATCAGCCTTGTTCATATTTTCTCACGGCCAATATTAGTGACCTAGACATTGACGTAAATTAATGTCTACCAATTGGCTAGCAGCCTGTTCTCACTACACCACCATCGCCCATAAACTCTCATCTCTTCCTCACACTATCTCTTCCATATCACCCTTATACACACACACCACACTCGTCGTTTTCCATTAGGTTTCCACTCAGGAGTCTGACTTAACTTATGCCAAATAGCAGACTGATAACTAACTTCTTAATTGCTCATTTGAAAGTAGTGTCCACCAATGGAGAAGTTAAAAAAGAGATGATTGTAGCTAAGAGAACTTTCTTTTCGACAGAGTCATCAACTAGACTGTACATTTATGTATTTATGGGAAAATGGTTTCCCACCTAGATTCACAGACAAGAAGCTAAAACCAAAGAAACACTTCTGAACAGATCCAAGTCGCTCCTAAAAAGATTCTGATGCTTAATCTCGAATTTAAAAATGATACTGAAGTATTAGTTCTCTGTAAACGGCTTTCAAAATCTTTCAATAAAACATACTTCGGTGCCAGCCTACGGCGCTGACACTTACTTGCAAGAAACTATTCAACCATCAAATGAAAGACAAGCTGTTGCATTAGGACACTTCAACATGTGTATACAATTTCACTTGCTCTTATGGAGCTGAGTAAATAGACCATACCATGCGTCTGGTTGTAAAACGCCCTCAGGAACACTATCCACCCTTGCTAGTAAAAGGAGAACGCAAGTGTGCATACAGTTCGGTAACAGAACATATGGTGAAATCAAGTCACTCAGTTCCGTTTGAAAAGTCCTTCAAAGTCGTATACATGATCCGATCGAACCTCTCAAAGGCAGTGAGATCTGAGCGGGCATAGCTGAGGCACTAACTATCCAAAAGTTCAAGAATACACCCGTGTCTCTACCATGGCCATCATAAAAAGTCAATTCTCTCAATAGGGATTATCCTATTACCTTTTTTATCCAGCCTTCCTGTTTATTTCTGTTATTTATGCGTTTTTTAATCCCTAATTGTAGGTAAAGTCAGTGTGCTTACTATGTTTTCTATCCGACCTTCCTGTTTATCATCACATCTTATTTCCTATTCGCAATTTCAATAATTTGACCATCGACCGGAAACAGTTCTAGAACTTTCTCACCCATTTACTATAAGTACACGAATATGCGGTCTAGTTGATGACTTCGTGGAAAAGAAAACTTTCTTCCCTACAACCATCTTTTTAATATCTAGTGTGTATATTTGATATCACTACGGAACATTTAGCGAATCTTCCTCTGTGCTGTAAATCTTTTGAATCAAACTCTTAGTTTTGTTATATTTTCCTTTCAATAACAAAGTTGAATTTTCCAACTTTTAACCGCCTTCGAGGTTATATTCATCTGTACATCCAAATAAGTGGTAAATTCTTTCATTGATATAAGAATCAACCTTGTGCACTATGGCAGAGTGTAATTCCATTTTGGTTAAATTTTGTTTTGATAAAGTCTCACAGTGTTATACAGTAATGTTTACTGATGACGTTTCGAGCACAATTTATTGCTCATAATCATATCAAGGTAATCACACGACTTCCTAACTTCATTTATATAGTTCATTGTTTTTCACTTGATTTGATTGGTAATAGTATTTTCCATATTTCAGGTATGAGTGATGAGTCATTCCTATTGCATGTGTTGGGTGTAGACTCGATGAACAAGGATTCAGTAATCAACCTCTCTCTCCACCTACCTAGATTACTTTTTAGAATTTTGACTCTGTCCAGACCACCCTATTGTGTGGTAGTGTGTTAATTCATGCATTGCAATGTAGTCCTGAGCTTTTTTCTAAATTACTTATCTTCTCGGGGTCAACCATTCTTACCTTAGCTCAATTCTTATGTTCAGACAATCTGACCACCCCTGACCTACTAGTTTGACCTATGTAGTTGACCTAACTCACAGTCATTGCAGGGTATTTTGTAAATTATATTATTTTGTTTAATGGGATCAACTGGGTCCTTTAACCTACAGAGCTTGTCCCTGAATGAGTTTGTAGGTTTAAATGCCACCCTAATTCCTGCTTTATTTAGAATCCTACGTAGTGTCTCAGATGTCCCCTCTTTATATGGTATAACTGCAGATGAATTATATTCTCTCTTATTTATGTTACTATTACTAGTTTCACAATTATTTTTATTTTGTTTTTGGCCTTTAATGATCTTCTTAATGAATTTTATAGGATAGTTATTCACAACGCTTCTTCTATCTGTTTTTTCATCATTTAGGTATTTCTTTGTGCTACTTAGTGCCACTGCTCGTTAAAGGACCCAGCTGATCCCACTAAACAAAATAATATTATTTACAAAATACCCTGTAATAACTGTGAGGTCAACTACATAGGTCAAACTAGTAGGTCAGGGGTAGTCAGACTATCAGAACATAAGAATTTAGCTAAGGTAAGAATGGTTCACCCCGAGAAGATAAGTAATTTAGAAAAAAGCTCAGCAATTGCAATGCATGCATTAACACACAACCACACAACAGCATGGCTGGAGAGGGTTAAAATTCTAAAAAGTAATCTAGATAGGTGGAGAGAGAGGTTGATTACTGAATCCTTGTTCATCGAGTCTACACTCAACACATGCAATAGGAATGACTCATCACTCATACCTAAAATATGGAAAATACTACTGCTAATCAAATCAAGTGAAAAACAATGAACTATATAAATGAAGTTAGGAAGTCGTGTGATTACCTTGATATGATTATGAGCAATAAATTGTGCTCGAAACGTCATCAGTAAACATTACTGTATAACACTGTGAGACTTTAGCAAAACAAAATTTACGGTAAATTCTTTTGTTCGGGTTTGTCTGTGATGAATGTTCCTCATTTTTGGAGAAAGTGAAGTATGTAGGTTAGTTTCTGTCCTCCTGAGTGACTTCCAACGTATAGGGCTTTTTGGATAAGACTCCTTACCACTAAACTTTAACTCATTGAGGTAAAAGAAAATAAATACCTGATTACGTATTTTTAATTATCTTGAATTAAGCCTTATTGACAAATCACTGTACTATTTGAGCTTTTCAACTGTTGGTCCGTTCGTCCACTTTACCAAATCACGATTGTTTCTGGAGAAAAAGGATAGACATTGTTTTTGTTGTTGCTGTTGTTGTGAATGACTCTCTGAATTTATGAGAATCTCCCCTTGCAATATTATTAATAATTATCTTATCTTAGTCAGTCTTATTCATATATTGTTATTTTTCTACCTATTTAGGTGGACAACATAATTATCATGCTCAATCATGCATTATACAATCAATTAGATTGGACAGAATTGGAATCAATAGTTGAAGAGGCAAAACAACGTGGTGATCCGTTGGCATGGCGTATTGTTGAATTAAAACTATTATCAAATCAAGCTGTTATACTTTTAAAGTAGTTTGTTACTATTTTTCGCTTGTATCTTACCAGCCTTATAAAATCTCTTGTACTATTATTATTTTAGAGATCCATTTGAAGTGTCTAGTGATGGTGAAAACACTGTCGATTCAAGTAAAACGGATTACACACAAGTAACTATAGATCTCGATTTGAATGCTCTTAATAATGCTCGAAAGTAAGTCAAATTAGTATTTGTTGTAATGAATTTATTTTGGAGGATATTTTCGTTTCCTTTTGCTTAATTTCTGTCCTACCAAAAGTGGCACCTTATCTAGATTTATGTTAATAAGGGCATAATGCATACCACTTTAAAAGTTTACTTAAAAAATAAGCCCTAACTTCCTTGAAATTTTGATTGAGCTTAATTATCACTATGAACAAACAGGCAATTTGTAGAATGCCCTAAAGGTTAGTTGGGTAGTTAAGGCAATTACCGTAGCTGTGTAAATTGCTAATGCTATGGTAGTAGTGGGATGACACAGTTGTCTACCGGCTGGAGGTGCTTTGGCGACAGTAATATGTTCCCCTTCGATTGTTAGATGCTGGAGAAATTCGGCGGCAAAAGTTGCACATCTTAGCTTACTGTATAGCCATGCTTAACAGGCAGTTAAAGTTCTTAATGGGATACGATTTCCGAAATTCTACTTCTAAAAACATTGCGTGAGCTGCTCTACTTTAATATCACACAAAATTAATCCTGTTTCTTCAATGAGAAGTCAATCTTCACAACAGCGGCAGCAGAAAAGTACCAGGTATTCTTCTGACATACTAATTTTTTCTGTCCATTCCTCATTCTTTCTCAAGCTTGAATAGTTTTCCTACCACTGAAACCATATTGTTCTTTCGTCTTCTCTCAGTTCTATCGCAACCGTTACTAGCAACCATTCCCATAGAAACACTTTACTTAGTCTCTTAAAGTTACAATGTCAAATTTATTTTGAATTTTTTTATCCTCTGAATCCTATCCTAAATCGGATAATAGGTCTCAGTAGTTAGAACTTTGGCATCTCAGACTTCAGATGTATATTGCTACTTTGAGTAAATAAAACATAGTGTATTCATAATTCACCTAAACCCATCTAATGAGTGTACTCAATCGATAGAACTCATTGCCGGTGTCGAACCGATAGTGAGAACAGATAAATTATTTTATTACGAGTCATCTACGGAGATGATCAATGATAGATGACCACCTCCTGTTGAAGCGCTTATGGAGAATTTAACAATGCGATATTCTATTTGTACGTATGTGACTGACGACGCAAAATGCAAGCGATTTCGAGGCCTTTAGATGCTAAGTCTGTCGATAGGAAAATCAGTTCTTTATTCAGTGAAAATTCAGTTAAACATTTATCATCCCTTAAAAGCTAGATATCTTTCAGAATGCTTCGAAAACAGTTGTGGTGAATGTCGATAACCATCATCGTAATGTTGGTGTGGTGAGAGGTGGCTTCTAGCCAAAAGTGGTAGACAGTATTTTACGTCAATGGGTATGTCGCAAATATTGGTGGTGAGAAAATATGAACAAAGACTGATTCAACAAACAACCGCAGCACACTTTGCGTAGGCGGATACAGTTAATATATAGATGATCTGATATTCAAGAAACAGCCAAAAAGAGATGCAAGGCTTACTTTCAGTGAGAAACAACCACCAATCATAAGACTGTGTTTGTTTGCCTGAATAAGCTATAATGATGTACATAAAAATATATAAATACTTGTTGATTTCCTTAATAAATGATCTGTTGCCTGGCCCTGTTGTTACATTAGTAAGTGCCAGAGGATGTTTTGTAGCTTCTATTCCAGTCACATGGTGTGTTATATTCAATAAAATCCAAATATCACATACCGTGGTCTTCCCATGTTTTAAATGCCTTGACTTACACTTTCGTTTCTTTTTACTTGTACGAGAAGTATTATATATGATGTGTGAAAATATGTGCTTTGCTCCACTGAAGTACAGTTGTATCAATGAAAATCTGGTAGAAATTGTCGATTCCTCAAGCATATAATTTAAAATACCTTCCTGGGATCTTTATCATATAAAACGTAATTATTTTATGTGATGAAAACATCCTATGTGAAGTTATTCTTTATTGTGTAAATTCTTTAGTTATTATTATGTAGTACATACTTAGGAACTCCATCTTTTTTTAAAATATTTGTTTACAGATATTATAATAAAAAGCGGGTTGCCAGTAAAAAAGAAGAAAAAACTATCAATGCTTCACGCAAAGTAATGAAACACTGAAATTATATATATACACACACGTATATTTGAATAATTGCATTGTTTATTAAATATGTCTTTCAATACTATTTCCACTGTTAACCTCTAACGTTTGTGTGTAATCAAACCTAAAATGTTCGCCTGACTGATCAACTGACTTCCAACGTAGAACTTACTTAGTACAGAAGTGCAGCAGTTCAAGTCTGTCTGGATTCAACATAGAACTTGGCACCGAAATGCAGTAGTTTAAGTTGCCACGTTCCAAATAGCACACAAAGGTAGACAAGAAGATGATTGAAGAGAATCAATAGAGTTTGACAGATATAAGAGCGAAACAGAATGAGTAATGGTAGAAAGAAATATGAAAGATTACAGAGACTGAATACATCTGCGCCATTGACAACGATTTTGAGCCATGTCACCTATTGTCTCCAGCCATTGATTCTTAGAGTCCCGAGGGCCCCAACCCGGAAATCTGCATCTCCCTACCTGACTCAGTTTAACTGTCAAGGATTTCAGGATTGATGACATGTTTTTGTTTGGCCACCACTTACTCTTTTCCAACCTGCACTAATATCAGCTAGTAATGCCCGTCGGGGGAGGCGATGGTTAGGCATGCGCACGTGACCTAGCCATCTCAATCTATGCAACTTTATAGCCTCGTCGATTGATTTTCCCTATTTGCCCAACACTCTACGCCTAACGTCAACATTACTTACCTTGTGAAACCACCTAACCTAACCACCTTTCTCTCACATAAGTATCATGATCACATCACTACATCCTGTTGATTCTACGGTGCATATATGCTAGTAAAATAGTAAATTCTCCTACTGGACAAGAACTACTAAGTATATTTAATAAACTTCCGAAATTGAAACTAAGTTCATTCACGCATCATGAAGTTTTCAAGACTGTTCGTAGCTCGGAATCTGAATGTTTTGTTCAAAACATGTTTCAAGGTGGAATTTCTTTGAGAGCATTGGTGGCCAACTTCTCATTGATACTCCAGTCATCATTTTCAGTGGAGTTTAGAAATCGCTTAGGAAAAATGTGATTTTTTATGGAACATATATGCAAGTCTATTACAGCATCCTGGTGATCGGTTAGATTTTCAGGTCAGTTGGATCTGATTACATGAGTTGCTATGTTCTGGACGACTGAATGGCTTATTCGAATCTACTATTTTAGCTTGTGTTTGTTTCACAAGTCAACCTTGATTCAATTGAGCCTAATTCCACTTGTCATATTTCGTCACGAACTAATATCACTTATCAAGTATTGTTGTTTTAGGGACTTTTTTAATTGCTTGGAGGAATTTATCATGAGCTGACATCAGTTAGAGAACCCGATACCTTCAGTTACGAACCCAAGCTCGCTGATCGATCAGCCACTTGAATAGGAACTCAGTAGTCCGTAAATTCTAACTTTGTCTGCTCGCGGCATAGCGCTGCCCTCACTGATACCTACTTAGAACATTTACTTCATCTTAACGTGGTGAATTCCACTGTTCATAACTTCTGACTACAGCTTCAAGACATCCATCATGTAGCCATGGACGGTCTAGAGATTGATATTTAGATTATGTTATTCTGTTTTTCAACACATCAGTTAGCTTGATTCCACACAGTATTTTAGACGCAAGTATGGAATTTTCAGCATGTTATATCGGTAGCCCAAATTTTGCAGGCCGACCATAGATATCAGGTGTGCGTCTGCCTTGGCTCGAACCCCGGACCATGTGCATGATCGGCGAGAGTCCTAACCACTGTGCCACCGACGCACAGGGTCTAATTTTTCACATATTTTTATATGTCTATGCTTATCATTATTTATATTTAAGAGTGACATGTAAAAATTATTTTCTTTATACTTTTTTGATAGGTTTTAAAGTCAGCCACACATAAAGCTGAAATAACTAGAAAGACTGCCAAAACCGTTGCACAAATTACAGAAGTTCGTAAACCTATGTGGTATGTTTTTCTTTTTGTACATCTCCAGAGAATTTATTTAAATGCATAAACTGTCTTATACGCGTTAGTATACAAAAGCTAGAAGTGAAAATGTATGCTACTTTGTGATCAGGATTAATTAGTGAACTTAGATTTTACTCAACTGTGTGTATTAGATATAAAATACTCTTTTCTTTGAGATAGTTCAAGACTTATTTGTATGGTATTCAATTAATTTATTACTTTAATTGTATTAACATCTAATGTCTATGGTGATTAAAACACTCAATAAGTTAGTCCACTGTAGTTCATATCCTTTTCTATTGTACAACTAATTTTTCTCTGACATCGTTTGTTTTAGTATAAAGGTTTAATTGTTAGTTAACTGATCGAATGAGAAACAAATATCTCCCACACACGTTTATTCGAATTCACTACTTCAACATTAAAGTGAAAATAAGACATAAGCAAGCCTAAGAGAATCCAGGCAACTAAATAAATCACTGTAGTACTGAAATATATACACCTAGCTAGAAATTTCCACACACTGTTAGACAATTCTATTCGCTTCTTCTTCTACGGCATTTCCTTCAGTTCAGTGCTATCAATCCATGGTCAAGAGTTGATCACGTTTGTGTGTCACCCATGTGGAGGCATCTAATTCAAACTTACACAAGTTGAGGTATCCAGTGAAGAAGTGATATGTATCCACATGATGTGTGTTTTGTTTTTGACAGTCTATTATATTTTGCTGTGTATATGGATCGATATTTCATTATAACTCAATTATGTTATGTACTAGCTGATTGGTTAATAGAGTTTTCCCCGTCGCCAATTATGTTATGTACTCGTCGAGTAATTAATAGTCCTGACGCGGAAAGAGGGAAATCAGAAGACCACCAGGTTTACGATGATACTTGTATTTTCCAGACAAAGAAAATAAATGTCACACAAGAGTGTGAGTGAAATGGTACGTAGTGTACGAAATGTGGGAACAAGTATGAATAAGTGTATAATGCAAGAGTATATATGAAAATGGCTAGTACACATGAACCAATAAATAGACAGTCTTAACATGATTGGTTGTAATGTCATGTGACAACAAGGTCACACATGTTTATTTAGTTGGTGGACAGACAAAAGCACATTGTCAGTTATAATGAAATATCGATCCATATACACATAGCAAAATATAATAGACTGTCAAAAACAGAACACACATCATGTGGATACATATCAAGAAGTAATAAAAAAAAACTATATCAAACAAGCAACAAACTTTAATGATGCAGGATATAATGAATTCATCAAATTTCGATAGAACTCTTCAACTGAATACTCTACATACAGGGATATAGTGTTATCTTACAATCTGATAAAGGACAGAGTGTGGTACTGGTGAATAATAAGATGGATTATACAGGAAAAATGCATCATATTCTCTCTCATGGATTTAAATTCAAAATGGACAATCATGCTAAAGATCAAACATTGTCTACCGAAAGAATAATTGTGCGGCATTTATGGCAACTTTTCAAACAGAAATACATTGATGGGAATACATATAGGAATATCAAACCGATTGGGTCACAGATGACAAAATTATACGGCCTTTTTCAAATACTCAAACCAAGAGCACCTGTAAGACCTATACTCCCAATGATAAATTCACCATACTACAAATTAGCACAGTGGTTATGTGAATTATTACAGCCTTTGCGAAAACGTTTTGGGAAATATATAATTTTTGATTCATTCCAGTTCGTCAAGCAAATTAATGATGTCAATGTATCTGGCAGGCATCTAGTCTCTTTCAATGTTACTTCCCTATTCACAAATGTTCCAGTTTTTGAGACTACTGACTTTTATATGTAGAGAGACTGAAGACATACCCAGTCCAATATCGGAATTGAGGAAATTGCTGCCTTCATTTACTAAAAATATCCAATTCCAATTCGATAGGCGTCTATTCTCTCAAGCTGATGGTGTTTCAACGGGAAGCCCTTTGGGACCACTTTTTGCGGATTCATTCTTGTCAGACGTAGAAGCCGGTATTTCGCAACAGCATATACAACAAACGAAAGTATACTGAAAATATTTTGATGATATTTTTATTGTCTGTGGAAGCAGATCTAATGCTGTAGACCTGTTGATAAAATTCAACTGGTGTCATCCGAATCTCAACAAAATACGCGGAAAATGGCACTATTAAATTCCTAGACGTTTTTCTAGTGAATACGACTAATGGCACAATCGAAAGATCTATATTTAGAAAGTCTTCACAGACAGGACAGGACATGCATTTCAGAAGTTTTGTCCAAATCCAGTATAAAAAGAACTTAGTCAGAACACCGTTCAATATAGCACGGAAAATTTGTTCTGAAAAAGGCTCTGAAGAATATTTTATCTAAGAATGGATATCCTGAGATCATTAGTAAATACTCTGAAGAAATGAGCCACAACAAAACTATCCAAACAGTTCCAAAGAAATTTGTCTATATCAGTTTGTCATTGAAAGGCGGCCTGCTTAAATCACTGGGTTACCAGAATTTCCATCCATCAAAATGCTTAAACTCTTCTGCATTTCTTATTGTTTTAATCGTGCAATTTTAGCAAATTACCACTACATGAAGCCGCGCGCATATTCAATTAGCCTCCCACTAGATGCTGTACAATTCTTTAAGGAAATGAAGAAAAAACTTAGAAAATTGATTCTCTCATCATCTGCAACAATGCTAAGTAACATGATATACTTCAGATTATTGCTTTACATGTAAATTGTGTATGAAGAGGAAATATTTGGAGCTAAATTTGCTGAAAATTTTTGTACTATATGTCTTCCTTAACACCAGCAAGCGATTGCTTCAACAATCTGGAAAAGACTAGTCGCCAATCCTCAACACTTCTTCAAACTGTGTATATCAATTTGAGTGTGTTTGTGGAAGCAAATGTTGTATAGGTCGCACAGCAAGACGATTGTCTATCCGTATGATTGAGCATGTGCCATAGTGGTTGAAAACACCTGAAGTCAAAGTGCAAAAACGTTCAATAAGAAAGCACTTTGTGGACCACGGACATGATATCGACGTTGTCAGTAGACAAAGAGACAGGAAGATGTATGCAATGGTGGAGGCTTGTGCAATTCGAGTTTATGAACCAGGTCTCTGAGTATGCCTAACCCAACCACTCTTACTATAATGGTAACAACTTTGTTGATTTCTATTGACCTCACTTTTGTTTGCTTATCTTTCGAACTGCTTATAACTCTTGTATTTCTCTAGAACTTTGACGTAATTCCGTATTTTCTTTCGTTTCAATGTTCATCCTGATCACTACTCACTCATTAAATTATACATCTTATTACGCAGATATAACACTCTTATTCGCTTTTGTTAGTACCGTGTTTTGGGAAAAAAATTGTATTTAAACCCCGTTGTACAGGTAAAAGGGGAAAATGAATTTGCGGAAAAGAGCCTCTTCGCTGAAATACGTGTTTTATAATTATAGTCACTAAAAAATTTATTTATTATTTTTTTTAACCAGATGCTTTGTGCTTATCACCTCATTAATGGGTCAACCATTGAACAGATAACATACTGATGTCATGCATAATTAATTAGTAGTAACAAAGCGAACGTATTAGTCAAGCTACTAATACACAGTTTAATAAAACCACAGAAGGATAAAATTATGAAAGTAAAGAAAATGGACTGACTATATAGAAATCTATAGAACTCAGTTCCTCAGTATTTATCCTTAATTTTCTAGTCTATAAGCTAAACTTGTGAGTTGTAATGGCTTATAGTAGTAAATGCTAAAGAAAATATGAATCTTATGTTTATTCGTTTTCAGCGCCTATTCTGTCTTCAGTTTTCAGTTAAATTTTAACCAATCATACTACGTATGTAGGACAACGTTTTTGAAATGTGTTGTTAATTAAAAAGATTGTTTCGCCCTTAATATTAATACCATTGTTATAATTTTAACTGAACAAATTTAGTATATCACTTTATTTTTTTTATTTTCTTCAGGTTTGAAAAATTCTTTTGGTTCATCAGTTCTGAAAATTATTTAATTGTTTCTGGTCGTGATTCACAACAAAATGAAGTGTTGGTGAAGCGGTACTTAAAATCTGGTGATATATTTGTTCATGCAGATATACACGGCGCTAGTACTGTCATAGTGAAAGCTCGACATCTTACCTCTGAAGAAATAAGTTCTTCAAGATATCAAGGTAAGGTAAACACCTTTTTTCCATTTTAAGATTAAAAAAATTTGTGAAGTTATTTGATTATTTTTTTAAAATATATTTATTTTGATTATAGCTTAATTCCACACCGTATTTTTGGTACAAGCATGTGATATCGGTAGCTCAAATTTTGTAGACGGACCAGTGATATTAGGTGTTCGTCGGCAGGGGGTCGAACCCCGGGCCATGTACATCGTCTGCCAGAGTCCTAACTGCTGTGCCACCGACGCACTATCAACATACTGGTTAAAACACAGTTACCTAGAAGAGATTTTGATGTACCAGACTGTGGGTCATGTGTATTGTCTCAGGACTAACAATGATTGTTATTTCACCCCCCCCTCCCCTCCCCAGGCTTAAGTAGGTGGGATAAATTCAGACGCGGGACTTTTTCCATGAAAGCCGTCTATAATTCACATTTACACTGGAAACATACGGTTAAGTCGATCCGTTTGTGCTTCATAAACGAACACCTACCTTTAGTGTAAGTTTCACCCATTGATGTGCGTGGGTTGATTTTGAAAACAAATACAGACTGTAGGAGTGAGTAGCATCATCAAATTGAAATATCCGTTTTTTAAACTTGTCATAATCAAATTTATTTCAAAATGGATTTCACCACTAACTGATATCAACTAAAAGCTCATTGGAATCGAATGAATGTTGAACAAGTATTTCGTCCTCATATGAGACTCTTCAGTGGTGCATGACCACCATCTTGTAACTGTTTGAATCTAAGACCATTGGTTTCTTTTTTGGAACTGAGTGCTGCGTTTCTTTGAAATTCTGTTAGTTTGTGATAAGACCTAACCTCTTTTTATTGCTTATAAGCGATTTATTACGTCATGGATATCCACGAATCCTAATTGCAATTTATAACTATTTAGAGATAGTTTAATCACTTTGTAAGAGCTGGTACATATCGCTGAAATTCTATGAAAACTGCACTATTTGGTGAAGTATTAGAGATTGAAAATCACGAAGCATTTGTATTCCAACCCAGTGGAGAAGTTTTTATGTTCTCACCTTGAGCGTAATTCATTGACAGTTTTAGGCATATGCTACTTGAATTTAATGGTTTCTCTAGTTCATGTTTCACTGATGAAGTCCGCCTTCAAATGCAGTACCACTAGCTGCGTATATACCATGCGTAACTTTCCAGTTATGTTTATAGGTTGTTGATCAGTATTGATAAACTGAGATTTCAGATGCAAATTAACCGCTGACAAAAATTTTAAAAACCAGCAAATGCAAAGATGAGTAGAATAAAATAAGGTAGTTCAATTATAAAATCACTATTAACAATTTAAACATAATGAATTAAATAATTGAATGTATGAATGAAGAAACAGTAAGTATTGTAGATTAAAAGTGTATGGATGAAAGTTGAGGTATCGATAGGTTTGACCTTTCACAATTCCATGCCTAGACCGAATCAGATGCTTATCTTAGAAAAGACCACTATTCAAACCTTTGACATGAAGTTTGTTCTACGATGACCAAAACACTTTCATATATATCATTCGCGTCTTTTAGATCCTGAGGCCCGTATTCATAATTGGCTTGGAATCGGGGGATATCTAGCTTCCTTATGTGTATAGTCTACGTCCACCAATCTGGTGAACTTCCTAAGTTAAACATAGGCTTTCAGCCTCACAAATAAATTGCTCTCAGTTCTCTGCAATCATTTTCAGCCAACCCTACTACTACTATTCTCCGTGTCAACCTTGAACCCATACCCATCTTATCACTTCCCGTTCGGGTTCCACTCGAGGGCCTAGTGCGTGATGTAACTTGCATGTCTCCTTTATGTATGTCTGACCTATCTCCACTCCTTTCTGCATGTTTCTTGGGTAATAGCTTCTGGAATAGTTCGCTGCTATCATCCCTTGTTGTTTAACCCTGTCAATAGGCTATCTGATCTTTAGTATTGAGCTAATACAGCTGCTGATGAAAGCCCGTAGCTTATTAGAAATGCTTTTGTTCACGCGTACGCCGTTTATGAATCATAAAGAATTACTAATGTGTCATTTGTCTTAAAAAATCCTGATCTTGTTCCTTGTTCCAAGTACTACACATCTTCCGACTGATTCTAAAGTAATGAACACCTAGCTTGCTTTCCCAACTGTGGCTGATTTTGACATCCTCATTAATGCTGCGAGTAGTTGAGATTATTCTGTTGAGATAAGTAAACAGACGATATGCTTCAGACTTCTCCTGTAGATAGTAATTAGTCCTTTTCCTTTTTGGGGTATCTTCATCATCTGTTTTCTCTATGTTCATCTGTATTCCTGTCTCCGCTATCTCTTCTGTTAACCACCTGTTGGTTATGGCTTGCATATCTTCGAGTTAGTGCGACTTAAGACATGGATTATTTCCAAAGTTCACGTCTTCTAGGGTCTTTTCAAAATATGCCTGCCTGTCGTCCACCTACCACTGTCTATCACATGACTCAGTCCACCACAATTAAAAGTATTACTGGTGGCAAAAGACAGTCGTGGCTTACTCTATTCTTCACTTCAAAATCTTCGCTAAGTATTCCGTCGTGGATCAGTTGGTATGTAGAATTATCTTAAAGCTATTGAATAAGGTTTACGAATGTTTACGGCACTTCTTTTTAGCGGTGAATGCTAGAAATTCGCGTTCACCTTTATATTTTTGTTAGAACACCCGCCACGTCATGTGTGGGTGCAGTGAATACGATCTACGTGTGATATTTGTTGTGAACGCGTGTATACGTGAGGCCGGTTCGTGAAGAAGACTATTGTCTTCTCAGGTTATTTATAGAGGGCTACACCCTAATTATTTTATTAAAATAGAGTCATATTAAAGTTATTTTTATACATATTAATAACTTTAACATTTTTTAAAGAATTCATATGTAATCACTTCCTCTATTTTCACTGACATCAGACATGTTGTTTATACTTACAGAAAGTAATTTAGTGCAGTATTCTTCTCCTACAGTGTACGCTGGCTTAGTTTTATCATCCTCACTTCCTATATTATTTTTAGTTCTTTGACATTCTCAGTTATGAAGAATCCTGGATATTTCCTGAAAGTAACTTTTGATAAATACGTCTTATCGGCATATTACGTTTATATTTTATATCAATTAAGAAAAAGACGATAATGTATTGTAGAGGAAGTCGAAGCATAAAAGCCAGTCTGCCTGTCTGTCTGTTCTTGATTCTTCGGGTACCTGAAACAGAAAGGTGTTGTGTGGCCGCAGGGCCTAGGGGACAACTGCTTGAGGCCGGTCACACACGGCCTGTGTGAACTGGTTCCTGGGATTGGTTCTGTATAAGTAAACTTACCGCCGGTTACGGACCATCGTAGGGTAAGTCGGGATGTACAATTCTCGGGTTCGGCCTTTTCTAACCCCTTCTCTCCGGAGTGGAGACACAGCATAGCTGGCTGACATGCTGGTCATCTGAGAGAAACACCTCACTGCTGTTACACCCCTGTTCCCTAGCAATACGACTTCGCCCTCAGACCCACAACATAGTATAAGAAAGATTCTTACACAATGCCGGTAACTGCTTTTAGTCTAATCGCTATGCTAACAACCTTCATGGCATGGTAGGACCTGCAGGAACATTAGTTCCAGCCAGTGCAGCTTGTTGGGTCATCGTGATGTGCAAGCCCGACCACCACGTCAAGGTAGCAGCTATCGGTCGGGATAAAAGCCAGTGAACTCATACATTTGAGAAACTGTCATCACTTGTCATCTACATTATTTTTGGATTAGGAGCTACAAATAGAAATCAACTGACTCATTTTTAAAAACGCCTAAATGCCACTCATGCATTACTAGAATATTTATTTAGTCTTCATTCTAAAAGACTAGTTAAGAAGTTCACATGATGTCTGCTAAAATTCTGTCACAGGATTTCACTTACACTAGTATCTTACAGCGTCATCCTTATTATTCACAGAATCTAGCAGTCTTATTTCTTTATCTCTGATGTTTTCAGAAGTTCATGATTATATAAAACGTTATTTACAGAGATTTCAGAGATGTTGTAATAAGTAATTTCAAATTTTGATCGCTTCCGTGAAGCTCATATAAGTTTTTGAGTGGAACTTTAGAATTACTTGTTATAATGTCGCTGATGTTCCTATAAACATAACTTTTTATGTACCTCTTCTCTACGCTCGATTTCTCATTTTTATGGAAACTATTAGGTCATCGAAGAAGACACTGCGAAGTGATCACACTATGTCATGAATTGGCAGAAGTTAGAATTTATGGGCTGGCCATTGGATAGTGTCCCAGTGGCTTAGTGATCTATGTGCTCACCTTGTAACCAGAAGGTCCTGGGTTCAAACCCTGGCGGTGGGTGCGTACTGTGAAGAGTCCTGAACTAAGACGAAACATCTGTCCAATACTAACCGATGTCAACTGATGATGAAACCCTCCAGCTTATTAGGTCAATACTGTAATGAGAAATTTTTGATTTTCATGAGCTTTTAATTGGTTATATGTTTGTCTCATAAACTTCCAACTCTTCCTCAGACACTATAGCCACATCACTTTTAATATTACTATTATTATTATTTATTCATACCTTGGGGCAAGCTGTTAATCAATTCTCTTTCAATGTTTTAGATAATACAATAGATAAAACTAACAGTTTACCACTACCTCCACCAAAAACGTTATTAGAAGCAGGTAATATGGCTGTAGTACTGAGTTCTGCATGGACAAGTCATGTTCTAACAAGAGCTTGGTGGGTTCATCATCATCAGGTGTCAAAAACAGCTCCCAGTGGTGAATACTTGACAACCGGTGCATTTATGATACGTGGCAAGAAAAACTATTTGCCACCATGTCCTTTTGATTATGGATTCGGTATAATGTTCAAGGTGAGAATTTGAAAAATGTAGATCATCATCATCATCATTTCAGACTTTAATCTAATGTTATGCAATAGTGTAATTTATCAAAACATTTTATTTTCTTTTTTTTGGACTATTCCTATTTTCATCAAAATTGTTTCTATGTTTCAAAACATGTGAACTTTTTCTCATGAGTGTTACTCAGAGTTACTTGAAGACATCTCATTTCTGTAATTGTTTTTTTCCTTCACGTTCCCCAGTGGAACATAGGGCTTCAAACTAGTTTCCATAGCAGTGTTTATTTTACAGGATGGGGTTGCTAGCCTCATGCACAACCTTTCCTCTTTACCAGCATTATTTCTGACTTAGCGAGGTAAAGGAGTGCATCGGTGGCCGGGGATCGAATCCCGGACCATGTGCATGGTCAGCGAGCGTCCTAACCGGTATGCCACCGACGATGTGTAATTGTTGCTTCATCAATATTATTGTTTCCTTTAATTCCTAGAGGAACATAGGGCTTCAGCCTCATATCTCCACTTCATTCGGTTCTCTGCCAACGTTTTCACTTGGATCCACGTTTGCCCACATGCTTCAACAATATATAAACCTTCTATTAAGGATAAGAGTTATGATAAAGTCTTACAGTGATGACTTTTCGAGAACAATTTATTACTCGTAATCGTATCAGTTTACTCATGCAACTTTCTAACTTTGTGTTTGCATCACGATCGAGTTTCTATGCCTCTAAATTAGGTGAACAAATAAGTGAAGCATAACAATAGAGCCTAATGCCGTAAAATCTCACAATACTACTGTGTGTATTAGGTTTTAGTGTTTAGAGAGATGATCTAAACAAGTTGTTAGGAAAGAGATTGAAAGTAAAATACTCTTCACTTCTTCTACAATTTCTCATTAAGTCTTATGCAACTAGGATGAAGTAAGTTTACTGGTAGACTTCTATCTCTTCTATCACTTAATGATGTTAAGAGAAAGCATGTGTGTCGGTAGTTAGGACTCTCACCAACCATGCACATGGTCCGGGGTTCGATCCCCTCCCTGCCGACGCACACTTGATATCTATGATCGGCCTGCAAAATTTGGACAACCGATATCACATGCTGAAAGTTCCATACTTGTACCAAAAATACAGTGTGGAATCAAGCTGTAATCAAAAATAAAATAAAAAAATAAATAGATAATAGGATATTTCATACGCAGATTAAATGCCTAATTTAAGCATGATAGTCTGAATACTTATTTATGAAGGGATAAGAGATCTGATTATGCGGTCTATGATTAAAAATAATCACGTTTACCGAAGTGGTAACTGGCTGTAAAATGATAAAAACTTTATACTTCCCGAAGGTCAACTTGTTGTAACTAAAGGATGCACAAATTTTAGTTGGCTTCATTTATCGTAAAGACAGCTAGAGGTTAACTGTCATTTCTTCTTGATAAACACATCTGGTTGGATTCATTCAGCAGTTATGTTACTGTCAGACTGAAACATGCTGTTGATTTCGACATCACTTTTCTAGTGATCTGACTTTTTTAGTGAACGTTTAAAAACTAGACAATGTGGTAGTATACAATTCCATATGAGCCTTTTTATTACAAAGATCGCGGTTATTTTATTATTATTTTATTTTATTCCTTTGCGTTACGGATGGAACATAGGGCTTCAAGTGTTGAGCTTTGAAGTTACAGTAGCAGTGGTGTTTCTTTTTAGAGAGGGGTGGGTGGAGTTACTAGCCTGATGCCTGTTTTTTGCTCTTACAACCGGCTAGAAGGGGTAAACGTGTGCACCGGCTAGAAATCAGATCGCGGACCACTTGTATGGTTGGCGAGTATTCTGCTCTTGAACCACCGATGCACAAAACACAGTAAAACATTAACGCATGTGTAGAACTTGGGTACTTTGGTAGTATGTAATTCTGTTATGTACTGCTGCTGAGCGAGTTATTAGAGTTTTCCCCGTCGCCAATTATGTTATGTACTCGTTGAGTAGTTAATAGTCCTGACACGCAAAGAGGGAAATCAGAAGACCACCAGGTTTACGATGATACTTGTATTTTCCAGACAAGGAAAATAAATGTCACACAAGAGTGTGAGTGAAATGGTACGTAGTGTACGAAATGTGGGAACAAGTACGAATAAGTGTATAAAGCAAGAGTATATATGAAAATGGCTAGTACACATGAACCAACAAATAGACAGTCTTAACATGATTGGTTGTAATGTCATGTGACAACAAGGTCACACATGTTTATTTAGTTGGTGGACAGACAAAAGCACATTGTCAGTTATAATGAAATATCGATCCATGTGCACATAGCAAAATATAACAGACTGTCAAAAACAAAACACACATCATGTGGATACATATCAAATTCCACATTAATTTGTTTATTAAGTATACATATCATACAATGGAACGGCATTATTTACTGGATGGCCAAGTTCCGAATACAGTTTTTTTCTTCATAATCATATCGATTATAACTAAACAGCTTCGAAACTCTCGTTTTACAGTTTTCTCTATCCAATGCCAAACTGAAGCTGTATGGTTATAATTGATATGATCATGAAGAATAAATTGTGTTCGAAACTTGTTCATCCAGTAAATAATGCCGTTCCACTATATGATATATATATATATATATATATATATATATATATATATATATATATATAAACAAATTAATATGGAATCACAGTAAGACAGTATAAATTAGTAAATGAATCCTATTTTACCACCTAAGTTTTTGGTGTTTTGAATCAACTTCATCAATCAATCAAATATAACTTGAAGAAGTTCGGACCAGATCATTTCAATTTCGCTGAGATTTTACAAATTCTGTTGTAACAACAGAAGGTAAGGGCGTCAGCAGATCGTTTTATCACGGAAATCAGCACGTATTTATATATATTTCATGTATGTTATTATAGCTTATTCAAGAAGACAAACACAGTCTTCTGATTGGTTGTTTCGGGTTTCTCGGAAAGTGATGCCATCTATCTGCGAATCATATTAGCCCACGTTAAGTCTTCTGTGATTGGTTGTTGAATCAGCCTTATTCATATTTTTTCACGGCTAATATTAGTGACCCAGACATTGACGTAAATTAATATCTACCAATTGGCTAGCAGCCTGCTCTCACCACACTGTAAGTAATTGCATCTTCACGCTTTCTATATACTTCCAAATATTCTAGATGTCAGTGACTTACAGTATCACATTTTATTACTATGCGGCATATCTGTCTAATATAGTTTTGTGATATTCAACAACTTTCGAATAATTCATATTTCACCGATATTGATACTGCATATTTGCTGGTTGTTGATAAAAGCGTTCTACTTTTTGATCATATTTTATTATTTTCATAATTTCAGTTACATGAAGATTCTATAGCTAAGCATAAAGGGGAGCGTCGTATTATCGTTTTGGATACACCATCTTCAGAACAACTGGAAGATAAAATGGAGAGATTAACTTTGCATAATGATGAAGAGAATTCAGAATTTCCAAATACTATTCTTCAGTTAGATTTAGCAAATGATCTGTCCAAGTAATTATGGTACTCTTATTTTTTTTAAAATATATCTGGTAAATAAAATATAACTTTTATTAGTTAAATAATACATATTCCACCACCCCACTTGGCTATTGATTGCCTCTGCTTACTTTCAGTGATTTCGTGACCTCTACATTCCAGCAACAGCTGCATTCTTAATAGTTGAAACTAAACTCGAAAATATCAAGCTATTTTGGGTAGCTTTAATAAGTTTGAAAAACTACTTCAGTAAAAATTTGATCTGGAAGCAGTATCAGTCCGAGAATCAATGAAAGCTATGAGGCACTAAACCTGTTTTGTCCCAATCCGGGACTCTGCAGTAGTGTACACGTATGACTTCAAAATGGATCGAACCCAGAACCTTCTGGTTATAAACCGAGTACTTAAAAACGGATGCTCAAAGATGACATTGGCATTACATTGCGAATTAACAGAAGTTACAATTCTTCTGTCATTCAACTCTGAACCGGTAATTGAATGATAAAATGTATTTGGCTTGTAACGTCAAGTTGACAGTTTCGATTTCTGACTGGTTCATTGGTGTGTAGTACTAAAGAATCGAAACTAGAACAAACGGCTTTCGATCTCCAATGATCTTCTCATCAATATCTTTTGTTATGTGATATACGTTAAAATTAATTAAATCCTTACGAGTAGATTTCATCGAATTGCATTTAGGTGTAACTAAATGTCTCGCTAAAGAGCTGAGCCACAAGTTGGTGAAATTCCCGCTCAGGATTAAGATGAATTCAATCTCTCCCATAAGTACCGCTGTATAGTATGGACAAAATGCGCTATAGTAGAGCTACAGACTGACTTTCTCTGCTCCTTGTCTAATCATATATGCAGAACAATGCTCAAAAATGCCATGATGAACCTGTCATATTGTACATCCTATCTAACTGACTTCACAGAAGCAGTCAGACTTGTAGATAACCACAGAGGAGGCGAGATCAGGTAGTTTATCCTTATTTCTTCAGTGGGTTATTGGATGAGTTGTGGAATGACAGTATTGCTGTGTTGCATTGAATACTCTTTTTATATGATTTTTTGGACGTTGTGATCCAACTTCACTAGTATTTTCCTTGAGTAACCACAATTTTAAGATGAGGGAGTTCCTTTGAACCATTGACACAATTTCTTTGGTAGTAAATGCATATTTCTTCGAGGAAACTCCTCTTTCTATCTTTTTTCACTCACTAGTTCATGGATAATCTGAAGTTTCTTACTGTGGGAGTCATCTTCCTACCCCTTATTCGTGACCTTGACCTGTATTGTAATAATGCATGTTCTCTTGCCTTCTATGTAAATGTGTATGACAAGTACGTGTGTGACCAGAATATCCAAAATGTCGTGCACAAATTCACTACATGTTTCAGATAAACTACGTCTTCTGTTAAAATTCATAATTGCTCTAGGATTACTGTAGCTTCATGAGCTAATTACTACTAGATTGCATTTATATTTCAGAACTCTAAAAATGAGTATATTCGAGTCTTGATTTTGGTTTTATATATGCCCTTTTTTATCGTTCTTCTTTTTGATGATTTTCTAATAAGAGAGACGAGAATCGGTGTTTTCAATGTGCTATGGTCGTGCGGATAGTTCTGCAGTGAAATCCTCACCAACCACGCATATGATCCAATGCATTCCTAGACCTCTTCGCTTGGCCGGTAGTAGTAACCACCCGGTAAAGAGAGAAAGTTGGTTATGAGGCTAACAACCTCACCTCCATTGCTACTAAAACCTTAAGCTGAAGCTTGAAGTCGTATGTTCCACTTCGAATAAAATATCTAAAAAGTCTAATAAGAAATATGCAGATTTAATGAGTTGAATTTTTAATAATTAAAAAAAATTTCACTAAGCTTTCATACCATTTTTGAAGATGAAGTTTAAATTGTATTCTATTTACAGACCCTTAGATTCCCTCAGTCCTAAAGGTGGTGATGAATCTGAAATCCTACCAGAAGTCCTGCCGAAAAAGGTGAAAATAAACAGTCAGAAGGTAGATAAATCAAAGTCATGCAAGAAAACCAACAAAGTAGCCAATGTAGATAAGGAAGTTGTAAAAGAAAATGAGAAATCCCATGAAACTCAAGTACCATTATTGAAACAACAACCTTTAAAACGTGGTCTGAAATCTAAACTTAAAAAAATCAAACAAAAATATAGCGAACAAGATGAGGATGAGAGATTACTTTGTATGAAGATTCTTCAAGTAATTCATTCTTTTTTATATTTAAGTTATTTCGTAGTCTTTATCCCTTCACACCATTTAACATGTAGGTTAATTTTCTTCTAGCTTTGACTCGCATCTGATACTGCATCATTAAGTATCGGGGCTCGAAATCTTTGGAGTATGAAATTCTAACACGGTGATTGAATATAAGCATGCCTATCTTTGATGTAGCTTTTATCGGGGTTGTAGGCGCTTACTGATGAAGAGCCCCAGAACTAGGATGAAATAGCTGTCTAGTGTGTGTCTGTGGGATGGGGAACTATTGAGTAGAAGGGTACATATGTGCTTATCGATCTACAAGTACACTTTGGCTCCACGGTTTGTTGCCATGCTTTTTGCTCTTAAAGATAGAGGTGTAATTTCATATTCATGAGTTTATAAGCTCTCAGAAGGATGGATTATGCATGATTATTCACTGAGTTGCTGAAATTTTCACCGGTTAACCTTTCTCAGATTGGTGTAAGTTATGATATACTGGACGTCACGACGTCTGATATGTGATAATCATAAGTGGTTATGTATTCTTTTAATTCACTGAAATTAAATTATATGCCGGAATAAAGGTGATTTAGTAGTAGAGGTATTAACAGTAATAAATGAACGTTATGACTGAAAAAAATATGTCTTTAATCATAGGTGTCTTCGTTCTATCTCCCTGTTTGGTGGTATAATATGCTGAGTACCATCGAGGTAAGAAGTGTAAGCCAATAGATGAGGTTGTGAAGATGAATCGATCGAGATGGCTAGGATGCATGTCTAGCCATCGCCTTCCTCAACGAGCGATGGTAACTGATGTAGGATGGGCGAAGTACAAGAAGTGCGAACGCTCAAATGACCTTGAACGCATGCTAGTCATTGGTTGAGGAACCTTTCTATTATTCTAGCGCGAAAATGACACCTGTTCATCTGTTCAGATGTAAATTTCAGCCAGAGCACGTATTTCAGTACTGCCTAGATAATGGATTAATAGGACGTACTCGGATATATAGTTGTTGTGCTTCTATGAACCTGCAGCCGTATACTCAGGTCATTGATGGATATATATTTAGATGTACACAGTGTAGGAAGCGAATAAGTGTTCCTACTGGTAAGTGACACTCTCAGTTGATTATCTTTTAGGAACTTTCTTTGAAAAATCGAAACTTCCGTTGACCAATATCCTGTTTCTGTGCCATTACTGGATTTTAAAGACCGGGGTGAGATCAACTGCCGCTCAGACAGATAATACGTTATCGTCTACTGTGCAATGGTTCCAATTTTGCCGAGATTTGGCATCATGGAAAATAAACAGTATTACACAAGTGTTGGGCGGAGTCGGTGTCGTAGTTCATATCGATGAAACGGTGCTTATAAAGAAGTACAATCGAGGACATGTTAGGGCTAATAACGTTCCGGTTCTTGGTATTTACGACACCCAGATTCGCAAAGGATTCATCGAACTTATTCCAGATAAGAGTGCTGATACACTCCTACCTATTATTCAAAGACTGGTCTTGCCAGGCACAACCATTCATACGGATGAATGTGCAGGATATAATCGACTATTGGCTTTGGGATTTATACATCATCGAGTAAACCATTTAGATGACTTCGTCGACCCTAGAACCGGTACCCATACTAATTCAATCAAAGGTTTCTGGGAAAGGCTAAAAAATAAAATCAGAGCTATAAACGGCTCTCAAAACCAAGTTATTTTTAGTCACCTGGTCGAATAGATGTATAGAAATTGGTTTAATTTAATAACTGAAACTCCTCAATATAACTGGGAGACTTCTTATCTCATGTTAGACAAAAATACCCTGTATAATATTTTTTTTCATGCTTTTTTGTGTAAATATACATAAAATTTTATGCAAAAATCCTCCTATTTTCTGATTGGTCGGATGAAGGTCAGTTGTGCGTTCGCATCCCTTGGGACGCTACTGTAGAACTTTGCCGTAGGATGGATCAGGTTGGAAAAGAGCTAATGGTAGCATCAGTCCATGAAATCTTTTACAGTTTGAACTACATAGTTCAGTGTAGAATGCTTGGTTGGGATCCTCTGGCTGCTAAGATCCAATGGCTGAAGATATTTGGCGATATGTCTCAAAATGATCCTCATTGGCTGAGATGCATTCACTCTTCGTGATCTCCCGTATCCACTAAAGCCTACTATCTTTCCATGTCACTATTCTTTCTCCCTCACATTTCTGCCTAGTATTATTCTTTTGGATCCTTTTTTTCTCCCTTTTGTCTTCCTTTGTGCGTTGCATAAGGCGTAGCAACTCAAACTGCTGCACTTCTGTACAAAGTTATTTGTCGAAACCAGTCAGTCAGATTAATACTTCGCTTGGGTAAGAAAGATGAATCGTGTGATATATAAGGGCGATTAAATATTTATTATCTGTCAAATGCCTGCATAAAGTTTCACGTACGACGCTAGAAGGGAATTAGACATCACAGGTGTTAATTTGATCTTCTGAAACTTTCACAATAATTTGTATAATAAAGGACAATTTGCTCAAGTTATCGTAATACATTCACCCTTTTTACATTGCTATCGAAGTATGACCGATTTTCGACTATTAGCAGTAGTCGTTAATAGGCTGAGAAATCAATCGTAGTGACTTAATCGTAAGCAGCTTTTATTCTTACCTTATTTTCATTTCTGCTTACTAATAAACCGTGAGTTTAGTTTGTAGATCCTGATTTCAGATCATCTTAGTGAATGAAAGTTAGTTTAGATACCATTTGTACTCGTATTTTGGCAGTAATGTTCGCAAACAAACCGTACATCAAATATTCTTAAAATTAGACCTCGTCGTTTCACCCTACAGCTTTATTGAAATAATTTTGTATCGATCAACCAATCATCACTTAGGTTTATTCCTTAATACTGAAAAACCATTCCGTAGTTTGGATTTATCTACATGAATTTCATCTTCAAGCAAATGAACATAGTTTGTATACCGTATGAATGCTCTTCAAAATGGTAATGAATAATGCAAACTCACAAAAAAGTCGCATCGTTTAACCTTATGGTAAAATATTCAATGATTATCAAGAGTTAGTTTGTAGGGATTTGATTTGTTTCAAGTTTGACCATTGACTGATATCAATTAGAGAACCTTTGAAAACCAGGGAGCACTGGTTCGGGACTTATCGGCAGTACGCACCCACTGGTGTTCGAACCCAGAACCTGCCGGTTACAAGAAAAACTCGTAGACCATTCAGCCACTGGGACCCAACTCGATAGCTAATCCATGAATTCTAACTTCTTCTAATTCGTGATTTTAGTGCCACCACTAACGAATACCATTGGTGAGTATTTGTCCGCACTCCCGACCGTGTGTGGTCCCTGTTAGTCACGACTTCTCACTAGGAAGTCCTCCAGTTAGCTTTATCCTGTAGCCAGTCACGAGCTGCATTTAGCGACTAGAACTTCAGACTATAGATTAACTGATGCTGTATTACTTTCCACCTAATTACTACTATTTACTTTCTTATGATATTTATTTTCAGGGAGGTGACGCTAAACCCAGTCAATACCATCAAATCCTCGAACGGGATAATCTTTCAAGTCAAAATGAAGAAGAGAAATCCACTCCCGATAACGAAACAATATGTGGTCAGGATAGTGATGACGATGACGAAAAAAAGGATGAGTTGTGTGTCGATGACGAAGCTGAACCATTAAATTCTCCAACAAATCCAGATGATAATCATTCAATTAAATCAAATGATGAAAAAAGCTTACAAGACTTGGAAATTGAAGATGCAATCGATAATGAAGAATTCTCAGATGAAACTAAAGAAGATGATTTAATCCAAATGTTGAATTCACTAACTGGTCAACCATATGAAGATGATTTATTGTTATATGCTATTCCAGTCTGTGGTCCTTATTCAGCCATGTTGAAGTATAAATACAGAGTGAAACTGAACCCAGGAATTACAAAAAGAGGAAAAGGTATGATAGAAATAGTGTTTCTGAGCTATTTCTTGACGCCTATTTCTTTTATAATAATTGTTAGCTAAACGGAACCAGTGACATATACATTCATTTCCTCAGTTTATACATAAAATCAACTGAGGCACCGTAATTCTCTTTCCTTTATTGATTCTTTTTACAACTGCACTTCACTTGAATATATCAATATAGTAAACTTAGAGCTAGGAATGAATGATAATAGTAATGTGTTTACGTTGATTTTTAGTCTCGTTGATTGATTGTGTTGGACCGAAATGTGGCCTAGGGGATAATGCTTTCGCATTTGAAACGATGAGCACTGGGTTCGAGTCCCACTGGGAACACTATCACTTACTGCTCATCAAACACCTTCTTTTATCACCATTTTAATAGTACATATGGACGCTAATTAGATTCTGCCCCTATTATACAAAGTCCCTCCTCTTTCAGTCTATCGCCTACAAATAATCCTCTTATCCAGGATTTCTGTATATCATATCACCATACATTTCTATTTATACAGAATACAGTTTTCTAATTAACATGATTTAATTGTGTGTTAGCATAAACATGAAGCATTTAGAAGATGTTAGTCTATATCTTAGTTTACACAGAGATACACTAAGCTTATTTTTTAAGCCCTATTCAGGCAGTGACCTGGGGTTCTAGTAGGGAGCCCTGACCAGTAGGGTACAGCAGGTTGAAGATGACTCAGTAACTCTTCGAAGAAGGCATTGCGAAATTGTCGCGCTATCTCATGAATTGGCAGAAGTTGGAATTCATGGGCTGGCCATTGGATCGGGTACCAGTGGCTTAATGGTCTACGGGCTCACGTTGTAACCAGAGGGTCCTTGGTTCAAACCCTGGCGATGGGTGCGTACTGTGAAGAGTCCCGAACAATGACGAAACAGATATCCAGTACTCCCAGGTTTTCCAGTGGTTCTTTAACTGATGTCATCAGCCCATGATGAAATCCTCCAACTAATCAAACAAAACCCCTACAAAAAACCAATATTTTTAATTTGTCGAATTGGTCTCGGAATGAATTTCTTATGTTATATATATGTCACATTGTTGTTATATGTGTACCCTAAAGTAGCTTTAATTGTAAAATGAACCGAGCTTAACGATGCTGAATGACTTAATGTTTAGACATCTAACTATCATTATCATTCAGTAGTCATTAAGCAAATAATTTTGTTTGGATGGTTGGATGAAATATATCTTAAAAGTGTCATTCAATTATGTCATGAAGAAAATAAAAGATAAATTCAGTGGAGAAAATTTTCTTTATCGACGAAGCAGAGCAAGAACCCTGTGGTAGTGAAAGAAATTGATATGTTTCTTAAGTTTTCTGTCATCTATTTGTGTTAAATTACTTAGAAAATCTGTGGGATTGCAGCAATTTATCGAATAGTCGTTCTCTGTAAATATTTTTAAACAATTATTCATACTGTTATCCGTACAGTGTTACACTGTTAAACTATCATAAATTCTCTAAACTAATCTTACTAGATTCAAATGAACTGTCGTCAAAATTTGACAGAATACTTCTAAAATATTTGGGCGCCGACTGAGAGTAGTCATTTGTAATCTCACTAGATGCTATAGGTTTTTCGTGGATTCATAAAATGCATCCATTGTGCCTCATTTCAATTGGGAAATCCATTTTTCATTCCTATATCGAATATGAGCTAACACTACTTGTACTTTTTAGTTACCTACACCAGTTTCGTGGATAGGTCATCGCATCAGATTACTGTTGTTTCTGAAATGGTCTTATAACCTTGCAGTTGGATCCCTATTATTCTAAACTCATGATTAAAATTGAGAAGAGGCAGACGCATAATAAGTAACTGATTCACAACAGTGGTCAGAAACCAAGCACAATCTAAAAATGTACAGTTTATTACTCATCAATAACCGGGTTATTTAAACTAGTGATTAAAAATATTTGAGTAGTCGATGATTCCGTTTTCTTTCCCATTTATAGCTGCAACTATTACTATTATTGTTACCTTTAGTTCCTAGAGGAACATAGGGCTTCAGCCGCATGTCTCCGTTGCGTTCGGTTCTGTGCCAACGTTTTCACCTGGCTCCACCTCTGCCCACATGCTTTCATCTCCTCTCCATGTCACCCTTGGACGACCAACTCTCCGTTTCCCATTCGAGTTCCACTCGAGGGCTTGTCGAGTGATGTCACTTGATGGTTTGTTTCCTCAGGGTATGGCCAATCCATCTCCATTTATTCCTGTCTATTTTTTGTACAATCGGTTCCTAGTTGTTTCGCTCCCACAGATCCCTAGTGCTGATCTTTTCTAGCTGGTCATCTGATCTTGAGTATTGAGTGAAGACAGCTCTTAATGGAAGGTCTGCGGCTGCAACTACTACATTACAGCTTTTTTGAGGGGTAGATATATTATCGAACAGTTTTTTATCCATAGTTCTTCGTTTTTTTAGATTTAATTCAGTAACGTTATCAGCATATCTACATCCGGGAAGTCTGTTCTTTTTATCTTCTCTTCACACGAGAATGTCATTTTTACAGTTATCGTTAAGCGAACTTTTGTGACTTTCAAGAACTCATTAAGAAATATCTTTGTTCGGTTTTCCATCCATATTCTCATAGGACTACAAAGCACCTTACGGTTCCTAACGGTAAAAACTATTTTTTTTACTCATCAAATACTGTGGTATATAATTTATTGTTCGTGAGCTTTTTAACAACTTTGTCTTACAAATTCTTTTATGAACCTAGCTTCTAAAATGGCGATGTTTCAATTCACGTCGGATAAGTCTGCAACAAACAGAGAACGAGAATTGATGCGAGCAATGAAAGATGAGGAAGTTCCAAGAAATTTCCCTGGTTGTGTGAAAATTACGCTACCTCAAGGGAAAACTTTGAAGAAAAAATAGAACATATTTTTGATAAATTCTCTTTGGCACTGATTGTAATTTCCAAACCTGTTTCCAGCACACTTTTTTTCTATTGAACATAATTTTATTTATGATACTCCTCCCTTTTTCCACTTTTAATGGTTTTTTGAACCATCTCACTTTGAAAGTCTTTTGAATATACTATCTGATTTTTGTTATTAACATTAAGTGTAACAGTGTAACATTTACGAGTAAGGAGATTTTTAGATGAACGAAATAGTAAAAATACGTACTGAGACAACGAAATTCATTGTCTGTGTAAGTCGCTTCACACCACTATGTTGCAGGAGACCTAAGTCTAATCTCTACTTAACTCCTCGCTAAAACCGTATGAAATCGAATGTGGGGTAAAACTTTCGTTCACATGGTTCAATTCACTGAAAGTAAAGAGTATGTGTGACACTGTGAGTAGATAATTTATGAATGAAACTTTCTCATAAGTTGTTAGCACATGTTTACAGGCCATTGTAACCAGTGTTTATATGACAGTACAAAATTTTACATATTCTGTTAGTAACTCCGTCGGACGTTGATGGCCAAGCGGTAGAATGCTCGCCAACCATTCACGAGGTTCGGAGTTGGATCCCCGGTTGACGCACTCCTTTATCTCACTCAGTCTAATAAGACCGGTAAAGAGGGAAGGTTTAGCATGTTGCTAGTATCCCCATCCTGTAAAAATACACACGACTGCTACTAAAACTGCAGAGCTCTAGCTTGAAGCCTTATTTCCCACCGAGAACTGAAAAGAATACTAATAATAAGAGTAACTCCGTCACTTCTTGATTGTGTGATGAATTATGTGATAGTAATATCTCGTTATATTAAATTAATTTTAAGTCTTCGTAGTCATTTCGTACTAATTCCTTAGTGTATGTTGTAGAAGTCAAACTATGCGTACACTCCTCCACTGTCATGTATGTTGATACTGATAATTAAACAAAAATTAAGAAAAAAGAAAATGATGCAAAAATTTAACTTTCTGTATGATTATTGGCGTATTATAGTTTTACTTTTATTAGCTTCAATTTGATCTTCCAGTGCATGTTTCAGTATTGCATACAATAAATCAGTTCCTAGAAAATGCATGAAGAGTAAGACAATTCAGTGTATTCTCAGTTTACCTGACGGTTTCAGGTCAACTTCTTGTGATTCATAATCTGTAAAATTCAGGAAAAATGTGTTTTCTAACAATGGGAAATGAAGATAAAATGTTTTTATTTATTGGTTAAATAATGATATACAACTTCTGTCATTCACCTAAGAATGCCAAACCACTATAAATAGAGAAGTTCTCTAAATAAATTTTCACTGTGTTTTAATTGTAAGTTTCATTATAATAAGAGCTGAAGAGCGCAGCACATAAGGTTTAAATTGAATATAAATGTTAACAAGAGTATCATTACTGAGTAACACTCTCCACCAAGCTAAGTAGGATATAACACAAGAAACAGGGAGCTAAACATAAGGCAACCAACAGCTAAAAATTATTGCCATTGAAGAAATACCCCGGTTAGAACTAACTATGCATTTATTCCTGCTCCTGTAGTTATTTTCGCACTATATGAAGTAGGATCCTGCATTATAGGTCTCAGCTGTGTTGATCTCATTCAGAGAAAGCAAACTGTTCATAATGACAGTAGTCACTTTATAAATTTGTGTCATTCCTTGAGCTAGTACCCATTTACTTTTAATTCAGTCTAAATTCTGATAATAAAGTGCATCAATGAAGATGTTAGGTAATTAGCTTCAACATATTTCACAACCATTTCGAACGATAAAAATGTTTGACCACTTTACGTCTTCTGCAAAATTATGACATAAAACTAAGATTGCAGCATATCTCATTGAAATAAACACTCGGTTTTTCGGGTAACGCCTCTCGGATTCGAATCCCGCTCCACATAATTTATCCTAGATGGCTGATTAGTGGTACATGAAAAATATGTACTGCTTAATTATGCTTTATTTGAAAATATGTAGACCCATCATTGAGTATATATATACGCCAACTGCAGTGATATATAATTTTTTGGTAAGAAAAGTATTGTACGGATGAAAGAGAATAATACATCTCGAAGTTTTGGCATGTGGTTGTTTGGTGATTAAGAAATAAAGTGACACAAAGAACCTAACTGCGTTATCACTGAATGGTCGATTTTCGATAAAATACTGATTAGTAGTAGTATTGGTAATTACCAACACTTTCATGACTTGCAAATGGTGTTGTTTTACTAAGGCTTAGCAGTTAGCAGATATTGTGATAAAACTAAGGGTATCTCTATCAACTTGCATATTCGGAAGATATTTTTAGTTCTTTAAGACACCTCTGATGAGTTACGATAGCACAATGCACCTGAACTTAAACAAATTAAGAATCTGTCAGATCCCTAACTATTGGTGTAAGTCATGTTCACCCACCATCAAATTATTCCTTTACAAACGACAGCAAATTAAATTAATGCTTCTCAGCATAGATTACTTTAACCCAAGGCACTATGTGACCTTTATCTTCTAAGTCTGGAAATATGCAACTTTCAGCTGTTTGAACTGCCTCTTTCCAACCGATACAGTAACATTCTTCAGGATCAAAGAGATACGTGTGATCAATTCAGCTATATGGATTGCAGAGTAACAGAACTTTTGAGAAACTGCAATCTCGTTGTTTGTGTCTACAGCTGGTAATGAGGTTCCGAATTGGTCTCATTATACCGATCTACTCACTAACAATGTAATTTAATCTACTTAGTCAACTGGCTTCTTATAACCTTCTCTAACCGAAATCAGGGGACCTAGAATTTTCATTTGGCACACAATGATGTATTACTCAAAACAAAACATGAATTGCGACTTGCATTCCCTTTCAATGTAAGTATTATATCCAGTTTTCCTCTGTATTTCGTATAGCTGCAAGATTATATTTTACAGTACGTTTGAGAATCACACAAAATATAAGTGTTTATAATAGGGGTACAAGAAAGATTGGGAAACATCGGAGAATATGAAGCGATAGTCTCCGTAAGGTATCTACATTTCTAGTCAAGAGCGCATTTCAAAGGGAAACCACAAACACTTTCAACGTGCCCAGTTTTACGTACCTAAAGTTACAAGTGACATTTAAGGTTCGCAACGAAACAATAACCTAGAAGAAAATAAAACGTTTATTTGCCATGCAATGTTTCTTGCTTTGGTGGTCATGAAATTTGAGGAGACTTGGGAATAAAATTATAGTCGTCGAGTATAATCTTACCATTTCCATCGTAAATTAGTAGTGGGACGAGGCGAGCTGTTGGCGCTAACGCAAATTTATAAAGTTTCCAGTGTCTAAATAAAACATCCACAAAAAAATCGATCGATTTGGTGGAGTTCGAAATCGAAAATAACTCGATATAGTGTGGAGGCCTCTATTTGAATGAAGCTCTGTAAGGAAATTCATTTTTTCTATAATTTACTTGAATTGAATAACTCGTCATCATTTTGTCCGTAACATTCAGTATGCTGCGTATGTTTTCGTGTGGTGAACCTAACTGATATCGTGGAATCACAAGAGACTTTACTTGAAATTTCCTTCAAAATTCTGTTTATTACTGAAACAAGTCCGCATAACTGAGAGAAATTGAAATCCTCAGTCTTTGCAAAATTTACAGCTTGATTTGTTAGTTCCAGGGAAATTCTTTCATTATTTAGAAGTCCGATATCTGTCAATGCCTGAAGTATCGCCTTCTTTTCAAATCCTTGTATTGAATTCTCAAATACTAAATTATCACAAAACCCTGACATTTAAAAAAGAAGCCTACTGTTGCTATCGTAACAGCTGGGCACAAGGTCATCCAATATCGTTTTCACTAGCTAGTATAAACCAATTTGATTTCTTTATGGTCGCATCTTGATTGTGAGGTACAGGTTTCTGATGACACCTAATCAGTTCCTTTTGACAACCTAATATTCAAAACAACTAAGTCAGACGAACCCCACCTGGAGTGCTTCAATATCCAATATCCTGATTACTACCTAGTATAAACCAGTGATTTCTTTGAGCTCGCTTCTTGATTGTGAGGTAGAGGTTCCAGATCTTCGGTGAGCTTCTGCGTAGTAAGTCCCGCCACTCGACTGCTTTAGCTCTGGTAGACTCCAAGAGGAGTGGTGCGGGGATTGGTCAAGATGTGGTTTGTAGTATGCAGTATGTTAGGACTGTATTGCTGCCGTGAATGGAGTTTGACCTAAATCCCGCTGGTCATTCGGTGAAATCATAAAAGCAGAATAGTAATAATAATAGGTTGTAGTGTAGATAATATAGGTTGAGATAGGTGAAATAATAAAGGTGACCTAAGGAAAAGATAGAGTAGTCGGTACAGTGAGAGAAGGCAGAACAGGTCGTCGGGATTTAGTTTGTATGCTTATCCATTGACAGTGTGGTCTTAAGTTTTATGAGGATAAGCCATTGTGACACAAACCTTGCATTTCTGCATGATTGTCCAGCTTCCGCTTAAAAATCTCCACAGATGGCTCTGTAGTAATGGCAGCCGGTAAAGCGTTCCAGAGACGGCAAACACGAGGCGAAAAAAAATGTGATCGCACTCGAGTCTTTGGTCTCTGGTGTGCTATCCTTAGCGGGTTACCTCGTGGAAGCCTATAATCACTTAATGGCAGGATGCTTTTATTTGGGTGGGCCTGGTCATTTAAGATCTTGTAGACGGTGATGAGGTCTCCCCTGTGCCTATGGTAACTAGGTGTGAAAAGACCTAATTTCTTTTGTCTCTCCTCGTATGATTTGTTGCGGAGGCCGATCACCCATTTTGTCGCTCGTCTCTGAACACTTTCTAGAATGTTAGCATCCCTTTTGAGTAGCGGAGGAGCAATGATATTATGCACCTTAAAGTGTGGCCTCCCATATGTCTTATACAACCTTAAGAACAGTTCGGGAGTGAGAGCTCCCAGCTGCCTATGCATAAAGTGTAATGTTGCGTAGGCTTTGGCGACGTCCTTCGCCTAATTTTCACTGGTGTCTAGCTTTTCTGTTAGAATAAGACCTAGATCGCGCTCTGATGGAACACAACTCAAGTTCTGGCCACCAAGGGTGTAATTTACACTCTGTGACCTGCCGGAATGAAGTTGCACTACTTTGCACTTCTTTAAGTTGAAAGGCATTCCGTTAGCCAGAGCCCAGTCTCCCAGAGTTTGCAGGTCAGCCTGCAATCTATCTGAGTCTTCCGATGAGTTTATTGCTCTCCAAATCTTTACGTCGTCAGCGTAAAGAAGCGCAGAGCAGTTTAGTTGGGGGGCAGGTCGTTGATAAAAATCAAAAACATCAACGGCCCTAGGATAGAACCCTGAGGAACCCCTGATGCCAGGATGATCGGATGCGGTTGACTTTGGTGCAGAATTCTCTCTCGCCTAAGTAATCTTTCAGCCATGCGAGAAGTGCTCCAGAAACACCCGCCTTGCTTATTTTGTGAAGGAGCAGACCATGGTGAACTGTGTCGAATGCTTTCGCAAAGTCGAGAAAGATCACGTGGGCTGGTACCTTTTTGTCCCAGGATAGTGTCCAATCGTTCCAAGCTAGTAGAAGATTAGTCGCGCAGGATCTTCCCCTCCTGAAACCGTGCTGTGCTTCGTGAAGAAGGTTAGTCCCATCGAAGTATTTTCTCATATGGTCGTCAATGAGACTTTCCAATATTTTCGATATCACTGGAAGTAGAGCAACTGGTCTGTAACTGGTTGCATTCTGCCGGTCACCACCCTTGAAGATAGGGGATAGGATTGCTCGTTTCCATTCACATGGAAGTTTCCCTACATCAAGGGAGTGTTGGAACAGATCACTTAGGGGTTGGCAGAGACTTTCTGAACACTGCTTCAGGACGGATGGTCTGATGTCATCACAACCTGAAGACTTTCCCGAAGCCAACCTTTCCCAATTTTACAAGTACCATAGCCGGGGTAATTTGAAATGTACCCAGCAGGTTTTCGCGCGTTGGTTTTGCGATGTAATCTTGATGTTCTGTGGGGGTAATATCCTTGTTACTGTTTAGTTGCTTGTGAAAGGCTAGGCTGAATGTCTCTGCCATTTCAAGACTAGTAAGAGATTTCCCATCAGAACCCACTAGATTGCATGCTCCCTGGTTGGTCGGTTTTCTTTCAGACATAAACCTGTATAGGCTTTTGGGGTTCACGAGAAGCTTATTGGCGAGGTTTCCCTGAAATGTCCTTCTATCGCTCCGGACTCGTATGTTACATCGATTCCTGAGTTCAAGGTACACTTCATGTTCGGGTTGACTCTTCGATCATCACCACACAAACTAGGCTTTTTGCTTTGCCTGCAAAAGGCGTTGTGTCCCCCCTTTTAGCTATGAACGTTGCTTCCTAGCTTTTGGTGAGGCTAAAGGAATAGTGTCTGAGACCGCCTGGTGAATGATCTCCTTTACCACTCTCCAGTATTCTTCTACTGTTAGCTCTGTCCATTTTTTAGGCCAATTTGCTTCAGACAGAAGTCTTCGCATTTTGGTGTAATTGGCTTTGTTATAACACAGATAGGGTTGCCTATGGGAGTCGTGATCTGAACGTTTTCCACTGGTAGCTGGTCACTAGTGAGCACGTAATCCAGTCTAGAAGACTTCCCATCTGAGCCCCATCTAGTATCCACCCTGACATTTTCAATGAATCCAGCCTTTCTGGTGGTATGCAGCAGATCTCGATCAAATCTATCATGGGCGTTCCCCGACACCAAGTTAAGAGATGGGGCATTGAAGTCGCCAGTTATGACAATTTGATTATAACCCATGTCTTGTGTTGCTGAAATTATATTTAGTACCTGGTTGTGGTCTGCTCCACTGAAGGTGATCGATAAATGCTGCCCACTAGATATTTGCAGTACCCAACGGTGAAGTGGCACCATATGGAGTCAGGGAGCTCAGTGAGGCGAGGGTCCATAGCGTGAACACATCTGAGCTGTTTGTCGACGTATATGGCAACTCCACCTAGTTCTTTCAGGTCCCTATCTCGCCTGACTAGGACCATATCATTTATACTGACTTCGCCGTCTGTCACCGTAGGGGTTAGCCAGGTTTCCGTCAGTATCATGATTTTGGAGTTCAGCTGTGATTGTGGGTGTCTAAGTTCAGCTATTTTACCTCTTAGCCCTCTCACATTACTGTAAAGGCAACTGGTGGTCAGTCTCACCACTTCCCCGTATTGGGGGGTAGTTGACTTGATGTGGGCTGTCGGTTGAGCAGTTGTCCTACGAACTAGTTGGCCTATTCCCCAGGAACCGACCTGTTGGCGTTCTTTTCTTCTAGTTCAGTCGGAGCACTTGGATGACACTGGCTATCATCGCCCGTGCTGCGCCACTGTAGTGTGACTAGGGGTTGAGGATTTTTTTCGATAACGCTTTGTTCTCTCCTTTGGGTGCTAAGCCGGCTCTCGCAGCAGCAAATGTGTTTGCCGACCTTGTCCTTGGTCTCGTGCCATCTTTGGAGAGCGGTAGTCGACTGGTCCCAGGAGCTGAAAGTGACAGTTAACAGATGTGGTGTGTTAATTGACATAAGGTGAGTGGGTCGAGGCAGTCTATAAATAGAGACAGCCCCTGAACTCCCTAGGTCCATCTGGGATGCCAACCCTCTCCATTGCTGTACAGTCGTGACAATGCTTTTCGCAGACGTTCCCAGTTACCAGTTCGGGAATGCCATGAACAACCATGGAGGCAGAAGGAATAAGCTCTGGCGACTACCTCGCCATCTGTCTTTCCTTCCACGGCCTGTCTGGCTTGACACGTATGTTGCAGCCCCTCCCTATAGAAAGGGCTTGAGAAGCCAGTAACACTTTTTCGACATCCTCGGTACAGCCCAACGTTACCCTCAGTGGGGATGGTTTGCCTTGAGGTGCAGCTGTGCCCCCATACAGTCTGCATAGATTTACTGGTTGGATGTCCAAACCCAGTGTGCTACACAAGATGGACCACTGTTCCTGATCAAATAGGGCCCTATCTTTCAGCAGACTACTGCTACAGTCTGGTACATTAAAGAGGATTACACAATTTGATCTACTAACCGTTGGCTTGGGCTCGGTCCTCGCACATTTGTGGTCCCCTTTAAGACCTTTTTGGTTCGTCTGGTGCGACTGGATATTATTGTGTCTCAGTGCCATTGCCAGTATTACTGGCAGACGATAGGGATCTTTTTCCAGCGACAGAAACCCGTGGTGCTTCAGCCTCTGTGTCTGGAGCGGTTATGGCAGCAGCTGCAAGTTTAACCGGTGAGGATTTTGGTATCCCTGGTTTACATGCATTTGTGCTATTTTCCGAGTTGGTGGGGGTAGAATATTTCACATTTTTCCCTGCTACTTCTGCGCCATCTTTAGTTTTCAAAGGACTACGCGAGGCTGCATCAGGACGGCAACTAGGACATATGTACCAGAACCATGGGCATGGGTTCTTACGCATAAAGTCATAATATACTTTTGCTACCCCATTGTCGCATCTAAAATGTACCCATCGCTTGCAAAAGTTACATTCGAAGACAGAGTCTGCTTGTTCGACAACAGAAGTGCAGACCTTGCAATCGTCTGTCTTCTTGGGGAACGTTTTTGTCGTCTTGCAACGTCGTGAACGTTTCTTTTTAGCCTTCCTGTTTGTTTCATGGCCTACTATGGAGATGGGTGTTATACAGTTCTCACTTAGTGCAATTTTCCCACTCAGCTCTCTTAACCTAGTCGTCTTAACAGGGATGGGGCCACATCCACTTGGTTGACTTTGCACAGCTTCACTGTAGGACTGTGGCGACATGGGCAATCTGTGCGAGCAGGGAATATTTGCCCTGGTCTTCAAGACCGGTATGCGAGAGTCCATCAGCTTCACCTGTTTGCCTAGTTTGGCTGAAGCCCTGGTGACTACGGAGTATGATGTCCCATTACTTATCTTAGGATGAGAATCTATCGTCATATTACTCCTGAATCAATACTGGTAATTAAATAATAAGAGACAGTTATTTTGTCCAATAGACTGACAGCAAAAGACAATAGAGAGCACAGAACAGAAAGATAAAGTATTAAGTAAAAGCTTTTGACTTTACCTGTAAATTTCGGGTTATTCGGCTTCACAGCAATCACGTAACAGAACCACAAGTCCTGTATATTTGAAAGAGTGAGGAGGATGTTGCTACAGAAGTAGCACCTGAAGCTTTGGCAGTAGTTCGAGACAGCGGGAAGTACCACACACAGGCTCGGTGAGGAAGAAATGGTTGAATAAAATTTCGCCGGGTAGGAAGATCAGGTTTCCCAAACGAATAATTCACAAAAGTGGATATTTCCGGTTAGAGAGGAAAAGCACGTCGTATTCAGGGAGCGCGCGTATATGATGAGTGGAGGAAATTACCAAATGACTTCACAGCAGATTCAGAGATTACAGGATCGAAAAAATTGAGCTCGTATATTTGTCCTTGAATCTCGTTCCATCCACAGTCAATCTGACCGATACACTGTAACCACTTGCTGGCAAATTAAGACGATCAAGGAATTCAAGCGTACGTATTAAGTCACATCTTCCCAGGACTAACCGCCAGTGCAGCATTGTCTGAACCACTGCAGCCTGTGACCACGTGAATGTGAATGAAACTAAGCTCATTCTTGGGGGATAAAACACAATCAACTTGTAGCGGTGAATTATTACCAAATAATATTAGCGTACAGCATTCATAACTCAACAATGGATGCTGACCTTCACCGTCTATGTCGACTCATCTAACTGAAGGCTAGCGGTTAAGTTTCCACGCTATTCGCACACCGTCGTGTTACACTGTTAAGTTCCTTAACGATCCCTAGCTAGGTAAGATATCATCCTCACACTACGATTTAGGACCTGAAATATATTCCGTATTTAAAAGGACTATTTCGGCGTTTTGAATTGCCTTTGGTCTATATAGAATAATTATTTTAGGAGTCGCGGTAAAAAAACCTGTCTGGCATACATCCTTCTTCCCGTAAATATCATATTATTTGATGCATTAAATTATTCCACATTTGGACACAAAGGTCTACCCTATAATCCCTCTTGCATTTTGTGTTAATCAGACTGTTTGCAATCTACTCAACTGTTGTGCATTTCTTATTTGGATTTACATTTTGATAATTGCGAGCTAAATTTGGGTTCAGCTAGAGTGTTCTTAGTGTTTTGAAGCCGAGTAACCTCACATTTGAAGTTCGATACCGTGTTTATCTGATGCAATCTGTTTAATAGAATAACAGCCTTTCAGCTCTTCCACATACTTTAATCAATATAATTCGATTTAAAACCATCCGGTTTGCTTTGGATTCTGTCGGGTTTATTTGATACAATTTGCATGGCATTTTTGAACATTGTTCTGCATATATTATTAGACAAGGAGCAGAGAAATCAGTCTGTAGCTCTACTATAGCGCATTTTGTCCATACTATACAGCGGTACTTATGGGAGAGATTGAATTCATCTTAATCCTGAGCGGGAATTTCACCAACTTGTGGCTCAGCTCTTTAGCGAGACATTTAGTTACACCTAAATGCAATTCGATGAAATCTACTGGTAAGGATTTAATTAATTTTAACGTATATCACATAACCAAAAGATATCGATGAGAAGATCATTGGAGATCGAAAGCCGTTTGTTCTAGTTTCGATTCTTTAGTACTACACACCAATGAACCAGTCATTAATCGAAACTGTCGACTTGACGTTACAAGCCAAATACATTTTATCATTCAATTACCCGTTCAGAGTTGAATGACAGAAGAATTGTAACTTCTGTTAATTCGCAATGTAATGCCAATGTCATCTTTGAGCATCCGTTTTTAAGTACTCGGTTTATAACCAGAAGGTTCTGGGTTCGATCCATTTTGAAGTCATACGTGTACACTACTGCAGAGTCCCGTATTGGTACAAAACAGGTTTAGTGCCTCATAGCTTTCATTGATTCTCGGACTGATACTGCTTCCAGATCAAATTTTTACTGAAGTTGTTTTTCAAACTTATTAAAGCTACCCAAAATAGCTTGATATTTCGAGTTTAGTTTCAACTATTAAGAATGCAACTGTTGCTGGAATGTAGAGGTCACGAAATCACTGAAAGTAAGCAGAGGCAATCAATAGCCAAGTGGGGTGGTGGAATATGTATTATTTAACTAATAAAAGTTATATTTTATTTACCAGATATATTTAAAAAAAAAAAGAATATCATAATTACTTGGACAGATCATTTGCTAAATCTAACTGAAGAATAGTATTTGGAAATTCTGAATTCTCTTCATCATTATGCAAAGTTAATCTCTCCATTTTATCTTCCAGTTGTTCTGAAGATGGTGTATCCAAAACGATAATACGACGCTCCCCTTTATGCTTAGCTATAGAATCTTCATGTAACTGAAATTATGAAAATAATAAAATATGATCAAAAAGTAGAACGCTTTTATCAACAACCAGCAAATATGCAGTATCAATATCGGTGAAATATGAATTATTCGAAAGTTGCTGAATATCACAAAACTATATTAGACAGATATGCCGCATAGTAATAAAATGTGATACTGTAAGTCACTGACATCTAGAATATTTGGAAGTATATAGAAAGCGTGAAGATGCAATTACTTACAGTATGGTGAGAGCAGGCTGCTAGCCAATTGGTAGGCATTAATTTACGTCAATATCTGGGTCACTAATATTAGCCGTGAAAAAAATATGAGTAAGGCTGATTCAACAACCAATCACAGCAGACTTAACGCGGGCAAATATGATTCGCAGACAGATGGCATCACTTTCCGAGAAACCCGAAACAACCAATCAGAAGACTGTGTTTGTCTTCTTGAATAAGCTATAATAATTTACATAAAAAATATAAAAATACGTGCTGATTTCCGTGATAAAACGATCTGCTGACGGCCCTTACCTTCTGTTGTTACAACAGAATTTGTAAAATCTAAGCGAAATTGAAATGATCTGGTCCGAACTTCTTCAAGTTATATTTGATTTATTGATGAAGTTGATTCAAAACACCAGAAACTTAGGTGGTAAAATAGGATTCATTTACTAATTTATACTGTCTTACTGTGATTCCATATTAATTTGTTTTATATATATATATATATATATATAAATATATATATATATATATATCACATAGAGGAACGGCATTATTTACTGGATGAACAAGTTTCCAACACAATTTATTCTTCATGATCATATCAATTATAACCATACAACTTCAGTTTGGCATTAGATAGAGAAAACTGCAAAACGAGAGTTTCGAAGCTGTTTAGTTATAATCGATATGGTTATGAAGAAAAAAAACTGTATTCGGAACTTGGCCATCCAGTAAATAATGCCGTTCCACTGTATGATATGCATATTTAATAAACAAATTAATGTGGAATTTGATATGTATCCACATGATGTGTGTTTTGATTTTGACAGTCTGTTATATTTTGCTATGTGTATATGGATCGATATTTCATTATAATTGACAATATGCTTTGTCTGTCCACCAACTAAATAAACATGTGTGACCTTGTTGTCACATGACATTACAACCAATCATGTTAAGACTGTCTATTTATTGGTTCATGTATACTAGCCATTTTCATATATACTCTTGCTCTATACACTTGTTCATACTTGTTCCCACATTTCGTACACTACGTACCATTTCACTCACACTCTTGTGTGACATTTATTTTCCTTGTCTGGAAAATACAAGTATCATCGTAAACCTGGTGGTCTTCTGATTTCCCACTTTCCGCATCAGGACTATTAATTACTCGACGAGTACATAACATAATTGGCGACGGGGAAAACTCTAATAACTCAGCAGCAGTACATAACAGAATTACATACTACCAATGTACCCAAGTTCTACACATGCGTTAATGTTTTACTGTGTTTTGTGCGTCGGTGGTTCAAGAGCAGAATACTCGCCAACCATACAAGTGGTCCGCAATCTGATTCCTAGCCGGTGCACACGTTTACCCCTTCTAGCCGGTTGTAAGAGCAAAAAACAGGCATCAGGCTAGTAACTCCACCCACCCCTCTCTAAAAAGAAACACCACGGCTACTGTAACTTCAAAGCTCAACACTTGAAGCCCTATGTTCCATCCGTAACGCAAAGGAATAAAATAAAATAAGTAATAAAATAACCGTGATCTTTGTAATAAAAAGGCTCATATGAAATTGTATACTACCACATTGTCTAGCTTTTAAACGTTCACTAAAAAAGTAAGATCACTAGAAAAGTGATGTCGAAATCAACAGCATGTTTCAGTCTGACAGTAGCATAACTGCTGAATGAATCCAACCAGATGTGTTTATCAAGAAGAAATGACAGTTGACCTCTAGTTGTCTTTACGACAAATGAAGCCAACTAAAATTTGTGCATCCTTTAGTTACAACAAGTTGACCTTCGGGAAGTATAAAGTTTTTATCATTTTACAGCCAATTACCACTTCGGTAAACGTGATTATTTTTAATCATAGACCGCATAATCAGATCTCTTATCCCTTAATAAATAAGTATTCAGACTATCATGCTTAAATTAGGCATTTAATCTGCGTATGAAATAACCTATTATCAATTTATTTTTTTATTTTATTTTTGATTACAGCTTGATTCCACACTGTATTTTTGGTACAAGTATGGAACTTTCAGCATGTGATATCGGTTGTCCAAATTTTGCAGGCCGACCATAGATATCAGGTGTGCGTCGGCAGGGAGGGGATCGAACCCCGGACCATGTGCATGGTTGGTGAGAGTCCTAACTACCGACACACATGCTTTCTCTTAACATCATTAAGTGATAGAAGAGATAGAAGTCTACCAGTAAACTTACTTCATCCTAGTTGCATAAGACTTAATGAGAAATTGTAGAAGAAGTAAAGTTTATTTTACTTTCAATCTCTTTCCTAACAACTTGTTTAGATCATCTCTCTAAACACTAAAACCTAATACACACAGTAGTATTGTGAGATTTTACGGCATTAGGCTCTATTGTTATGCATCACTTATTTGTTCACCTAATTTAGTGGCATAGAAACTCGATCGTGATGCAAACACAAAGTTAGAAAGTTACATGAGTAAACTGATACGACTACGAGCAATAAATTGTTCTCGAAAAGTCATCACTGTAAGACTTTATCATAACTCTTATCCTTAATAGAAGGTTTATATATTGTTGAAGCATGTGGGCAAACGTGGATCCAAGTGAAAACGTTGGCAGAGAACCGAATGAAGTGGAGATATGAGGCTGAACCCCTATGTTCCTCTAGGAATTAAAGGAAACAATAATATTGATGAAGCAACAATTACACATCGTCGGTGGCATACCGGTTAGGACGCTCGCTGACCATGCACATGGTCCGGGATTCGATCCCCGGCCACCGACGCACTCCTTTACCTCGCTAAGTCAGAAATAATGCTGGTAAAGAGGAAGGGTTGGGCATGAGGCTAGCAACCCCATCCTGTAAAATAAACACTGCTATAGAAACTAGTTTGAAGCCCTATGTTCCACTGGGGAACGTGAAGGAAAAAAACAATTACAGAAATGAGATGTCTTCACGTAACTCTGAGTAACACTCATGAGAAAAAGTTCACATGTTTTGAAACATGGAAACAATTTTGATGAAAATAGGAATAGTCCAAAAAAATGAAAATAAAATGTTTTGATAAATTACACTATTGCATAACATTAGATTAAAGTCTGAAATGATGATGATGATGATCTACATTTTTCAAATTCTCACCTTGAACATTATACCGAATCCATAATCAAAAGGACATGGTGGCAAATAGTTTTTTTTGCCACGTATCATAAATGCACCGGTTGTCAAGTATTCACCACTGGGAGCTGTTTTTGACACTTGATGATGATGAACCCACCAAGCTCTTGTTAGAACATGACTTGTCCATGCAGAACTCAGTACTACAGCCATATTACCTGCTTCTAATAACGTTTTTGGTGGAGGTAGTGGTAAACTGTTAGTTTTATTATTGTATTATCTAAAACATTGAAAGAGAATTGATTAACAGCTTGCCTCAATGTATGAAATATAATAATAATAATAATAGTAATATTAAAGTGATGTGGCTATAGTGTCTGAGGAAGAGTTGGAAGTTTATGAGACAAACATATAACCAATTAAAAGCTCATGAAAATCAAGGGTTTCTCATTACAGTATTGACCTAATAGGCTGGAGGGTTTCATCATCAGTTGACATCGGTTAGTATTGGACAGATGTTTCGTCTTAGTTCAGGACTCTTCACAGTACGCACCCACCGCCAGGGTTTGAACCCAGGACCTTCTGGTTACAAGATGAGCACATAGATCACTAAGCCACTGGGACACTATCCAATGGCCAGCCCATAAATTCTAACTTCTGCCAATTCATGACATAGTGTGATCACTTCGCAGTGTCTTCTTTGATGACCTAATAGTTTCCATAAAAATGAGAAATCGAGCGTAGAGAAGAGGTACATAAAAAGTTATGTTTATAGGAACATCAGCGACATTATAAAATAAGTAATTCTAAAGTTCCACTCAAAAACTTATATGAGCTTCACGGAAGCGATCAAAATTTGAAATTACTTATTACAACATCTCTGAAATCTCTGTAAATAACGTTTTATATAATCATGAACTTTGAAAACATCAGAGATAAAGAAATAAGACTGCTAGATTCTGTGAATAATAAGGATGACGCTGTAAGATACTAGTGTAAGTGAAATCCTGTGACAGAATTTTAGCAGACATCATGTGAACTTCTTAACTAGTCTTTTAGAATGAAGACTAAATAAATATTCTAGTAATGCATGAGTGGCATTTAGGCGTTTTTAAAAATGAGTCAGTTGATTTCTATTTGTAGCTCCTAATCCAAAAATAATGTAGATGACAAGTGATGACAGTTTCTCAAATGTATGAGTTCACTGGCTTTTATCCCGACCGATAGCTGCTACCTTGACGTGGTGGTCGGGCTTGCACATCGCGATGACCCAACAAGCTGCACTGGCTGGAACTAATGTTCCTGCAGGTCCTACCATGCCATGAAGGTTGTTAGCATAGCGATTAGACTAAAAGCAGTTACCGGCATTGTGTAAGAATCTTTCTTATACTATGTTGTGGGTCTGAGGGCGAAGTCGTATTGCTAGGGAACAGGGGTGTAACAGCAGTGAGGTGTTTCTCTCAGATGACCAGCATGTCAGCCAGCTATGCTGTGTCTCCACTCCGGAGAGAAGGGGTTAGAAAAGGCCGAACCCGAGAATTGTACATCCCGACTTACCCTACGATGGTCCTTAACCGGCGGTAAGTTTGCTTATACAGAACCAATCCCAGAAACCAGTTCACACAGGCCGTGTGTGACCGGCCTCAAGCAGTTGTCCTCTAGGCCCTGCGGCCACACAACACCTTTTCTGTTTCAGGTACCCGAAGAATCAAGAACAGACAGACAGGCAGACTGGCTTTTATGCTTCGACTTCCTCTACAATACATTATCGTCTTTTTCTTAATTGATATAAAATATAAACGTAATATGCCGATAAGACGTATTTATCAAAAGTTACTTTCAGGAAATATCCAGGATTCTTCATAACTGAGAATGTCAAAGAACTAAAAATAATATAGGAAGTGAGGATGATAAAACTAAGCCAGCGTACACTGTAGGAGAAGAATACTGCACTAAATTACTTTCTGTAAGTATAAACAACATGTCTGATGTCAGTGATAATAGAGGAAGTGATTACATATGAATTCTTTAAAAAATGTTAAAGTTATTAATATGTATAAAAATAACTTTAATATGACTCTATTTTAATAAAATAATTAGGGTGTAGCCCTCTATAAATAACCTGAGAAGACAATAGTCTTCTTCACGAACCGGCCTCACGTATACATGCGTTCACAACAAATATCACACGTAGATCGTATTCACTGCACCCGCACATGACGTGGCGGGTGTTCTAACAAAAATATAAAGGTGAACGCGAATTTCTAGCATTCACCGCTAAAAAGAAGTGCCGTAAACATTCGTAAACCTTATTCAATAGCTTTAAGATAATTCTACATACCAACTGATCCACGACGGAATACTTAGCAAAGATTTTGAAGTGAAGAATAGAGTACGCCACGACTGTCTTTTGCCACCAGTAATACTTTTAATTGTGGTGGACTGAGTCATGTGATAGACAGTGGTAGGTGGACGACAGGCAGGCATATTTTGAAAAGACCCTAGAAGACGTGAACTTTGGAAATAATCCATGTCTTAAGTCGCACTAACTCGAAGATATGCAAGCCATAACCAACAGGTGGTTAACAGAAGAGATAGCGGAGACAGGAATACAGATGAACATTGAGAAAACAGATGATGAAGATACCCCAAAAAGGAAAAGGACTAATTACTATCAACAGGAGAAGTCTGAAGGATATCGTCTGTTTACTTATCTCAACAGAATAATCTCAACTACTCGCAGCATTAATGAGGATGTCAAAATCAGCCACAGTTGGGAAAGCAAGCTAGGTATTCATTACTTTAGAATCAGTGGAAGATCTGTAGTACTTGGAACAAGGAACAAGATCAGGATTTTTTAAAACAAATGACACATTAGTAATTCTTTATGATTCATAAACGGCGTACACGTGAACAAAAGCATTTCTAATAAGCTACGGGCTTTCATCAGCAGCTGTATTAGCTCAATACTGAAGATCAAATAGCCTATTGACAGGGTTAAACAACAAGGGATGATAGCAGCGAACTATTCCAGAAGCTATTATCCAAGAACATGCAGAAAGGAGTGGAGATAGGTCAGATATACATAAAGGAGACATGCAAGTGACATCACGCACTAGGCCCTCGAGTGGAACCCGAACGCGAAGTGATAAGATGGGTATGGGTTCAAGGTTGACACGGAGAATAGTAGTAGTAGGGTTGGCTGAAAATGATTGCAGAGAACTGAGAGCAATTTATTTGTGAGGCTGAAAGTCCATGTTTAACTTAGAAAGTTCACCAGATTGGTGGACGTAGACTACACACATAAGGAAGCTAGATATCCCCCGATTCCAAGCCAATTATGAATACGGGCCTCAGGATCTAAAAGACGCGAATGATATATATGAAAGTGTTTTGGTCATCGTAGAACAAACTTCATGTCAAAGGTTTGAATAGTGGTCTTTTCTAAGATAAGCATCTGATTCGGTCTAGGCATGGAATTGTGAAAGGTCAAACCTATCGATACCTCAACTTTTATCCATACACTTTTAATCTACAATACTTACTGTTTCTTCATTCATACATTCAATTATTTAATTCATTATGTTTAAATTGTTAATGGTGATTTTATAATTGAACTACCTTATTTTATTCTACTCATCTTTACATTTGCTGGTTTTTAAAATTTTTGTCAGCGGTTAATTTGCATCTGAAATCTCAGTTTATCAATGCTGATCAACAACCTATAAACATAACTGGAAAGTTACGCATGGTATATATGCAGCTAGTGGTACTGCATTTGAAGGCGGACTTCATCAATGAAACATGAACTAGAGAAACCATTAAATTCAAGTAGCATATGCCTAAAACTGTCAATGAATTACGCTCAAGGTGAGAACATAACAACTTCTCCACTAGGTTGGAATACAAATGCTTCGTGATTTTCAATCTCTAATACTTTTCACCAAATAGTGCAGTTTTCATAGAATTTCAGCGATATGTACCAGCTCTTACAAAGTGATTAAACTACCTGTAAATAGTTATAAATTGCAATTAGGATTCGTGGATATCCATGACGTAATAAATCGCTTATAAGCAATAAAAAGTGGTTAGGTCTTATCACAAACTAACAGAATTTCAAAGAAACGCAGCACTCAGTTCCAAAAAAGAAACCAATGGTCTTAGATTCAAACAGTTACAAGGTGGTGGTCATGCACCACTGAAGAGTCTCATATGAGGACGAAATACTTGTTCAACATTCATTCGATTCCAATGAGCTTTTAGTTGATATCAGTTAGTGGTGAAATCCATTTTGAAATAAATTTGATTATGACAAGTTTAAAAAACGGATATTTCAATTTGATGATGCTACTCACTCCTACAGTCTGTATTTGTTTTCAAAATCAACCCACGCACATCAATGGGTGAAACTTACACTAAAGGTAGGTGTTCGTTTATGAAGCACAAACGGATCGACTTAACCGTATGTTTCCAGTGTAAATGTGAATTATAGACGGCTTTCATGGAAAAAGTCCCGCGTCTGAATTTATCCCACCTACTTAAGCCTGGGGAGGGGAGGGGGGGGTGAAATAACAATCATTGTTAGTCCTGAGACAATACACATGACCCACAGTCTGGTACATCAAAATCTCTTCTAGGTAACTGTGTTTTAACCAGTATGTTGATAGTGCGTCGGTGGCACAGCAGTTAGGACTCTGGCAGACGATGTACATGGCCCGGGGTTCGACCCCCTGCCGACGAACACCTAATATCACTGGTCCGTCTACAAAATTTGAGCTACCGATATCACATGCTTGTACCAAAAATACGGTGTGGAATTAAGCTATAATCAAAATAAATATATTTTAAAAAAATAATCAAATAACTTCACAAATTTTTTTAATCTTAAAATGGAAAAAAGGTGTTTACCTTACCTTGATATCTTGAAGAACTTATTTCTTCAGAGGTAAGATGTCGAGCTTTCACTATGACAGTACTAGCGCCGTGTATATCTGCATGAACAAATATATCACCAGATTTTAAGTACCGCTTCACCAACACTTCATTTTGTTGTGAATCACGACCAGAAACAATTAAATAATTTTCAGAACTGATGAACCAAAAGAATTTTTCAAACCTGAAGAAAATAAAAAAAATAAAGTGATATACTAAATTTGTTCAGTTAAAATTATAACAATGGTATTAATATTAAGGGCGAAACAATCTTTTTAATTAACAACACATTTCAAAAACGTTGTCCTACATACGTAGTATGATTGGTTAAAATTTAACTGAAAACTGAAGACAGAATAGGCGCTGAAAACGAATAAACATAAGATTCATATTTTCTTTAGCATTTACTACTATAAGCCATTACAACTCACAAGTTTAGCTTATAGACTAGAAAATTAAGGATAAATACTGAGGAACTGAGTTCTATAGATTTCTATATAGTCAGTCCATTTTCTTTACTTTCATAATTTTATCCTTCTGTGGTTTTATTAAACTGTGTATTAGTAGCTTGACTAATACGTTCGCTTTGTTACTACTAATTAATTATGCATGACATCAGTATGTTATCTGTTCAATGGTTGACCCATTAATGAGGTGATAAGCACAAAGCATCTGGTTAAAAAAAATAATAAATAAATTTTTTAGTGACTATAATTATAAAACACGTATTTCAGCGAAGAGGCTCTTTTCCGCAAATTCATTTTCCCCTTTTACCTGTACAACGGGGTTTAAATACAATTTTTTTCCCAAAACACGGTACTAACAAAAGCGAATAAGAGTGTTATATCTGCGTAATAAGATGTATAATTTAATGAGTGAGTAGTGATCAGGATGAACATTGAAACGAAAGAAAATACGGAATTACGTCAAAGTTCTAGAGAAATACAAGAGTTATAAGCAGTTCGAAAGATAAGCAAACAAAAGTGAGGTCAATAGAAATCAACAAAGTTGTTACCATTATAGTAAGAGTGGTTGGGTTAGGCATACTCAGAGACCTGGTTCATAAACTCGAATTGCACAAGCCTCCACCATTGCATACATCTTCCTGTCTCTTTGTCTACTGACAACGTCGATATCATGTCCGTGGTCCACAAAGTGCTTTCTTATTGAACGTTTTTGCACTTTGACTTCAGGTGTTTTCAACCACTATGGCACATGCTCAATCATACGGATAGACAATCGTCTTGCTGTGCGACCTATACAACATTTGCTTCCACAAACACACTCAAATTGATATACACAGTTTGAAGAAGTGTTGAGGATTGGCGACTAGTCTTTTCCAGATTGTTGAAGCAATCGCTTGCTGGTGTTAAGGAAGACATATAGTACAAAAATTTTCAGCAAATTTAGCTCCAAATATTTCCTCTTCATACACAATTTACATGTAAAGCAATAATCTGAAGTATATCATGTTACTTAGCATTGTTGCAGATGATGAGAGAATCAATTTTCTAAGTTTTTTCTTCATTTCCTTAAAGAATTGTACAGCATCTAGTGGGAGGCTAATTGAATATGCGCGCGGCTTCATGTAGTGGTAATTTGCTAAAATTGCACGATTAAAACAATAAGAAATGCAGAAGAGTTTAAGCATTTTGATGGATGGAAATTCTGGTAACCCAGTGATTTAAGCAGGCCGCCTTTCAATGACAAACTGATATAGACAAATTTCTTTGGAACTGTTTGGATAGTTTTGTTGTGGCTCATTTCTTCAGAGTATTTACTAATGATCTCAGGATATCCATTCTTAGATAAAATATTCTTCAGAGCCTTTTTCAGAACAAATTTTCCGTGCTATATTGAACGGTGTTCTGACTAAGTTCTTTTTATACTGGATTTGGACAAAACTTCTGAAATGCATGTCCTGTCCTGTCTGTGAAGACTTTCTAAATATAGATCTTTCGATTGTGCCATTAGTCGTATTCACTAGAAAAACGTCTAGGAATTTAATAGTGCCATTTTCCGCGTATTTTGTTGAGATTCGGATGACACCAGTTGAATTTTATCAACAGGTCTACAGCATTAGATCTGCTTCCACAGACAATAAAAATATCATCAAAATATTTTCAGTATACTTTCGTTTGTTGTATATGCTGTTGCGAAATACCGGCTTCTACGTCTGACAAGAATGAATCCGCAAAAAGTGGTCCCAAAGGGCTTCCCGTTGAAACACCATCAGCTTGAGAGAATAGACGCCTATCGAATTGGAATTGGATATTTTTAGTAAATGAAGGCAGCAATTTCCTCAATTCCGATATTGGACTGGGTATGTCTTCAGTCTCTCTACATATAAAAGTCAGTAGTCTCAAAAACTGGAACATTTGTGAATAGGGAAGTAACATTGAAAGAGACTAGATGCCTGCCAGATACATTGACATCATTAATTTGCTTGACGAACTGGAATGAATCAAAAATTATATATTTCCCAAAACGTTTTCGCAAAGGCTGTAATAATTCACATAACCACTGTGCTAATTTGTAGTATGGTGAATTTATCATTGGGAGTATAGGTCTTACAGGTGCTCTTGGTTTGAGTATTTGAAAAAGGCCGTATAATTTTGTCATCTGTGACCCAATCGGTTTGATATTCCTATATGTATTCCCATCAATGTATTTCTGTTTGAAAAGTTGCCATAAATGCCGCACAATTATTCTTTCGGTAGACAATGTTTGATCTTTAGCATGATTGTCCATTTTGAATTTAAATCCATGAGAGAGAATATGATGCATTTTTCCTGTATAATCCATCTTATTATTCACCAGTACCACACTCTGTCCTTTATCAGATTGTAAGATAACACTATATCCCTGTATGTAGAGTATTCAGTTGAAGAGTTCTATCGAAATTTGATGAATTCATTATATCCTGCATCATTAAAGTTTGTTGCTTGTTTGATATAGTTTTTTTTTATTACTTCTTGATATGTATCCACATGATGTGTGTTCTGTTTTTGACAGTCTATTATATTTTGCTATGTGTATATGGATCGATATTTCATTATAACTGACAATGTGCTTTTGTCTGTCCACCAACTAAATAAACATGTGTGACCTTGTTGTCACATGACATTACAACCAATCATGTTAAGACTGTCTATTTATTGGTTCATGTGTACTAGCCATTTTCATATATACTCTTGCATTATACACTTATTCATACTTGTTCCCACATTTCGTACACTACGTACCATTTCACTCACACTCTTGTGTGACATTTATTTTCTTTGTCTGGAAAATACAAGTATCATCGTAAACCTGGTGGTCTTCTGATTTCCCACTTTCCGCGTCAGGACTATTAATTACTCGACGAGTACATAACATAATTGGCGACGGGGAAAACTCTATTAACCAATCAGCTAGTACATAACATAATTGAGTTATAATGAAATATCGATCCATATACACAGCAAAATATAATAGACTGTCAAAAACAAAACACACATCATGTGGATACATATCACTTCTTCACTGGATACCTCAACTTGTGTAAGTTTGAATTAGATGCCTCCACATGGGTGACACACAAACGTGATCAACTCTTGACCATGGATTGATAGCACTGAACTGAAGGAAATGCCGTAGAAGAAGAAGCGAATAGAATTGTCTAACAGTGTGTGGAAATTTCTAGCTAGGTGTATATATTTCAGTACTACAGTGATTTATTTAGTTGCCTGGATTCTCTTAGGCTTGCTTATGTCTTATTTTCACTTTAATGTTGAAGTAGTGAATTCGAATAAACGTGTGTGGGAGATATTTGTTTCTCATTCGATCAGTTAACTAACAATTAAACCTTTATACTAAAACAAACGATGTCAGAGAAAAATTAGTTGTACAATAGAAAAGGATATGAACTACAGTGGACTAACTTATTGAGTGTTTTAATCACCATAGACATTAGATGTTAATACAATTAAAGTAATAAATTAATTGAATACCATACAAATAAGTCTTGAACTATCTCAAAGAAAAGAGTATTTTATATCTAATACACACAGTTGAGTAAAATCTAAGTTCACTAATTAATCCTGATCACAAAGTAGCATACATTTTCACTTCTAGCTTTTGTATACTAACGCGTATAAGACAGTTTATGCATTTAAATAAATTCTCTGGAGATGTACAAAAAGAAAAAACATACCACATAGGTTTACGAACTTCTGTAATTTGTGCAACGGTTTTGGCAGTCTTTCTAGTTATTTCAGCTTTATGTGTGGCTGACTTTAAAACCTATCAAAAAAGTATAAAGAAAATAATTTTTACATGTCACTCTTAAATATAAATAATGATAAGCATAGACATATAAAAATATGTGAAAAATTAGACCCTGTGCGTCGGTGGCACAGTGGTTAGGACTCTCGCCGACCATGCACATGGTCCGGGGTTCGAGCCAGACAGACGCACACCTGATATCTATGGTCGGCCTGCAAAATTTGGGCTACCGATATAACATGCTGAAAATTCCATACTTGTGTCTAAAATACTGTGTGGAATCAAGCTAACTGATGTGTTGAAAAACAGAATAACATAATCTAAATATCAATCTCTAGACCATCCATGGCTACATGATGGATGTCTTGAAGCTGTAGTCAGAAGTTATAAACAGTGGAATTCACCACGTTAAGATGAAGTAAATGTTCTAAGTAGGTATCGGTGAGGGCAGCGCTATACCGCGAGCAGACAAAGTTAGAATTTACGGACTACTGAGTTCCTATTCAAGTGGCTGATCGATCAGCGAGCTTGGGTTCGTAACCTGAAGGTATCGGGTTCTCTAACTGATGTCAGCTCATGATAAATTCCTCCAAGCAATTAAAAAAGTCCCTAAAAAAACAATACTTGATAAGTGATATTAATTCGTGATGAAATCTGACAAGTGGAATTAGGCTCGATTGAATCAAGGTTGACTTGTGAAACAAACACAAGCTAAAATAGTAGATTCGAATAAGCCATTCAGTCGTCCAGAACATAGCAACTCATGTAATCAGATCCAACTGACCTGAAAATCTAACCGATCACCAGGATGCTGTAATAGACTTGCATATATGTTCCATAAAAAATCACATTCTTCCTAAGCGATTTCTAAACTCCACTGAAAATGATGACTGGAGTATCAATGAGAAGTTGGCCACCAATGCTCTCAAAGAAATTCCACCTTGAAACATGTTTTGAACAAAACATTCAGATTCCGAGCTACGAACAGTCTTGAAAACTTCATGATGCGTGAATGAACTTAGTTTCAATTTCGGAAGTTTATTAAATATACTTAGTAGTTCTTGTCCAGTAGGAGAATTTACTCTTTTACTAGCATATATGCACCGTAGAATCAACAGGATGTAGTGATGTGATCATGATACTTATGTGAGAGAAAGGTGGTTAGGTTAGGTGGTTTCACAAGGTAAGTAATGTTGACGTTAGGCGTAGAGTGTTGGGCAAAGAGGGAAAATCAATCGACGAGGCTATAAAGTTACATAGACTGAGATGGCTAGGTCATGTGCTGCGCATGCCTAACCATCGCCTCCCCCGACGGGCATTACTAGCTGAGTATATAGGTGCAGGTTGGAAAAGAGTAAGTGGTGGCCAAACAAAAACATGGCATCAATCCATGAAATCCTTGACAGTTAAACTGAGTCAGGTAGGGAGATGCAGACTTCCGGTTTGGGGCCCTCGGGACTCTAGGAATCAATGGCTGGAGACAATAGGTGACATGGCTCAAAATCGTTGTCAATGGCGCAGTTGTATTCAGTCTCTGTAATCTTTCATATTTCTTTCTACCATTACCCATTCTGTTTCGCGCTTATACCTGTCAAACTCTATTGATTCTCTTCACTCATCTTTTTGTCTACTTCTGTGTGCTATTTGGAACGTGGCAACTCGAACTGCTGCATTTCGGTGCCAAGTTCTATGTTGAATCCAGACAGACTTGAACTGCTGCACTTCTGTACTAAGTAAGTTCTACGTTGGAAGTCAGTTGATCAGTTAGGCGAACATTTTAGGTTTGATTACACACAAAAGTTAGAGGTTAACAGTGGAGATAGTATTGAAAGACATATTTAATAAACAATGCAATTATTCAAATATACGTGTGTACATATAATTTCAGTGTTTCATTACTTTGCGTGAAGCATTGATAGTTTTTTCTTCTTTTTTACTGGCAACCCGCTTTTTATTATAATATCTGTAAACAAATATTTTAAAAAAAGATGGAGTTCCTAAGTATGTACTATATAATAATAACTAAAGAATTTACACAATAAAGAATAACTCCACATAGGATGTTTTCATCACTTAAAATAATTACGTTTTATATGATAAAGATCCCAGGAAGGTATTTTAAATTATATGCTTGAGGAATCGACAATTTCTACCAGATTTTCATTGATACAACTGTACTTCAGTGGAGCAAAGCACATATTTTCACACATCATATATAATACTTCTCGTACAAGTAAAAAGAAACGAAAGTGTAAGTCAAGGCATTTAAAACATGGGAAGACCACGGTATGTGACATTTGGATTTTATTGAATATAACACACCATGTGACTGGAATAGAAGCTACAAAACATCCTCTGGCACTTACTAATGTAACAAAAGAATACCAAGGGCCAGGCAACAGATCATTTATTAAGGAAATCAACATGTATTTATATCTTTTTATGTACATCATTATAGCTTATTCAGGCAAACAAACACAGTCTTATGATTGGTGGTTGTTTCTCACTGAAAGTAAGCCTTGCACCTCTTTTTGGCTGTTTCTTGAATATCAGATCATCTATATATTAACTGTATCCGCCTACGCAAAGTGTGCTGTGGTTGTTTGTTGAATCAGTCTTTGTTCATATTTTCTCACCACCAATATCTGCGACATACCCATTGACGTAAAATACTGTTTACCACTTTTGGCTAGAAGCCACCTCTCACCACACTAACGTTACGATGATGGTTATCGACAGTCACCACAACTGTTTTCAAAGCATTCTGAAAGATATCTAGCTTTTAAGGGATGATAAATGTTTAACTGAATTTTCACTGAATAAAGAACTGATTTTCCTATCGACAGACTTAGCATCTAAAGGCCTCGAAATCGCTTGTATTTTGCGTCGTCAGTCACATATGTACAAACAGAATATCGCATTGTTAAAGTCTCCATAAGCGCTTCAACAGGAGGTCATCTATCATTGATCATCTCCGTAGATGACTCGTAATAAAATAATTTATCTGTTCTCACTATCGGTTCGACACCGGCAATGAGTTCTATCGATTGAGTACACTCATTAGATGGGTTTAGGTGAATTATGAATACACTATGTTTTATTTACTCAAAGTAGCAATATATATCTGAAGTCTGAGATGCCAAAGTTCTAACTACTGAGACCTATTATCCGATTTAGGATAGGATTCAGAGGGTAAAAAAATCCAAAATATATTTGACATTGTAACTTTAAGAGACTAAGTAAAGTGTTTCTATGAGAATGGTCGCTAGTAACGGTTGCGATAGAACTGAGAGAAGACGAAAGAACAATATGGTTTCAGTGGTAGGAAAACTATTCAAGCTTGAGAAAGAATGAGGAATGCACAGAAAAAATTAGTATGTCAGAAGAATACCTGGTACTTTTCTGGTGCCGCTGTTGCGAAGATTGACTTCTCATTGAAGAAACAGGATTAATTTTGTGTGATATTAAAGTAGAGCAGCTCACGCAATGTTTTTAGAAGTAGAATTTCGGAAATCGTATCCCATTAAGAACTTTAACTGCCTGTTAAGCATGGCTATACAGTAAGCTAAGGTGTGCAACTTTTGCCGCCGAATTTCTCCAGCATCTAACAATCGAAGGGGAACATATTACTGTCGCCAAAGCACCTCCAGCCGGCAGACAACTGTGTCATCCCACTACTACCACATAGCATTAGCAATTTACACAGCTACGGTAATTGCCTTAACTACCCAACTAACCTTTAGGGCATTCTACAAATTGCCTGTTTGTTCATAGTGATAATTAAGCTCAATCACAATTTCAAGGCAGTTACGGCTTATTTTTTAAGTAAACTTTTAAAGTGGTATGCATTATGCACTTATTAACATAAATCTAGATAAGGTGCCACTTTTGGTAGGACAGAAATTAAGCAAAAGGAAACGAAAATATCCTCCAAAATAAATTCATTACAACAAATACTAATTTGACTTACTTTCGAGCATTATTAAGAGCATTCAAATCGAGATCTATAGTTACTTGTGTATAATCCGTTTTACTTGAATCGACAGTGTTTTCACCATCACTAGATACTTCAAATGGATCTCTAAAATAATAATAGTACAAGAGATTTTATAAGGCTGGTAAGATACAAGCGAAAAATAGTAACAAACTACTTTAAAAGTATAACAGCTTGATTTGATAATAGTTTTAATTCAACAATACGCCATGCCAACGGATCACCACGTTGTTTTGCCTCTTCAACTATTGATTCCAATTCTGTCCAATCTAATTGATTGTATAATGCATGATTGAGCATGATAATTATGTTGTCCACCTAAATAAGTAGAAAAATAACAATATATGAATAAGACTGACTAAGATAAGATAATTATTAATAATATTGCAAGGGGAGATTCTCATAAATTCAGAGAGTCATTCACAACGACAGCAACAACAAAAAACAATGTCTATCCTTTTTCTCCAGACACAATCGTGATTTGGTAAAGTGGACGAACGGACCAACAGTTGAAAAGCTAAAATAGTACAGTGATTTGTCAATAAGGCTTAATTCAAGATAATTAAAAATAGGTAATCAGGTATTTATTTTCTTTTACCTCAATGAGTTAAAGTTTAGTGGTAAGGAGTCTTATCCAAAAAGCCCTATACGTTGGAAGTCACTCAGGGGGACAGAAACTAACCTACATACTTCACTTTCTCCAAAAATGAGGAACATTCATCACAGACAAACCCGAACAAAAGAATTTACCGTAAATTTTGTTTTGATAAAGTCTCACAGTAATATTTAATGATGACGTTTCGAGCACAATTTATTGCTCATAATGATATCAAGGTAATCATACGACATCCTAACTTCATTTATATAGTTCCATTATTTTTCACTTGATTTGGTCGGCAGTAGTATTTTTCCATATTTCAGGTATGAGTGATGAGTCATTCCTATTGCATGTGTTGGGTGTAGGACTCGATGAACAAGGATTCAGTAATCAACCTCTCTCTTCACCTACCTGGATTACTTTTTAGATTTTAACCCTCTCCCACCCTATTGTGTGGTTGTGTGTTAGCGCATGCATTGCAATTGCTGAGCTTTTTTCTAAATTACTCATCTTCTCGGGGTCAACCATTCTTACCTTAGCTGAATTCTTATGTTCTGACAATCTGACTACTCCTGACCTACTAGTTTGACCTATGTAGTTGACCTCAATCACAGTCATTGCATGGTATTTTGTAAATTATATTATTTTGTCTAATTGGTTCAACTAGGTCCTTTAACCTACACAGCTTGTCCCTGAATGAGTTTGTAGGTTTAGATGCCACCCTAATTCCTGTTTTATTTAGAATCCTACGTAGTGTCTCAGATGTCCCCTCTTTATATGGTATAACTGTAGATGACTTATATTCTCTCTTATTTATGTTATTATTACTAGTTTCAAAATTATTTTTATTTTGTTTTTGGCCTTTAATGATCTTCCTAATGAATTTTATAGGATAGTTATTCAATGCCAACGCTTCTTCTATCTGTTTTATTTCATCATTTAGGTATTTCTTTGTGCTACTTAGTGCCACTGCTCGGTTAAAGGACCTAGTTGATCCCATTAAACAAAATAATATTATTTACAAAATACCCTGTAATGACTGTGAGGTCAACTACGTAGGTCAAACTAGTAGGTCAGGAGTAGTCAGATTGTCAGAACATAAGAATTCAGCTAAGGTAAGAATGGTTGACCCCGAGAAGATGAGTAATTTAGAAAAAAGCTCAGCAATTGCAATGCATGCGCTAACACACAACCACACAATAGGGTGGGAGAGGGTTAAAATCTAAAAAGTAATCCAGGTAGGTGAAGAGAGAGGTTGATTACTGAATCCTTGTTCATCGAGTCCTACACCCAACACATGCAATAGGAATGACTCATCACTCATACCTGAAATATGGAAAAATACTACTGCCGACCAAATCAAGTGAAAAATAATGGAACTATATAAATGAAGTTAGGATGTCGTGTGATTACCTTGATATCATTATGAGCAATAAATTGTGCTCGAAACGTCATCATTAAATATTACTGTGAGACTTTATCAAAACAAAATTTACCCATAATGGAATTACACTCTACCACAGTGCACAAGGTTGATTCTTATATCAATGAAAGAATTTACCACTTATTTTGATGCACAGATGAATATAACCTCGAAGGCGGTTAAAAGTTGGAAAATTCAACTTTGTTATTGAAAGGAAAATATAACAAAACTAAGAGTTTGATTCAAAAGATTTACAGCACAGAGGAAGATTCGCTAAATGTTCCGTAGTGATATCAAATATACACACTAGATATTAAAAAGATGGTTGTAGGGAAGAAAGTTTTCTTTTCCACGAAGTCATCAACTAGACCGCATATTCGTGTACTTATAGTAAATGGGTGAGAAAGTTCTAGAACTGTTTCCGGTCGATGGTCAAATTATTGAAATTGCGAATAGGAAATAAGATGTGATGATAAACAGGAAGGTCGGATAGAAAACATAGTAAGCACACTGACTTTACCTACAATTAGGGATTAAAAAACGCATAAATAACAGAAATAAACAGGAAGGCTGGATAAAAAAGGTAATAGGATAATCCCTATTGAGAGAATTGACTTTTTATGATGGCCATGGTAGAGACACGGGTGTATTCTTGAACTTTTGGATAGTTAGTGCCTCAGCTATGCCCGCTCAGATCTCACTGCCTTTGAGAGGTTCGATCGGATCATGTATACGGCTTTGAAGGACTTTTCAAACGGAACTGAGTGACTTGATTTCACCATATGTTCTGTTACCGAACTGTATGCACACTTGCGTTCTCCTTTTACTAGCAAGGGTGGATAGTGTTCCTGAGGGCGTTTTACAACCAGACGCATGGTATGGTCTATTTACTCAGCTCCATAAGAGCAAGTGAAATTGTATACACATGTTGAAGTGTCCTAATGCAACAGCTTGTCTTTCATGTGATGGTTGAATAGTTTCTTGCAAGTAAGCGTCAGCGCCGTAAGCTGGCACCGAAGTATGTTTTATTGAAAGATTTTGAAAGCCGTTTACAGAGAACTAATACTTCAGTATCATTTTTAAATTCGAGATTAAGCATCAGAATCTTTTTAGGAGCGACTTGGATCTGTTCAGAAGTGTTTCCTTTGGTTTTAGCTTCTTGTCTGTGAATCTAGGTGGGAAACCATTTTCCCATAAATACATAAATGTACAGTCTAGTTGATGACTCTGTCGAAAAGAAAGTTCTCTTAGCTACAATCATCTCTTTTTTAACTTCTCCATTGGTGGACACTACTTTCAAATGAGCAATTAAGAAGTTAGTTATCAGTCTGCTATTTGGCATAAGTTAAGTCAGACTCCTGAGTGGAAACCTAATGGAAAACGACGAGTGTGGTGTGTGTGTATAAGGGTGATATGGAAGAGATAGTGTGAGGAAGAGATGAGAGTTTATGGGCGATGGTGGTGTAGTGAGAACAGGCTGCTAGCCAATTGGTAGACATTAATTTACGTCAATGTCTAGGTCACTAATATTGGCCGTGAGAAAATATGAACAAGGCTGATTCAACAACCGATCACAGCAGACTTAACGTGGGCAAATATGATTCGCAGATAGATGGCTCCACTTTCCGAGGTTACCAGAAACAACCAATCAGAAGGCTGTGTTTGTCTACTTGAATAAGCTATAATAATGTACAGGAAATATATATAAATACGTGCTGATTTCCATAATAAAACGGTCTGTTGCCGGGGGGCCAGCTGAAAAGGAAGGAATGGAGATGCGCTGTTGAAGCCCTACTTTCTATTATGAAATTATGGGAATGAAAATAATAATATTAAGCCATAATAAAAATCAACTTCAGATATTCAGACCTACCAGCTGGTGATTAGCTTCTAGTAAATAGGCGTAATGCATGTTTGCTTCCTGTACATGAGATTGAGAAAAAAGCAAAAAAATAAATATACATATTTAGGTTGTATTTCTTACAATATTAAGTAATAATTAATATGAATAGAATAAATGGTGTGTAACACAGATTGTTATTTTTATTATAGGCGATATGAGTAGATGCATTCATTTGGATTGTCTTATGACTTCTCTTATTTAATATATGTGTAAAACTTGGGCACTATGGTAGTAAGTAATTCCAGATTAGTTTGTTTATTAGATGTATCACACAGTGAAACAGTATTATTTACTGGATGACAAAGTTTCGAACAAAATTTATTGTTCATAATCATATCAATTGTGATCACACGACTTTGAAATTTGAGTTTTATAGTTGACTTTAGAAATTCACCTACCTATGAATTATCTAAATATTTAGCCATGGTATTAAATCCCCTAAAAATCCACTCGAAATCTAGACTAACTAATTCTTATGAACCAAAACACAGATTAGATAATTTAAAATTAGATAATGAAGAATAAATGGTTAGTTTTGACATTGTCAGTTTATATACACGTATACCAATAAATATGGCTATAGAGGCGGTCAGAAACGAACTCATTTCTGACCAAAAACTCGAACTTAGGACAAAAATGCCACTTGAGGGCATAATGCTGGGAGTGCAGCTTTGCCTAACTTCTACAGTATTTAAATTCCAAGGGAATATGTACAAACAAACTGAGGGAGTTGCCATGGGATCACCAATATCCCAGTTGTAGCAGATATATTCATGGATAGGTGGGAAAAGATAGCGATAGAAACGTTCGCCCCCACCCCAAAAGTATGGTGGAGGTATGTAGATGACACATTAACTGTACTTAGAACACAAGATATAGATAGATTTTTCGAACACATCAACTCGAAGGTAGAGGCAATTCAATTCACTTATGAATTGGAAAGTCAGGAAGGGGAACTTCCAATGTTAGATTGCAACGTAAAAAAGAAAGAAGATCGGAAGTTAAACACTAGTGTTTACGGGAAACCCATACATTCAAACAGATATTTGAACTTCCGATCATTCCATACTATGTCAGTAAAAATAGGATTGGTGAAGTGTTGAAGTGACAGAGCACAAAAACTAAGTAGTACCAAGGAAAATCTAAGACAGGAAGTGATACACATAAACGAAGCCTTGAAACTTAATAATTACCCGGATAAATTAATCAAGAAATAGGTAAGCGAATGTAAAAATTAATAAATAATGATAATAGCGATAGTGGTAATAATAATAATAATAGTAATGATAATAGTGATAATAAGGAATCTAAATCATCAACAGTAATTCCATACAAGGAAGGAACCTCGGAAGCCTCACGCAGAATTCTTAACAAGGCAGGGATAAAAGTGGCATTCAAACCCACAAACTCAATTAGAAACAAGCTTTGTCGGTTAAAGGATCCTGTGGAGCAATTAAAACAAAACAATTTAGTTTATCTAATACCCTGCCTGCAACCATTGTCAGGTCAAATACATAGGTCAAACTAGTAGAACAGGGGCAGTCAGACTAGCCGAACATAAAAACCTAGCTAAATCTAGATTGGTTGACCCGAATAAGATAAGAAATCTAGAGAGTAGTTCAGCTATAGCACTACATGCAGTTACACACAACCATACAATAGGATGGGATAGGATGACAGTCTTCAAATCTAATGTCACAGGGTATAGGGAGAGATTGATAACAGAAGCTTTGTTTATCGAATCAACTGGAAATACATGTAATAGGGACGATTCAACACCTGTCCCAGATATACGGAAAATTCTACTACCCCAACGACGACAAATAGGAGAAGACAAAGAAAACTATAAAACTCAAATTTCAAAGTCGTGTGATCACAATTGATATGATTATGAACAATAAATTTTGTTCGAAACTTTGTCATCCAGTAAATAATACTGTTTCACTGTGTGATACATCTAATAAACAAACTAATATGGAATTACTTCTCTTATTTATCTACAATTTTTCCAGTGAGGATACCTCTTTGATGATTTCACGTTTCACATCAGAAATTGCTGAAATATATATCTTCACTAGTCTTATTGTCTTTTTTTGATGAGTAAAGTGTAGAAGTAATAGTTTCTTGATGAGTCATTTTTATTTAAATTTAAGATACATGTGTGCGACACGCAGTTTGTCTACTAAACATGTTCTATTTTGATAATCCAATAAAACAGAAGCTGTCATTCTTTTTTTTTAAATACAGTCAATCAACATCCTCTACAGATATTAATTAATTACTTGAGTGAAATTTGTTACATGATAATTAACACTAACAACAACAACAGATATCGATTAGTGCTTACCGTCAGTACCACACCTTTGTTGATAATCGCTTTTTTTTGATGAATTACTTACTTACTTGTTCAGTTTTTAATGCCATCAAACGACGTTCTTGGTCCTTTTTAATATTTTCTACTTTTTTGTTGGCTTTCTGCTCCTAAAAGAAAAGAAATAAATATGTATCAAAGTCAAAAAGAAAAAAAGAGGAGTTGATTACATGCAAATAAGTCATGTGAATCATGCAATTTTTAAAAGATCACATTGTGGTGAGAGCAGGCTGCTAGCCAATTGGTAGACATTAATTTACGTCAATGTCTAGGTCACTAATATTGGCCGTGAGAAAATATGAACAGGCTGATTCAAAAACCAATCACAGCAGACTTAACGTGGGCAAATATGATTCGCAGATAGATGGCTCCACTTTCCGAGGTTACCCGAAACAACCAATCAGAGGCCTGCGTTTGTCTACCTGAATAAGCTATAATAATGTACAGGAAATATATATAAATACGTGTTGATTTCTATAATAAAAGGATCTGTTGACGGCCCTTGTCTTCTGTTGTTACAACATGATATAATCTTAGAATTAAAATGAAAAATATACCACAGTTTACACAAGAAAGGCCACCGGAGAGATATCATTCCATATTAGATAAGTTTATTTTGATATAACACACAGTCATACAGTATTGTTAACTGGATGATATTTCGAGCACAATTTAACGCATATATATATATATATATATATATATATATATATAATCCCCTTGGGTTCCGAGTAGAACACACCTCCACTTTGTTCCATTTTCTGTTCTCCTAATGATCTCTCATATCCTCTTCGTACGATCTCCCCCATGTCACCCTCGCACTGACGACTCACTTACTCTTCTCTTCCCATTGGGATTCCACTCGGGCAATGGCCTGTATTGCGCACGATGTCACTCGACGACCTCCTCAATGTATGCCCGATTCATCTCCATTTCATTCTATATATTTGTTGAACGATAGGTCCTTGGTTAGTTTGTTCCCAGCCAGAGTTTATTGTTGCTAATTCTTTCTGGCCAGCCAGCCAGCCATTTGATATTTAGTATGGAGCGAATGAAGCTATTGATAAAAGTCTGCAACCTGTTGGAAATCCTGACCTGTATATAAAAACACTGGCTGGCTTCACATTTGTGTTGAAAATCCGAATTTTATTGTTTATGCTGACTGAGCGTAGAAGATTTCCAGACTGACTTCAGATTGATAAAAGTGTATTTTGCCTTTCCGATTATGGCCTGCTTTGACATCTTCATCCGTTTTGATTGTCTGTGGTTGAAACAATACTGGCTACCTAGATTAGTGAAGAAAGTAACCTCTGTTAAATCTCTCCCATTGATGGTGATTGGTGCTGGTTGTTGTTCGTTGGTTATCTTCATCACCCGTGTCTCCTCTATGTTCCCCTGAAGTCCTGTCTTTGGTATGTGCCTCTTCTGCCAGTTTGTTGGTTTTCGCCTGAAAGTGTTTTCGAATTTGTGACATTAAACATAAATCATCTGCGCGCGAAATCCAGATCTTCTAGAGTCTTCTTATCGGTCGTCCAGAGTATTCTTGTCTTCTTACTCCCCACACGCTGTCTGACGGATAATCCCAGTCTACCACAATTAAGAATAGCATCATTGGTGATAGTAGTCAGCCTTGTCTTACTCCTGTATTTACTTCAAACGCCTCGACGAGTTTCCCGTCGTGGATCACCTGACACGTGGCATTCTCATAGAACCAGCTGTTGAATGAGTTTGAGAAAGACTTGAGGCACACCATAGCCTTGCAACCAGCTTTTGGAAATGCTTTCGTAACATGCTCTTTGAGTCTCTGAATTGTATAGAATCACTGAATTGACATTTATGTTGAAAACCCGAGTATTGTTCTTTACGCTAAGTGCAGTAGATTTCCACGCTGCTCTCAGATTAATTAATAACGGCTTTGGTTTTCCAATTCCAGTTGGGTTTGATATCCTTATCCGTACCTCCTGTCGGTAGTTGAGACGATGTTGCTCAGATAAGTCAAAGAATTAGTTTCCTCCAAATTTTATCCGTTGATAGTGATTAGTGCTTGTTGTTATTGTTGATTCGGTATCCCCTCATCACTTCTGTCTTTTCTATGTTCACTTGAAGTCCTATCCTTTTCTGCTTCTTCATTCAAATTGTTCGTTTCTGCTTGTAGATCTTTGAGTTTGTGTAACGTTAGACATAAATTGTGTGTACGTCGGTGGCATAGTGGTTAGGACGCTCGCCGACCATGCACATGGTTCGGCGTTCGATCCCCGGCCGACCCACTCCTTTACCTCGCTAAGCCAGAAATAATCCTGGTAAAGAGGAAAAGTTGGGCATGAGGCTAGCAACCCCATCCTGTAAAATAAACACTGCTACAGAAATTTCAAGCCACTAGCTTGAAGCCCTATGTTCCACTGGGGAACGTGAAGGAAGACATTTAGACATAAATTGTTCGCGAAGTTCAGGTCTTCTTGTCTGTCCAGTGTAATTCCTGCCTACACGCGCTCCTCACATTCTGTCACATGAAAGACTAGTAAAATGCATGATTCTTGGAAAATGCAACGGACATAATCACGATATAATAATGAAACCAGTAATGAACTTACATTTCGTAAGATTTGTTCTGATGTTCGCTGACTTTCCAGTTTTGAATAGTAAGTATCCACTGCCTAAACAAAAAAAACAAACAAAAAAAGTTAAAAAGTAAATTAACACACATAAATAGTGATTTAATTAATTGCGCGAATTACTATTCGTTACATGTGTTACAAACAATAATAATAAATCTCAATGAAATGTGTAGTTTATGCAAACTACTGAAGACAGCTGAGAAAAGGTAGATTCGAGGCTTTATTATCAACATCAAATGTACACTTTATGCATCAATAACAGAAACTTATTCAATAGTTTAACGAAAATAAGACAAGGCTATTTGATACTATTCACTCTCCTATTTAAAAATCTTGAGTTAATTTCTTTAGTAGATTGAGTTTCAAAATTTAAATATTTTGAATAAACCAAGAACAAGAGAGTGGTTTGTGCAGAATAATATGGTACCATCATTTATTTCGTTGCCTTCTCATCAGCTCAGCTGCTTACAGTCTAAATAAATTATTAGGTGTAAGTACAGAAACGTTTTAACATACTTGCAAATTTTACATGTTGTCAGTTGACAGAAAGTTCCACAATTAGTAAACAGTGCTCAGAAAATTGCGCTTATATAGTTTTTACACAGGCAGTTCAAGTTAAAACAAAATAAATGTATGCATATAACGGTAAAGGAGTTACATAATAAAGATGAGATGTGTGTTAGATGCATAGTGACTAATAAGTTAGGTAAACAATGTACTGAGTTGAACTCAAATCATAGAAACAAGAGACAAGCAAAATTACAGATTATAAAAGGAGGGTGAGGTTAAAGACAAAGATTATGTGATCAGATGAGAGAAAAAAGAGACATCTAGTTACCAAGACAAGGAAAGACTAATAACTGCCTCTTTCTGAACACATAAATCTGGTTTCAAGCGTTTGATAGAAATTGCTTCGGCAAACTTGAAGAGAATGGAGCTCCTTTATCTATTGATAATTTTAAAGGATTTCTCGATTTCCACCTCATAACCCGTGTCGAGAATATTTTAACATAACTTGATTAGAATGTCTGAGTGGTATAAGAAGTTTTGAGTTGAAATCTAATGAACGGAGGCATTTATATATATATATATATATATATATATATATAATTTTGCAGACATATCAGTCTGACCCAGTAAAACAAGCAATCAGAAATCGTAAGTTTAATTAAATTACAACTGATTTCTGTTGCACGAAAAAGTATTTTCATGACTCGGTAGCCCAGAATATGTCAAGAAGCAAAAAACAATATATACATTAAGGATCTGCAATGACGATTAAAGATAATTTTTGAAAAATACCCTTGTAATGACATTCAGCGTGACAAACAATTTTTAATCAACCGCTTTTAAAGGATTTAGAGCACCGTGTTAAACCAAACTTAATCAATCATATAAAATCATACAAAAAAAAACATTTTACTTACCTTATTGAAACTATCAAACATTATGTGAGGCTTACCAGCATACTGTTCAAAAATGAATGGTTGGAATTCTTCATAGCTATAAAAACAACAGAATGGTATCTAGACATAAATGTATTATATAATCACGGTAGACATAAACTATGACAATATCGATTTGTTCCGTAGGATATGGGGTAAAATGAAATGACACATAGTTAATACGCATTTTCACCCTCTCCCCCCCCCCACCTTTAGTTACGAATCACCTCAGAATGAGTCACACTAGATGTATGGTGTATTTTCCAAGAAATGAAGTGCCAAAGCAACAGATCCACTTAAACTTATGTCATTCGAAAGATAATTAAACAGGTATTTTCTTTCAAAACACGAGACGTCTTCATCATAGGATGTATATGTTGTGAACTTTTCTTATAATACGTATCTAGTCATATTCATATCTCTACCGCTATTAACACTCTTTTTTTCCTTTATATGTTTAAGCCATTCCGGCTTCATTGTAAAATGAATAAAGCCTAAATTCTTGGTTCATTCGTCTTTTCAAGATTCAAGCATCACTCATCGTTCTAAGACTCAATCACCTTCGTAACAATTTATTCATTTTACAATATTCATGGAACGATTTTTCCGACCTGATCGGTTCGACGTAGAACCTAACGCAGTTGGAGCTGCCAAGAAGTGGGATCACTGGTTTGCGACTTTTTCCTACTTCATTGAATCAATGGGATCCGAAAATCCTTCGAAACTACATATTCTCTTCAATCATATTTCTACTTCTGTATACGAATGCATTTCTGAATGCAAAACATACGAAGAAGCTATCGACACTCTCAAGAGTCTCTACATGCAGCCTTGCAACGAAGTGTTTGCTCGACACTTGTTAGCAACGTGTAAACAAGAATCTGGCGAAAATCTGGATCAGTTTGTTCGTCGACTCAAGTCGCTGACTACAGATTGTTCATTCAGGGCAGTTACAGCCGAAGAACATCGTAACGAATCTCTACGTGATTCATTCATCTCAGGTATACAGTCTTCGATGATACGCCAGAGGCTATTAGAACAGCGTACTTTAACTTTTCAAGCGGCATACGATCAAGCACGAGCTCTAGAGATGGCACATCAACAATCGCAGTCATACAACAATCCTGTTACACCTTGCGCGTCCATTTCTTTACATGATGTACCTCATTCATCAGATTCCACACCCTCCGTCAATGAAACAACCATTGCTGCCGTTGAATCCAAATGCTTTTTCTGTGGTAATCGTAGACATCCTCGTTCCAAATGCCCCGCCCGTGATGCAGTTTGCAAAGCTTGTGGCAAGCAAGGACATTTTCAGAAGGTTTGCAGGTCTGCGCCATCTACGAAAAAAGGTCCATCTTCAGTTAACTCTATAATTTCATCTCTCGTTGTGGCTTCAGCACCTCAAAGTCTCACTGATGCTGTTACGCAGCTTACTGTCAATGGGAAATCAATGCAAGCTCTAGTGGATACCGGAAGCAGTGAGAGCTACATCTCTTCCTCAGTTGTTCGTAAGTATAACTGGAAAGTCCATAAGTCTCGAAACAGAATCACAATGGCGAGTACGAATCTTACTAGTCATACTGAAGGACATTGTCTTCTATCCATCTGCTATAAAAACCACACTTATGATCTATTCAAATTTTCCATTCTTCATAATTTATGTGCAGACGTCCTTCTTGGACATGATTTTTTAAAACTTCACAAACACATTGAGATTCCTTTTGGGGGATCAAAGCCGCCTTTTTCTCTCTGTGGTCTACCTTGTGTTCGCGTCGACCTGCCTACTCTGTTTGAAAATCTTTCAAAAGACTGTAAACCGATCGCGATAAAATCCCGGCGTTATTCTCGTGAAGATGAAAGTTTTATTTCCACCGAAGTCAACCGGTTACTGCAAGAAGGTGTTATTGAACCTTCTAATTCTCCTTGGCGAGCTCAAGTTCTTGTTACGTCAAACGAACGCCATAAAAAGAGGATGGTAGTTGATTATAGTCAGACAATCAATCGATTCACTTTTCTGGATGCTTACCCATTACCTAGGATTGACGAAATGATAGAAAAAATCGCACAATATGACATATTCAGCACTCTTGATCTGAAGAATGCTTATCATCAAATTGCCCTAAGGAACGAAGATAAACCATATACTGCTTTCGAGGCTTGTGGGAAACTTTACCAATTTTGCCGAATTCCTTTTGGTGTTACCAATGGCGTAGCTTGTTTTCAACGCATTATCGATGAATTGATCAGTAAAGAACAACTCACAAGCACGTTTGCCTACATTGACAATGTCACTATCTGCGGCAAAACTCAGGAGGAACACGACAAAAATCTAAACAAGTTTATGGTAGCAGCACGCAATTATGGAATAACCCTTAATGATTCCAAAAGTGTGATCTCAAGCAGAAGCATACAATTACTCGGTTATGAAGTTTCAAAGGGGGTTATTAAACCAGATCCCGATCGGCTAAAACCTCTTCGTGATCTAGAACCACCCACAGATATCAAATCTCAACAACGGGCCGTTGGATTATTTGCTTATTATTCACAGTGGATCCCTCGCTTCTCAGATAAAATCCACCCATTGGTAAATAATCGGATTTTCCCTCTTGATATCGAAACTCGAAATGCTTTTGACAAACTGAAAGACGACTTAGAACGTGCAGTCGTTGTGGTAGTTGATCCGAAAGCACCCCTTGTTGTTGAAACAGATGCTTCAGATGTCTCAATTGCAGCTACATTAAACCAGAATGGTAAACCTGTCGCCTTCTTTTCTCGAAGCCTCTCTCGAAGTGAGAAACATCATTCATCGGTTGAGAAAGAAGCCTATGCCGTGGTTGAAGCAATTCGTAAGTGGAAGCATTACCTTCTCGGAAATCACTTCAAACTTGTCACTGATCAACGTTCAGTAGCATTCATGTTTGACAAGATTCATAAAGGCAAAATCAAGAACGATAAAATAATGCGTTGGAGAATTGAGCTATCCCCTTATCAATATGACATCATTTATCGTCCTGGAAGGGATAATCAAGCTGCTGATACATTTTCCCGTAGTTTCTGCGGTTCCTTGCAGTCAGTGTGCGACTTGAAATTTCTCCATGACTCTATGTGCCATCCTGGAGTTGTCCGAATGATGCATTTTGTACGCTCGAGAAACCTTCCATTCTCCCTTGACGAGGTGCGCAATGTAACCAGTAAATGCGTGACATGCTGTGAGTTAAAGCCTCAATTTTACAATCCCTCTAATTTCAAACTCATAAAAGCAACCCAACCTTTTGAAAGGTTAAGCATCGACTTTAAAGGACCTCTACCGTCAGCTAGCCGCAATCACTATCTGCTCACGCTGATCGATGAATATTCTCGATTCCCCTTTGCATTCGCCTGCCCCGACATGTCGTCTCAAACGGTAATGAATTGCCTTTGCCAACTGTTTTCGATTTTCGGTATGCCTTCTTACATACATACCGACAGAGGCGCTGCTTTCATGTCTACCGAATTACGGGCATTTCTTCTGGAGAAAGGCGTAGCAACCAGTCGTACTACCTCATACAATCCTCAAGCCAATGGGCAGGTCGAGCGCCTCAATGGAACACTTTGGCGTGCCATCACTCTAGCATTAAGATCACGGGGCCTACCAACGGCACAATGGGAGTCTGTTCTACTCGACGCCTTGCATTCCATCAGATCTTTGCTCTGTACTGCAACGAACGCCACGCCACACGAACGACTGTTTACCTATAACCGAAGATCGACATCTGGGACAACTCTTCCTACTTGGCTCACTGTACCAGGACCAGTACTTCTCCGGCGGAGTGTTCGTCAGTCCAAATTCGATCCCCTGGTTGAAGAGGTGGAGCTATTGAATTGTAACCCGCAATTCGCTCACGTTCGCTTCGGTAATGGACGTGAAGATACAGTTGCTCTTCATCATCTGGCACCCAAAGGCGAAGATATAGATCAAGTTGAAAATTCAATACCGGAGGGCGACGCAATTCCTGAGCAACAAGTAAATGGGGATGCGACCACTGATCCTAATATTCTTCGTGAAGAAAATACAACTGAAACGAACAACGGGCGTATTCTTTTGGAAAAACAACAACGTGTACGGCCTTACAATTTGCGTACCAGAGAAGCGTGACATAATGGCTCATTCCTTTTCAAGCCGCAGTGAATGTTGTGAACTTTTCTTATAATACGTATCTAGTCATATTCATATCTCTACCGCTATTAACACTCTTTTTTTCCTTTATATGTTTAAGCCATTCCGGCTTCATTGTAAAATGAATAAAGCCTAAATTCTTGGTTCATTCGTCTTTTCAAGATTCAAGCATCACTCATCGTTCTAAGACTCAATCACCTTCGTAACAGTATACACGCAGTCTTACATCTACCGATAAGAATTCGACAGTTGCCTAGTAACCTTCCGAATTACCAATGGTTGATGATTTGTTGTCTGTTAAATACCTTATGTTTAAGTTATGGGTACCACATCGAGTATATAAATAAAAATTTCTCTGACAGTCTGGTAACTCTAATGATTATAATGGGAATACAAACAAGTTAGTAGAATTAGCTAGAATTGTATAAATTAACAAAAGTTAAAAGATAGTTACAATGGGAGGGGAAAAATCGTTTTTTTTTAAACTTAATACATATTATGTAGTTGTTCATGGCAAAGAAAGGGGCTATGCAAATTTCTTTTGAATACACAGATTTGGCTTGTTCAGATGAATTCCGATTGCTTCTGCTGTGTGCAAAAGTCACTTAGGTAACCATGGACAAGTCTGACTACCTAAGCGAAATGGGGAATTTATGAGGTGATGCACACAAATTTCATAGACTATCAACTTTCAATGATACAGCGGAGAGGACTGAGCGACAGTTAACAGAGTCTATAATAAATTTCAAACAACAAGGCTATATTTCATCTGCCTTGTGTGAAACACTAAAACCTGTCGGCACGTTGACACCCAGGTTATACGGCTTACCAAAGATTCCCGAAAACGACTTGCCACTTAGACTGGTTCTCGATATGTCCAACTCACCTTATCATTTAACTGTCAAATAGCTGGTGGAACTTTTACAGCCTTTGAATAAGAAACTTTTGAAAAATAGCGTAAAATATAGTTTTGAGCTTGTAGAAAGAATGGAGGAATTAAATGTGAAGGATAAATACATGCTATCACTGGATGTATCTTCCGTATTCAATTCACCAATGTGCCTTTGTTGGAAACAACTGATTACATAGGTAATGAATTGATAAAGCAACGTATAGACAGTGGAATTCTTGTTTCCTCCCTAAATGAACTTCTTCTAAGGTGTACATTGAACGTAAACTTTCTGTTCAATAAAGACATGTATAGACAATCAGATGGTTTTTCCATGGGGTCACCACTAGGCTCAATCATAGCAGATTTTTCCTGGAGAAACTAGAGAATGGTCTTCTTAAAGATGTGATATATAATCTTGATTTATATTGCCTACAAGTCGATGATACATTTATAGTTGTTAGGAAAGACAGTGAGACTAAGGACATGTTGGATAAATTCAATAAAGCACATCCTGGCCCTAGCTTCACTAAAGAAGAGGAAGAAAATGACTCTATCGCCTTTTTGGACGTCCTAATGACTAAACGAACAAACGGAACAATATGTAGACGTTCGCATAAGAAACCTACTCCACTGGATAGTATACTCACTTCCTGAAATTCGTACATCTACAATACAAACGTGATCTGGTTAGGTGTCTAGTTCACCAGGCTAGAGTCATTTATTCAAATGAGACACTGAACGAACTCAGTAATATTCGTGATCTACCAAGTAGAAACGCATACCCGACTAAATACGTGAACAAACACATGAACTCAGAAAGTAAAAAGTCGAAGGTGCCAACTGTTCCCAAAAAATAACTTTTCCTAAGATTACAATTCACGGGTGATATGATTAGAGAGGTCTTATCACAACATCTGAGAAGGGCCATCAAAAGGACTTTCAACGCAGCTAAGCTATGCTGTATATTCACAAGCCAACCAATATTTAGTTCAAGAAATAAAGACACACTGCCTTGTTTCGCCTCTTCCATGTGTATTTACCAGTTTAACTGCCCGTTGGGAGCTAGTTACATAGGGTGTACGATCAGGCAAGTTCATCATCGAATTTCTGAACACCTCGCATCTTGGTTTGGCAAACATCCGAATAAAGCCATACGCACCACAATACTAGCTCATCTCGCCGATATTGGACATTATGTTGATTCCAAAATTATTTTAAAGTTATTTGTCGAATGTCACCTAATCTCTCGAATGATCTACAAGTACGATTTTTACATACAGCAGAAGCAATCGGAATTCATCTGAACAAGCCAAATCTGTGTATTCAAAAGAAATTTGTATAGCCCCTTTCTTTTCCATGGACAACTACATAATACGTATTAAGTTTTCAAAAAAAACGATTTTTCCCCTCCCATTGTAACTATCTTTTAACTTTTGTTAATTTATACAATTCTAGCTAATTCTACTAACTTGTTTGTATTTTATGTAATTATCCTGAGTCATCATTATTTTACAAATTTCTTGATTATGTAATAACTTGTTGCTAACGCCTAAGAATCAACTTATCTTGAATTCCGTAAGTAATTTTCGGTCCTCGTTCAAAACTTAGATATTTTGTTACTAACATCTATTAGTGAATTGTTTTGATTACTTTTACCTCTTAATTTCACCCTTGAACACATAAAACTGATTAACCAAAACAACCACTCGATTGGTAAAAACCATTTTGATGTAAAAACTATATATTAGTGTAGAGCCGATGATGAGGAACTAATTGAAAAGGAATATGCATATATATATATATATATATCTTCGTTGTATCTGTATTTTTTCGAAGTGCATAAACAGGAATTTCGATGTCACCTATACTATTCAGTCACGGGATCACAGTTTACAGCACTCTCTGGCTGGAAATATCAGTCGAAAGATTGGTAGAATGATTCCAGGCTTTGATTATACTACACCCAACTGTTATCCAACTTAATCCTATATCAGTGAATATTACTTAACGAGGAAGGCGATAGCTTGGCATGTGTCACACGTATGCTGGCCACCTCAGTTGGTACGACTTGACATTCTCATCGACTGACTTGCTCTCCTCACCTAACACTCTACGCCTAACCTCTATACTACCTATCATATTGCACTACATGTCTTTTGGTCGATAGCCGAATATTACCTCTACACCAAAGAGGATGTACACCTTAGCGGATACCACATGAGCCTTTTTCTACCCGTACTCAAATTTTGTCCGTAATAAGTCCTTTAGGACTGAGGCAACTTCCCAACCAAGTGAAGTGGTCAACACACTCAACCACTTAACTCCCTATCTTTATACTAGGAGTCGATACAAGCCAATCCTGCATTTGATAGATGTTTAGACATGCCATTAAACGGCAAGGGAAAAATATGACGATCTATAGGGTGGAAGAAATATAGATGAATTATGCAATTCCACATAATCATGAAAGTTAATAAAATGAAATTAGTCTGGATTTTGATCAATATGAAATATGTAATCGAAACTTTTGTGAATCTGTCAACCTAGGTTTCGTGTTACTTAATAATTCAGATACGTATCCTTCAGCACTAAATTCTTAAAAGTAACATGAAACCATTCAATAAATTCGTCTATACGTTTCTTCGGGAATAATAGAGCTAAAACATTCAATGAGACAAACCAATATGTAAACGGTAAGGAGTGACATGAATTTATAGCTGTGTAAAAGAGTGCTTGATTTCAGATTACCACATACAGCGGAGGCGTACAAGAGTAGACTGACACGGGTCTACGTTTCGGAAGTCGTTACTAAAGGATAGTCTAATTACTCTAAAGAGGTCAGATGATGAAATGCTTTTAGGTGAATATGCAAACGAATTCAGAGATATCTAAGAAAATAATTAGGTTTAAACTTTGTGAATGTACATAAATCAGATGAAAAAGAGACATGTACTTAAAAATACTAGATGAAAATAAAACCGGTTACCTTCGTAAGCCTTCTGCAGATGGATCCGGTTTCCCAAATATATAACCGCATGGAGTGGCTTGATTGACTGAATAGGCTTTCAGTAAAATAGCTCTCAAGGCCGTAGCAAAAAACTTAACGTACTGCCCCATCAAATCCACTCCAATAAATTTTGATTGGGAATTATCTTCATTGCATTTCATGCGTTTAACTTCTTTTTGTGCTACACGCATACAATGTTCTATAACAATATTCCCATAAGCTAGAATGAAAAGTAGACAACATCAGAAGAGGTCATCTCAAGAAAAAAATGTACATATAATCACTATGAAGAACAGTGATAGTACCAAACACATGACGACAATGGTGACATGTTTTACAACGAATTTGTAGGTGAATTGGTGTATTTCCAGATGAGTTACATTGGCGAAATTCTTTCGAAAAGGGTGCAGTATAAAATGATAAAACACTAAGCCTGCTTTGTCCGACTGAATAAGTTAGTGGTGAAGACATCGCCTCAAGATGTAACGCTCCTTGAACCGAGTGTGGAGACGATTGGTTTTTGAATGATAAGTGCCTCATGATTTGTAGAACCGTGACTAACAGGTTTCTGCACTTGACTTCTTAAGAATATTTCACGGGTTATGACCTGAATCACTCATGGAGTATTGTGAGACTAGAAAATATAACTGGCTACAACATTAACGCTAGGGAAAATCAATTTCAAAGTAACAGACACCATAAACACGTGGATGTGACCCAGATAATACTTAAGTTGTACTAGTGGCGTATTTTTGTGAGAAATATAAAATACAGTGATTAAAACTATCTCAGCTAGTCATCAACTAAAGTCCCTTACCACAGAATTTTGATATTTGGCAGTGCAAAAACATCCTATTTAAGCAACCGAATATGGATACAACGATAAAAAAGCTATCAGTAAAATAAAAGTATAAATCTACAACCAGAGGAACAAGTACGTTACTGAATACTTCAGAAAGACATGCATGTGCTTACGCAGCTCCAAAGAGAGTGTTTTGTTAATCGGAGGATTTTCACACGTTTGTGCATCAGATGTCCATGGTCCTTTAGATGATTGAAATAATGGAGTGAGGAAGCTTTCGATATCACTTAAAGATTCCTCTTCATTTAAATCCTTAAAACAGTCTAACACTTTTCGACAAGAATCCATGAGGTATTTTTCATGAGCTGCGAATCTAATATTTTGACTTTTATCAGTTCGTGGACGAAGTAAGTGGAGGATTGTATAGGAATCATCTGCAAGAAGCATATTTCCCTACAAAAAAATAAGAAATATCCACTATGACTTTGAAGAGTAGAGCAAGCAGAAAAATAGATAAATGAAAGGTCAATAAACAAAAGGAATTTCTTCGACTACGTTTTAGCTCTTTTTTCTGTGAACTGTTTCCTTTGTTGATGTTGTTCTCATTGTTTGTCCGTTATTTTCTGATTTTGAGGGGAGCAACCCAAAAAGTCGCTTCTCTCTAAACTTTAACTTAATGTAATCATTCCTTGCTCAGGCGTGAGGCTAGCAACCCCACCCTGTAAACAAAGTTGCTACAGAACCTTCAGCAAAATGAACTTCTTTGCACCAAAAGAAAAAGTCTGTGTGGGAACATGGAACGTCCGAACTATGTACGAGACAGGGAAAGCTGCCCAGATCGCCAACGAGATGAAGAGATACGGAATACAAGTGCTAGGAATATGTGAAAGCAGATGGAATGGGAGTGGACTCACCAAATTGTCAACGGGTGAGTCAGTGATCTACTCCGGTCACCCAGAAGATAACCACACGCATACGTTGACCGCTCCACTTATTTGGGAAGTACCATCAGCCCCAACGGGCTGATGTCTGACAAAATCTCAGCACGAATACAAGGGGCTCGTTTCGCATTTGTTAGTTTACGCCGACTCTGGCGTAGACGAGATGTTCGACTATCGACCAAAGGGCGGGTGTACTGCTCATCAGTCCGCTCCGTCCTCCTTTATGGTTGTGAGACCTGGACACTGAGAGTGGAAGACATGAAAAGACTAGCTGTCTTTGATCATAGGTGCCTGCGTTCTATTTCCCGTGTAAAGTGGCATAATAAGGTGAGCAACATTGAGGTTAGGCGTAGAGTTCTAGGTAAACAGGGGAAATCAATCGACGAAGTCGTGAAGCTACAAAGACTGAGATGGTTAGGACATGTGTTACGTATGCCAAGCCATCGCCTCCCTCGACGAGCAATGTTAGCGGATATAGGGTCAGGCTGGAAAAAAGCTAGCGGCGGTCAAACAAAAACTTGGCATCAGTCAATGAAATCCACAACAGTTGGTCTAAGCCACGTAGAAAGGTGTAGACTTCCAGGCTGGGGTCCTCGGGACGGTAAAAATCTATGGTTGGAAACAATTGGTGACATGGCTCAAAATCGTTCTCAGTGGCTGGTGCAGATGCATCCACTCCCTGTGACTTATGATCTTCAATGAAACTGTTTTGTATTTCTTTATTACTCCTTTGTCTCACACCTCTGCTCACTGTTTCTATTATGCTTTTCTTGTACTTTCTTCTCTTGCTTCGCGTGCTACACGGAATGTGGCGACTTGAACTTCCGCACATTTGTGCAAAGTTCTATGTCGAAAACAGACAGACACGCATACCGAGGGCGTGGCTATCATGATGTCACCAACGGCAACGAAAGCCCTGATACAATGGGAGGCGATTTCGTCCAGGATAATGACCACCAGATTCAACTCCAAAGGAAGGAAAGTGTCAATCATACAATGTTATGCACCCACAAACAACGCAGACCTCGAAAAGAAAGAAGAATTCTACAGGCAACAATGGACAATACTCCAGCTGGCGACATGAAAATACTAATGGGAGACATGAACGCCAAACTGGGACCAGACAACTCAGGGAGGGAACTCATCATGGGCAGAGAAGCTCTAGGAGAAATGAATGAAAATGGAGAACTCTTCTCCGACTTCTGCGCCTTCAACGAACTAGTGATTGGTGGCAGTGTATACAAGCACAAAGATATCCACAAGGCTACATGGGTGTCACCAGACGGGCAAACCAAAAACCAAATTGACTTCATCTCAATCTCAAGGAAGTGGAGGCGCAGCCTACTGGACACAAAAACAAGAAGAGGAGCAGACGTTGGCTCAGACCACTATCTGGTACAAGGGACAATCCAAATCAAATTAAAAGCTTTCAGGGAATCAGGAGCTGCAGATAGACCACAAGCCAAGTTCAACACTCAAAAGCTGAAGGACCAGGCTACAAAGGACATCTTCATTGCAAGCATAAAGGACAAAGCTGAGATACAAATCAACACCAGCGAAAAGGTCAGCGTCGAAAAGCACTGGAACAACTTGAAAACGCTGTGGAGCCAAACCTGCATAGAAATTCTAGGCAGAAAAAAGAGACAGGACAAACAGTGGCTCACTACGGACACTTGGAAACTAATAGAAGAGAGAAGGACAGTGAAACAAAAGATTATCCAGTGCACTGACGAGCAACAAAAACAGGAGCTGAATGCAAGCTACAATACACTGAACAAAAGAGTGAAGAAGAGTGCCAGGGAAGACAAAAGAAAATATTATGAAACCATGGAAAGTGAGGCAGAACAAGCTGCAGTGCAGGCAAAGGAGACCTCGCCACACTCTGCCAAACAACTAGGCACTTATCGGGCAAAAGTTCGACACAGATTAAGCCAATAAAGGATGACAATGGAAAGTCAATCACCAAAGAGGTGGAACAAAGGAAATACTGGACTGAACACTTCAAAAGACTTCTAAATCGACCGCCACCTACAACATGCCCAACAATACCAACAACGGAAGCAGAACTACCAGTGAACATCGACTCTCCGACGAAACCAGAGGTCCTAAATGCAATCAAGATGCTAAAAGCCGGAAAAGCAGCAGGACCAGATGGAATCCCAGCAGAAGCATTGAAAATAGACCCAGAGACAATAGCGGATTTGATGGCACCACTACTGGAGAAGGTGTGGAAAGAGGACGAGGTACCCGAAGATTGGAAGAAAGGATACTTATTAAAACTACCAAAGAAAGGAGACTTAAGCCAATGCAAAAACTGGCGCGGAATTATGCTTCTGTCCATTCCAAGCAAGATACTAAGTCGCATCATCCTGGAGAGAATCAAACAAGCCCTGGATGAAAAACTTCGTCCGGAACAGGCCGGATTCAGGAGAAACAAATCATGTATTGATCAAATCGCCACTCTACGGATCATCATTGAACAAAGCTTGGAATGGCAGTCACCTCTCTATCTCAACTTCATTGACTTTGAAAAGGCCTTCGACAGCGTCGATCGAGAGGTCATTTGGAAACTACTTCGCTATTACGGGGTCCCATCAACAATTATACATCTCATCCAACAGTTATACGACAATGCTGCATGCCAAGTAATCCACAACGGGAAACTTACGGAGGCCTTCGAAGTGAGGACGGGAGTGAGGCAAGGCTGTCTACTATCACCAATGATCTTCCTGATTGCAATTGATTGGATAATGAGACAGACAACGGCAACCAACGAGGGAACAAGCATAAAATGGACTGACACAAAAGACTTGGAGGATCTGGATTTCGCCGATGATATATGTCTGATTTCCCACAAATTGGAAGATATGCAAGTGAAAAGCAACAAGTTGGCAGAAGAAGCATCAAAGATAGGACTTCAAGTGAACATAGATAAAACAGAGGTGATGAAGATTCCTAGCCAACATCAACAGCAACAACAACAACAGACAACAATCAGCATAAGTGGGAAGAACCTGAAAGAAACAACCTCCTTCACCTACCTGGGAAGCATCGTCTCAACTACAGGCGGAACTGACGAGGACATCAAAGCCAGAATCGGAAAAGCAAGACAAGCTTTCATTACTCTCAAATCTGTGTGGAGGTCAACAGCACTCAGCATCAAAAATAAGATCCGGATTTTCAACCCCAATGTACAGTCAGTGCTACTATACGGATCAGAGACTTGGCGAGTCATAAAGAGCATCTCAAACAAGCTACAGACCTTCATTAACAGCTGTCTCCGCTCAATACTCAAGATCAGATGGCCAGAAAAGATCAGCAACAGGGATCTCTGGGAGCGAACCAATCAGGAACCGATTGTGAAACAAATAGGCAGAAAGAAGTGGAGATGGATTGGCCATACGCTGAGGAAACCATCAAGTGACATCACTAGACAAGCCATTCCTCGAGTGGAACCCGAAAGGGAAACGGAGAGTTGGTCGTCCAAGGGTGACTTGGAGGAGGTCATGCGAGGAGGAGATGAAAGCATGCGGACATACCTGGAGCAGGGTGAAAAAGTTGTCAGAAAACCGAAGGCAATGGAAGTGCGCAGCTGAAGCCCTATGTTCCTCTAGGAACTAAAGGATACAATAATATATATATATATATATAACGTTTTAGCTCTTAAAAATAACTATAGCTGATAACTCTAACACCAGACAAACAATAACATATTGAAGTTTTAATACAAAGTGGAAAGTTTTGTATTTAGGACCGCTACCATTATCATGTGAATCAAAATACGTAATTGTATCCCTCATTACTAATATGACCAACTGACTGCAGTAATACGTCTTCAGTAAAACTCAGTGTTGTACATCAAACAAACAATTGACGATAGCTGTAAGTTGTTATACGCTACAGTATTTTATACTTAACCAAGAGCACGACACAAGATTATTGGAGGACATGAGTGTGAGTACCTAAAGTATTGGTTTTAAAAAGTGTATGAAGTCCTAAGTAACTCTAACTTATAGCTGGCACTAAACAGGTAAATGCTGATCACTGACTAACTTCTGAGAAAGGAAAATCGGAATTTAAGCTAAGAACAAAAGAAATGGATGCTTTCTAGATACTTCTCATGATTACAGTTCCTATTTTATGTGAACAGATAAGTAAGAAATATCCGTCCGAAGTATTAGTGACCTATTTTCATATCAGCCCGAAATCAGACAGATAATGACGTTTATCAAGAAACAAACCTTGATATATGAAGAAGGACAAATTTCGCCTGACGTTACTCGATTATTTGAGTACCTGAAGTCTTACACAACTGACAAAACAAAGCATTTGGTTCACCAACTTGACGAAATTACTGTTCACTTGAAAGTTAGGCATTTAATTGGATCAGTTAAAAACAGTATAAGTTAAAGAAATATTGGGTAGGAAAAGACTCTACACCGGTAATCAAAATATATAAACCAATAAATACATGTAAGAATGATTATCTTAAAAGATAAGAAAATGTCAAGCGTCAAATCCCATATTTTACCAAAACAATAGAAGCTGAGTTTGTTTTTTCCTATTAGATATCATCAACAAGACTTACACCAGTGACTAAAAAATCGACTCAATGCATGAACATCTTTAGGAATTAAGCATATCGACTACCGAGTTTTGTTGGAAGTTGAATCAGCGCAACAAAACGAGATGATTACTTGGCTTTGAACAACTTAGGTTGCTTCAAAACTGACGACAACACCGAATGTACGTCGGTAGCACAGTGATTAGGACTATCGCCGACCATACACATGGTCCAGGGTTCCATCCCCTGCCGAGGCACACCTGATATCTATGGTCGGCCGATATCATATGCTGAAAATTCCATACTTGTACTAAAAATACTGCGTGGTTTCAAGCTATAATCAAAAAGAAAAACAGCATGTCCTGTTTTACCCCAAATTAGGGGAGGGGGAGTATACGGAATTTGAAGACTATTTCTTATGCTGTTTCAGCTATATAGCACCTCTGAAATATGAAGACGACATGCACAAAACAAGAGTCTAGAATTAAATTATGGTTGTTAAATCCAGTTCACTAACAGTAGTAAGACTTACTTTATCATACAGCTCCACAATTAAATGATAGGCAGATGACTCAAAACCAATCTGAATATCGACAATGCGATCCGCTCCAACCTGAGTTATGTCAACAATTTTCTTGTTCCTTATGTGCTTCCGGAGCTAAAATTTATGAAAAAAAGTTATTAACCACATCCATATACTAAGAGAAAAAGGTGGAAATAAACTCACTTTCATAGAAAACCCGGAAGGCATCATGTTTTTTGGCCATTCAAAATCCGTTATGTGGATACGAGAGCCAGATTCCAATAGTAATATAGCCTTATCCTCAGACTGGGTGCTTTGGGTTTATGTTTAGTCAGAATAAGTGACTTACCCATTAAGTTTTAAAAGATACGTTTTATTATCCACGTCATATACATTGATTATTCTATGACCGAGGATTCTGAGCAGAGTATACATAAGAGTAATGACTTGCATACCGATTCCTTATTTCCGAAACAGATACCATTACATCGAAAGTTGTGAAAGTTAACTTCATCCTCGAGACAGTGTAACGCACGTGTTGTATTTGCGCTAGTTTTCACCTCAACGTAATGAAGAATCCAATCTCAATTGCCAACTTGGTGTGATTCTATTATTCCAATTATCCGGTATGATTTCCTCTTCTCGTCAGTCATCTAGTGCGTACATGATACAAATGAACTGGACAGATATGAAGACCTTGAAGAAACGGCATTATATTGGAGGGAATCTGATGTAGCGGTAAATAATTCCCCAAAATTATTGACCACAGCAATCATCACTGAACATGAATGTGCACCCTGTTTAAGTCGACTTGTTTAGCTGAAGGCTTTCGGTCAAGCATCCCCGCCATTTGGTACTCCGTCGTGTCACGTTCGTGCACGACAACTAGCCAGCAAGCGTTCGTCTAACAACTCGTTTTGGTCCCGAAATATATCGCGTAATTTGGACGATAAAATACTGTCTTTTCCTTTGTCTTTGTACACGAGAACCAAGTAAATTAGAATTTGTTGGTATAAGACCTTGCGTTAATATACCCAGTACTGATCGCGAACGTCTATACCCTCAAACTCCAAACTGTCATTTGTAGTGTAGCGGTAAATAATTCCCCAAAATTATTGACCACAGCAATCACTCATTGGATGCTGACCACCACTGTTTAAGTCGACTTGTTTAGCTGAAGGCTTCCGGTCAAGCATCCCCGCCATTTGGTACCTCGTCGTGTCACGTGCACGATCACTAGCTAGCTAAGCGTTCGTCTGAAGGCTTGTTTTGGTCCCTAAATATATCTCTTGGTTTGGACGATCAATTATTGGCTTTTGCTTTGTCTTTGGTACGCGAGAATAAATTAATTAGAAGTTGTTGAACGAGATATCCGTCAACCCCTAAACTGGTGAGCCCAACCGCGAACTTCATCCACGATAAATCCGCAGATAACCCCGGTGAGTTCGTTCCATTTTGTATTTGTTCTTGTACCATATATTATTCGACATAATTTTCGTCATGAGTGATCTTAGTCCCAAGGTCATCCGTATCCGCTCAACTCCTAAAACCATTCAGCTCGTACCATACTGGCCAGATAATGCTGAAACGTGGTTTCTGCTAGCTGAAGCAGATTTTTGTGAGCATGGGATAACCGATCAACGTTCACAGTTACTTGCAGTTATTCACGCCCTACCGCGGGAATTCAGCAAGTACGTAACATCACAGATGTTCAGTCCCGAGGTAAGTAACTCGTACGAGTTGCTCAAAGCATCCCTCCTCAGGAGAAACGTTCTCACGGACCGACAACGTCTAGATGAATTATTTCGTAACATCGAGTTAGGAGATCAGTCAGCCGTGAGCATGCTGACAAGAATGAAAGAAATCGTCGGCCAAAGTCAGTTCGACGAAGGACTGTTTAGAGAACTCTTCTTAACCAAGTTGCCACAGTCTGTACAGACCGTACTTGTGACACTTCAGGGTACTGTAATAGAGGACTTAGCTATTACTGCAGATAGGATTCTAGAAATTACCAAACGGTCTGTTCCCGAAATATGCTCGATGACTAAGCAGACTTCGAGTAAGGATCCTGCAATGATAGAGTTATGCAACTCCATCCAGCAGATGTTTAGGTCGAACATGCATTCTAACTCCTCCGACCGTCGTCCTAAATCTCCTCAACGCAGGAACTCACGTGGTCGATCTAAGTCCAAACCACGTTCACTGAAAAACCCTGACTGGTGCTGGTACCACAACACCTATGGCCAAGAAGCGAAGTGTTGCCGTAAGCCTTGTAACTTCGGAAATGTCTCAAAGTCTGTGGGAAACTATCCCGCCGGCACGCGTTAGCGGCAACCGTCGCCGGTGGCACTAGCCGCCTACTTTACATCCATGATGTGATAAGCCAGACTCGATACTTAGTCGACACAGGCGCCGAAGTCAGCGTCCTTCCTGCTACAGCAGCAGATCGACAGAAGGAACCTACCTTCAACTTACAGGCTGCAAATGGAAAACCAATCGCAACCTTTGGTAGGAAATACGTCTATCTGAACGTAGGTTTACGCAAACCTATTCGGTGGATTTTCCTTCTCGCTGACGTTACAATGCCCATCATTGGCACGGACCTACTTAATCATCATGATTTACTCGTAGACGTCCGCCGAAAACGACTGATTGACAATACTACTAGTCTGTCTATCAAAGGCATCAGCTACATAGGCCCTAGTTTGTCACCCGTTAAGATAAAGGCAATCCTTGATCCAACTTTTCAACCTATTGTTGACAAGTATCCGGAACTTAATTGCCCGTCGAACGACCTACCGTGCATAACCAGCAATGTTATGCACCACATCATTACCACAGGACAACCTGTGACATCTAAAGCACGACGATTAGCTCCTGACAAACTGAGAATCGCCAGGAATGAATTTGACCATATGCTTACCCTTGGCATCATTCGACCTTCGAATAGCCCATGGGCATCCCCACTTCATATGGTTCCGAAAAAGGATAGCAATGATTGGCGACCCACCGGTGATTACCGGCGAGTGAATGCCAAAACAACCCCTGATTGCTACCCGTTGCCTCATATACACGACTTGACGGCAACCTTATCCGGCGCGACTATATTCTCCAAAATCGACTTGGTTAAAGCGTATAACCAAATCCCGATGGCAACAGAAGACATCCCGAAAACGGCTATCATTACGCCTTTCGGACTTTTTGAATTTCTACGTATGCCATTCGGTCTTCGGAATGCAGCCCAAACATTCCAACGCTTCATTGACGAAGTATTTCGCGGTCTCGACTTTGTATACGCATACTTAGACGACTGCCTCATTGCCAGTCCAGACAAGGAAACTCACCTTAGGCACTTGGACTTGGCATTTGACAGGTTACGCCAACATGGTGTTACCATTAATATTCAAAAGTGTCAAATCGGTGTTGACTCACTCGACTTTCTGGGTCACACTATTGACTGCAAGGGCATTCGCCCACTGGCTACTAAGGTCGAGGCTATACTGAACTTTCCAGAGCCACAGACGGTGAAAAGTCTCCGCACTTTTAACGGCTTAGTAAGTTATTATCGACGCTTTATTCCCAACTGTGCCTCTTTGATTCAGCCATTGACAGACCTCCTTCGAGGGAATAACAAGTCCATAGAACTTGACGCGTCTGCTCGAAATGCTTTTACCCAGATTAAAAAAGCTATTGCGAATGCCACACTTCTGATGTATCAGGATCCAACGGCACCGTTAAGTATCTCGGTTGATGCATCAAACACTGCAATCGGCGCAGTTCTACAACAGCTAGTTGACAAAGAGTGGCAACCACTCGCCTTTTTCTCGAGGCGCCTTCAATTAGCTGAAACGAAGTACAGCACATTCGGCAGAGAACTTCTGGCTATGTACTGTGCTATACGACATTTTAGACATTCGGTAGAGGGTCGTGAATTCATAATTTTTACTGATCACAAACCTCTGACGTACTCTCTGAACTCACCTTCAGATAAGTATTCACCCAGGGAATCACGACAACTGGATTACGTCTCACAGTTTACATCAGATATTCGCCATGTATCCGGAGTAAACAACACTGTGGCAGATGCCTTGTCGCGCGTTTGTTCCCTCACCCAAATCGACGGCATAGACCTTGTAAAACTGGCTCGTCTTCAAAAAGAAGATACCGAGCTTCAACATGAGTTGTCGAAAACAACTCTACAATTAGCTGAGAAACCCTTAGGTATGGGAAGAGATACTATTCTATGTGACATTTCCACGAGTACTCCTCGCCCCATCGTGCCTAAAAGTTATCGCCGTAACGTCTTCAATACGTTGCATGGCTTATCTCACCCAGGTATTCGAACTACTGTCAAGCTCGTAACTAGTCGGTTTTGTTGGCCTGGCATTAATAAAGAAGTAAGGGAATGGGCACACACGTGCTTAGCTTGTCAAAAGTGCAAGGTGATAAGACACACCAAAAGCCCACTTGGCACCTTTCTTCTCCCTGACGCTCGTTTCGAACACGTCCATATAGATTTGGTTGGTCCCCTTCCTGAATCACATGGATATGCTTATATTTTAACTTGCATAGATCGCTTCACACGATGGCCGGAAGCAGTACCCATCAAGGATGTATCTGCTGAAACAGTCGCACGCGTCTTCGTAGAAAGATGGATCGCTAACTTTGGATGCCCATCTTCCATAACAACTGATCGCGGGCGGCAATTCGAAAGTGGCTTATTCTTCGCCCTGACTAAAATCATAGGTTGCATGCGATTTCGAACAACAGCCTACCATCCTCAAGCTAATGGTATGGTAGAACGTCTACACAGACAGCTGAAAGCTGGTCTGTCAGCTGCAAACACCACCCATTGGACTGAATCCCTGCCGTTAGTTCTCCTAGGGATACGAAACGCCTTGAAAACCGATGCTGGTTGTACTAGCGCCGAGCTAGTATATGGCACGACACTACGACTGCCTGGTGAATTTGTTTCTCCCTCGAGCTTCCCACCAGTGGTAGATCACGCTTCATACGTCAGCAGGCTTACAAACGCAATGCGTTCAGTTAAACCTGCTCCCCTTCGTCCACAGTCCATTGATGTTTTCGTTCATCCGTGTTTGAAAACTTCTTCACATGTATTTGTTCGTCGCGACTCTGTGCGCAGACCCCTGGAACCCCCATACGACGGACCTTATAAGGTAATTAAACGTTCTGATAAATTCTTTGTCTTGGACAAAAACGGCCGCGAGGACACCGTCAGCATTGACCGTCTGAAACCGGCTTACTTGGAGGGTAATCCTATTAGCATAGAGCTCAACGTACCCCAAAATCCACAAGTAACAGAAGATCGTTTAGACATCGATGAAGTCACTAGCACAGCGACAGCTACCGAACCTTCTATCGAGCCTCCCAAGAAAACCCGTTCTGGACGCACCGTAAGGTTCCCAGAATATCTGCACACTTATTTGACTTAACGAAGTCGTGTGATTCACGCAACTCATTCGTTTGTGGTACTGACTATTTTTTTGACGT